TCATGAATGATTATGGATCAAACACTAGTCAAGATGATCGAATACAGTATACTCCTCGTAGTGACTAGGCATCTGGAATCTTCTCAAACAGGGATTGCAGCCACGCCTCCACCTTCCGTTCCGTTTCCGTCACGTGCTGGTCCCCAAATGCTGACCAGATGATCGGAGCCTCGTGGGGCTCATGCTGCGCGATATTGTACATAACGTTCGTGTTGTGGACCTATGATACATCAGAGTTCAACGTCAGTCAGTCAGCTTAGGCAGCAACTTGTAGTACACGAGTCAATTTAAATTGGTACATGCCTTGATAACCTCCACCCACTTGGTAATGCCATCGATGAGGGCTTCATCGGCACCCGCGGTGACGAGAACGTCCTGCACAGGCATGTCCTTCCACAGCGCGGCAGGTGCGAGGCCCGGTTCGTTGTAGATGCATGGTTCGCCCTTACTGAGATAAATATCACTCCATCGCTTCTCTGACTCGGCTTGGATATAGTCCTTATTAGGTTCCCGTGTGAAGCTTGCTAGCGTGATATCAAACGATACCCACGGAGATACCAGCACCAGTCCTTTGAACTTGCTCTTTTGTGTAACTACACGAAGAGGAAGCACATGCTCGGATGGCTGGAGGCAGTGTAGGATCACGGATGCAGCCAGGTTTCCGCCTGCCGAGTCTCCTCCAAGAATGATTTGGGATGGTTGGTAGTTGCATGTTTCCACCACGTATCTTACTGCACTGACCGACTCTTGGAACTGGGTGGGGAAGTTCGCCAGAGGCGTCAATGGATAGTCCACCATGAGGACCGACAGTGGTCGACCCCGACTCCTCATGGAATCCATGATTGAGCTCAGAAATTTGAGATGGCCATCATTGGCAGGGAAGGCGAACCCGCCCCCTGGGATAGAAATCAGCCTTGCGCTGACGACGACGATTGAGTCGGCCTGCATACATACCATGAAAGAAGACCAGTACCGTTTTGGAGGACGGGCTCCCGAGCCAGAATCCATTGGTCTGTGGGGATATATTAACGATACAAGGGTGGAAGTTATGTGTAGTGCACCACTTTCGGTAGGCAGCATTGAATGAAGGTTCCACCCATCTTGGTGCAATCGGCGACGGTCAGTATCTGCCAGCAACAAAAGAAATATTATGCTAGAAGCATACCGCGCTTGTGGGACACTCAGTCGCTTCGAGAACTAATGTTCACCAAGTCAGCCGAATGAGGCGGATGAACTAGCCTTATGCCACTCGTACCTTGCGAACTATTGCATGAATGATATGGTGATAGAGCGTGTCTGCCTTGTTTGAACCACGAAATGGGTATTCCACAGCGGCATATGAGGCTGCCAAGGCTAACCATGCCCATGGCCATGGTCAATGAAAGCACGTTTGGCTTTGACAGCACTCATATTGAATAGAAATTGGACTCACTAATGGAGACGAACGCCGGGATAAGATCAAGCTTCTCTGCTAGCGAGACCTGCAAGGGATGTTCCGACATGGCATACTGGATACCAATCCGAAGCACGGAGTACCTCCGTCGTTGTATGCAACCTAATATCAAGTGGAATTCCCGTGGGCGCGCACGCAGATGGAGAATACTTGCTTGGATGCAAAAACAACAGATTGGTGAATTGAGGGATTTAGGGCCTCACGGGGATTTCGGAACTCTGACTTGCTATGATGGGTCTTTCATTTCCCAAGCTAGAGCAGAGTCCGGTCTGGTGACATGGCTGGGGAGAATCTGACAAAAGTCTACAGTACTATTGAAAGCACAGACCAATGGCTATGGTGAGTTTGGGGAGGAGAAATGGAAATGCACCGACTACAACCTTCACACGAGGGAGCAATGGGGCACTGCTGTGCAAGGTCATTGCGTAAATTGCAGCCTGGCTCGTTCCCTTTACATAGCCTCTCAAATCTCAAGCCAGTCCACAGCTCTGGTGTCACGTCCACCGCATGCCCTCGTTCTTGGGGTGGTAAGGTGCAGATAGGGGTGCCCTCTGGGTGCCGCTCGTCTCTGGCGAAGATTATTTACCACGTACGGCCCGCATGTCCTCCCATCAAACCTACGGTAAGCTCGTACATACGAAGTACTACCTAGCGAGTAGGCAGGCACAAAGTTTCCTCGAAGTTGCACGCCCCAAAACTAATGTTCATCCTTCGGTTAGAGCTTCTCTAGAAATTTGAGGCTTGGTAGGTGCTAGGGCCACCGGAAAGTCCAGTAGGCCCCTTATACCTGTGATTGTTTCTCTCTCTGCACGCAACGGGCCGGATCGGACATGTCGACGGTCTACAAGAACGTGCTGTGGCTACGGATGATGCAAGGAAGAGAAGCTGCGCACCACCACAATGTCCAGCCAGTTGGCTTCATTAAAGTAGACTGTATAATACGGCCATGACTCAGTTGAGCTTACGATTGCAATGGATCAAGCATGGAGTTAATGTGATCGGCCTCTGCCGCCGCGGAGCCCTTGGGGTCCTTGAGTCCTCCAGACAGCACTTGGTCTCCCCTCAGCTGGATAGAATATCACTGGAGCCCGATCGTGTGCTAATTGAGATGCAGATCGAGTGATATCGCGAACGGCGAGGACAATGTTACTCGGACTGGACTGTCTTTGAAGTAGACGTAGGTCGTTCAAAATTAGTCATTAGCCATGATAGATAGTATGGCCCATATTTCATAACCATATGATATCGCCACACGCGAAGAGGAAGTACGTCCAACTGGGTCACTCTCAAGCCTAGGAGTTCAATCTTTCCCACTCTTGCGCCAACTCCTTCATCTCACTTTCACTAGGCAAGTTCACGATGGTGAGGTACAAAACATCCTTGTGTAACACGCGGCCCATGAGTCCCTTCTTCCGCCTGGGGAGTCTTCCCATCTCCGCATTCTTCACATCGGTTTCGCTCAGGTGGTATCCTCTCCTATGGGCGCGCCGCTGGGCGCGTTCACCTCGACGCCTGGCCTTGGGGTCGAATTTTCCTCCTGTCAGGAGGCCTAGAATCGTTCCCGAGTTTGCTGGATGGTTGGGGTCGGAATAGCGTGATGCAAACTTTTTCTCAGGCGGCGGTGTCGCCAGCTTCGACATCGGATGCGACCCTGTGTAGCTCGCCTGCGCACGTCGGTCAAGGTATGTGGCCATGAAAGCACCAGCGGACTTGAATGCATTTTGCTCCTTTTCTTGGGGAGCAGCTCCAGCGCCACCCTCGGCTTCAAGAGCCGCCCTCGCCGCTGCGTCCACAGCCGGATATATCAATGGCGCAGACTCCGGGAGCGACAACTCGCCCTTGGTCGTGCCTGAGGTAAGACGGATTTGTTTCAGTTTCCCGCGAATCTCAGACTCGGGCGTAGAAGTCGCTTTGAGAAGCCCTTGGTCAGAGGATTCCTGACTCCTGACATCAAGGTTTAGGACCGGCTTGTGTGGGTTGTCGGGTTTGAAGGTCATGATCAAACAGTAAAGACCACGAGGCTTGAACAGGGATTCGTTGATCTGATCAAGGTATGTGTTTCGGCGGTATCGAGATTGGACCTCCTGTGCGGTCCTGGAGGCAACCTGCACAGCCGTTGTGACGGCCATGGCGATTGGATTCGGGATCACTCCCACAGCAAAACAGGCCACGTTGATTACATCGAAGACCGGGCTGGCACGAGAGGCGCGGTCGAAGTCGTTGAGGAAGTCAATGAACATCTTCTGGTCAATCCCGGCGCACGATCCGAGGAGGGGAGCATAAGCACGCACAAACCCACGGCTCTTGTCTTTTGGTCGGCGCTGGGGCAGGATCACTGGATTTGGTAATGGCGTGTAGGTTTGCGGGGGCAATTTGGAGAGTTGAAGTGTCTGGACAAACGAGTTCGCGATTTCTTCGGGGGATGGTGAGGTTGCTGCTGCCGACTCATCGTAGCTGGGTAAATGTTCTTCGAGCTCTTGGGCAGCTTTGTCAAGAGCCCATTCAGCGCGGTCCGTTTCCAGATCAGAGTCATCACTGCTGCTTGAATCAAGTTCACGGTCTTCATTCGATCTTTGCTTTCCAAGTGATTTCATTTGCTCTTCGGTGGATCCTCCTGGCGGGTGAGGGGAGACACCCCGGTTCTGAGCGGCTTTCTTCTCCTTGTGGTCGGCAACGGCTTCGTGCGCCATGCCAATGCCTGCCCCAACGCCCTTGATGACTGTACTAATGATAGGCATGGCTGTGGGAGGTGAAGTAATATATCTATGGCCACTGAATACTCTGAGGAGTATGAGAGACTGCAGAAGAGGATGTCTGGGTATACAGAATCACTGTGGTAAGCGAAGATACAGAGTGCGGTTTTGAGGTTGATGCTTTGCTTGAAGGATTTATGTATGTAGTTATCGACGCCTGAGTCAGATCTTACCTCGCGGCCGCATAGTTTAACCGACCTCGTGCAAGGCACCTACAGTAGACATCAACACGAAACCGGCTGTTGCAATGGATCCAGATCCCTATTCAAGCCTGCTCGAACTCGCGGGTTGCTCTGAGACGGGTTAGCCTCTAGGAATTTAGCGTTAAAATTTAGAATACGCTTGGCTTACGCTAAGAGTCAACCTTGGTAAGTCTTGAATGGAGCCACAGCGTGCCAAGTAGGAGGACCCTGGGCCTGACTTTCTGATAAGGATCACCACTGACCAGTCGCAGGGCGGTTGACGGCAAGGTCTCCAAGTGTTGTAGTTCGTGGTTGCTACCATTTTGGGCAATTCGTTCGATACGTCCGAACACCTGGGTTTCAGATGTGCGAAGCACTGGAAGGACTCCGTACTGTAGGGCCGCCATAGGAAAGGTGTCTGGTGCTGGAACCCAAGGTATGCTAGTGTTGCTATCAACTCAGTTTCAAATTAGATGAAGGCATAATAGTGACCATTTTAGCACTTCAAAACTTGGCCTTGCCGAAACGGATGATCTGGTGGTACGTCGTATCTTCACTGCCTCTTAGAAATGGTAGCCGTTTGGCCTCGCACGAATCCGAAAACATGGGGACTTTAGTTGCGTTGTTGCATCCTCGCGGTTGGGTTGGACTGCATTGTCCAAGGCAAGATTCTTGTAGGATAGCTCCCGAGATGTGAGGACCTACCGAACCGTTGGATTCCAAATATGGCTATACATAAGAGTCGGTCAGAAAACCCAAGTGCCGATCACCGACTTCAAGGTGTTGGATCACAGCTGGCGGATGACACATAGTTGACATTTTGTTGTGGCATATTCTGTTGATTCGTCCACAAACGCTTGCCATGAGCACGGCGAGCGCATGACCCTGAGGCGAGGATGCGACCAGAGCTGGTGAGTCGTACAAGAAGGTTGATCACCAAGAACCATGCTCGGGTATTGACGCTAATTGTTCAAGGTTGACTTTGAATAGCTGGTGGTAGCACGGAGACTTCGATCACACCCGTGATAACTCATGGTCCCGTTGGAGCGTACGACCAGAGAGAAGGATGCAGGTATGGTATGGCAATTACCTCCATTACCGTGGAGGCGGGATTCTGGTCAAGGAACTGTTTGTGTTTGTGGCCCCAGGGATCCACTGAGTGCGTTCTCCGAGAGAAGATACCATCAACATCAGGGTGTCCTGGAGTTTTCAATCTCCCTCATCCTTGAAACACGGTTGCCGTGAGCGAGGTGTTTTACCTACACCACATCAAACCGTGTACGGTGCTATCTGGTGAGGCAAGTACAGTGCGAGTAATATTCGAGATGAACAAGGACGAAAGGGCCAAATATCGATGGACGAGTATTGATTCGAGGTCCAAATTCTCGTGACACCGATCATCTGGTCCAGGGTCCTTCTGCTTGCTTAATCTACGAGGGGAAGCAGAGTGAATGCAATGGCCATGTGCTAGGTAGTTTCTAACTGCCTTCGAGTACTCGGAGGGACTCTCGATTGGGGTGATGGCCCCGCAGACTCCAGCGATTTCGGGGTGAGAGTGCCTAAGGGGGGGAAGCCGTGGGGGGTCAGAGCCACGTTTGGGGGCGGTTTAGGGAGGGCGCGATGGTGGCTTTTGGGCGTTTGCAATCCGGAGTAACCTAGGAAGAGCATTATTGTTGATTGACGTAGCGCGACGTCGTAGCGTGGACAGTAACCCGAATGTGGACACCACAACGATGAAATTGCTGTGATAGCCTCTAGGAGACGTTGTAATCGGGATGGCTCTAACAATTACAGTTAAAAGCGAGATGAGAGTAGTTCTAAAGCCATCAGCTGTCATCGATGGCTGTTTCGAAGCACAGAGCCCCTCCGCAACAACAATAACAACAAAGGCAAACCCACACAGGTGAAGCAAGGAGGGGGTTCGCGCAAGCCGAGATTGCAATTGAACGCCCGTGGCGGCCCTTCATGCAAATCATCTCTTAGCCTCTTCCTCCTGAGATTCAGCTCAGATCTCTTCAGGGACTAAATGGGGCGAGGGGCCCGAGGGACCGAGGGACTGATCGCCACCGACCAACTACAGTAACTACATAGTATGTAGTGCTTTTGTCTGGGTGAGATGCTGAGCACCCAGGTCTTGGACTTCTTTCCTCGCACAAACGGACAAGAGCTCAGAGAATCAGATCACCCTGTAAGCAGGGTTCTTCCATTCCGGGGTAGAGTTCAGGTGGCACGGCAGACTAGGAGTCCGGTTGATACCAACGGATAGACAAGACTTCCAAGATGCTCTTTTTCTCCCGCGGTCGAGAATAGAATCTGGGGGAGAAACAAAGCCCACGAATCCTTGCCGGGCTGAATCCATTCATGACTATGCAGGAGAGTTACTCCGTACGAGTAATTCAGCACAGAATGATCCAGGCCTATCCCAGTGCAAAATGTCAAGGTTCGATGAGTCCCCCTGTCGTAGCTCGTCGGTACATACCATCAGAGCGGACCTCCAGTCACGGGTCACGAGTGCACGAGTCATGTGCACAGTGGACAGCCGTGGCAATGAATAAGCCAGAGGGCTTGGTGCTCCTGCCGAGAGTTCCAGGTTCCAACCAGTTGGGCGAGGCCCTTGATCCCAACAAAAATATACTCGTACTCCCCCGCACTTTCCAAAATGCCGTGGGACAAGAGGCACAACTGGCATTTACACTCCAGAGTCGAAGCCTCCAAGGTGAGGCAGGTGACAAGGGCTTGCATATCAATGACCTGCTGCCACCGACCTGTTGCTTGAGACCACTCGTTACTACACATGAGCCACGACATTATCCGAAGATCAGACCACCTTGGTGATGTTCATTCCGAGCGAGGCATGTGGTCACTATTCAGTCATCACTCCCGAACATATTTTTGCCTCCTCCCTAGTGGAGATGGAGATACAGCGTTGTGTGCATGGGCATGGCGACGCGGGATGGACGGTTGGCCATGAAGAACCTGTGCCTGGATGGTGCAGATGGTAACTTCGGACTACGCGTGAGTAACCAGTTTCGAACCCCTCACGCATCGGCAACTCAGCTAGGGTTCCTATCCTTCTCTGTTGCTCTCCCGTGCCTTTGACAGACATGTTCCACGATGACAGCTCGACATAATTAGGCCAACTCCCAGAAATATTCTCCGAAACTTGTGTGGTCAACCCAGAAATTTAGTGCGCCTCAGGACGTGCAATCGTACGGCATGCCTACATAGGTAGACATACAGATTGATACCACAGCACTGGTCTGAGTCAAGTGGAGCTTAAGGGTTGGGGACACACGTATTGCATCACGCCGCCCGTTCGCTTACCAGACACCTTAGCACAAGACACATGAAACATTCGTGCAGAAGGCGGCAGCCGGTCAATGGTCATATGCATGTAGTTAGCCCCAGTCGCCCACGGGATGCATGTGCGAGTCAGAACTCAGAAGTCTATGAGGCATGTGGCTTGATAGGATCGATCTGGCCCGGGCAAGAGGCCGAGAAGACGAGAGTGCCCTCAGGATTCAGGAAGAACCCTTCCATGCTTGGTCCTTCTGTTCGGCTCTTCTGGCACTCGACGGGCAGCAGGTGGGGATCAAACCTTGAGGCGGCGTGCTTAATGGTTGCACTGGCACTTGCTAGAAAGTGACGAGAAGATGGAGCCGAAGCAGGTGGCATGTGTCCGGAGACCAAAGGATACGCGGCGATCTACAGGAGAATGGACACATTATTTCGGAGAAGGAGTACAGCTGCCGAGGACGTCGCAGTCGCAGTCGTAGGTTCTGTTGAATGATGCATGGCATTTTTTAGTTTTTGACGACAGGAAACTGTGCTCATGGTGACGCAAGAGTTGGAGGAAGGGCCAAGATGGCTACGAGGAGTAGACTGTGTAGTACGAGTACACAGTACGAGTGGTTCGGATAGACGAGATGATCGGAGGATGCATCGTGCAGGGCACAGCCAGACTCACGAGTCATAATGCTAAGAGCCTGGAAAGACCTGGGGAACCACAGGGATACCGTGCAACATCGGGCCCTTGCAAGCATTATTACCACTGACAACTTACAACTTACTCCGTCCAACATGCAGTGCAACGTAGAACCCCGACAAATTGTGAGCGAGCTGCTCCGTCCTCAGTCCTGCGTACTCCGTAGTGGCTCCCTGAACAGCTCATCATCCTAAATGGGAAACACCACAAGTCCAGCCAAATTTGCAGTCTGAAGCAGCGAAATGCGGGCGCCATGGCAGACTGGGAATAGTGAGCACAGCTTGCGGGTTGAAATGCAGAAGCGTGCAAGGAGCACGTCTGGCGTAATTTGGCCCAGTCGGTACTGGACTTCAGCCACCGATCGCTTTCGACGAACTGACGAGGGGCGCCGGGAAGATTACGTGTATGTACATACGGAATACATACTGCAGATTCGATGGTATGATATCCGGATCCATCAACCCCTGATGCCTGTGGCTCTGGCTACAGGTATCCGGTATGCCCACTCTTATGCAGAAAGACAAAGAAGTAGAGATGCAGCAAGCTGAAAACCCGGGTATCTTTACGAGCACATTCTCCGTTCATCAGGCCCTTTGGTACGGGTATTCCTTACAATTCAGTATTGGTTGTTTCCAGGGGCCGGCCGTGCCTAGAAGGAGCTTAAAGCGCCCGCACCGTACGCCCCACTGGGTGCTGACTGAAAGCCTAAGTGTTCCGCGGCAAGGACGCGAACCTAAGATTTCAACGGTCCAATCATCTGACTCCCAGCTTGATCGCGAGGACTGCGCCTCTCAACAGGAGAAACCATCTGCTCACTTGGCTCCGCGGATCGTCTGCGATGGTCATTCCTTCGCGTGCATCCCTGGTCGCTCGATAGACCGACCCCTGCTCCATCCTTTGAATCTTGACTTTGTCCGATGACGACTCCTCCGGCCGCGGCCTGACATTGGACCTGGGCACGTCCTCGTAGCAAATCACATTCACTGGCCAGAGTCCGTAGTCCCACGGACCACCGCCATGGAAAGAGAATCGCACAAAATACACACAACACACGTCCAAGATATAGGTGACCGCGGTGTTCTGCTGCAGACGGCGCACATGCTGCCACCGACTGTACGGCTGCTCGCACTCCTACTGCCTACTGGCAACCTTCCGAGCAGATGAGGGACAGGGACAGGGACACACGTGTAGGGGCCAATCCAAGAGGGAGCCGCAGCACCCTCCGTTCTCCGAACGAGTAAACAAATAAAAATGTGCAAAGGACAAGGAATCGCGTTCTTGTATAAACCCACACACATTCCTAGCAAGGCCAAACAAACTAGAAGCTTGGACCAGGTGCAGTCATGCCATCTCCCGCTTTTACTTAGCCGCACCGCACCGCTGCACTTGTAAAGGGGGCAGAGTGAAGAAGCCCCGTTTCTGTCGCCTTCTGGTCCCTCAGATTTGCCCTCTCGCCTGCTGAAGTCCTCCCTTAACCGTGCCTAAAGCAGCCTAAGCACGCTTAGTTGAAGCCCCTCGCATTTCCCTCTCCCGATCCACCACCCTTGGCTGCCAAAAGTGCCTGTTAACTGACACTGGTGCAGCTTAGCACCTCGCTGTCTTTGTCGGTACCTAACCCACCCAGGACACCTGGGAGTGCCAGGGAACCACCACTGCTCCTCCTACTGGCTGTGGCTCTGGCTTTGGCACGCACTGGCACAACCATAGTTTCCCTTTGCCTGCGCTTCTCACCCTTACCAAGCATCACGTCGACCACCACCACCATCACCATCACCACCTCCGGCCGGCACTACCTATCACTTGCAACTTGGAACTTTCTTCCTTCCTCCAGTTCATTCCCTCCACACAACCAATCCTCAATCACCACCACCATCCCACTCATCATCCATCCCTCCTCTTCTCCGACTCTTTCTTCATACACTTTTGTTTCTCGTCGTCTTCCTCCCCCTTCAGTCGTGTCTCGCCTCGTTCTGTTTTTTTAGAAGCGGCCCTGGACGCGGTTCTCACATTCGTTTCGTGAGCTCAGGGATATTCACCCCCCCAAAGCTCAATTCCTATTGTCGGTTGCTCATTTCGATCCTTCTGCTGAAATTCTGCTCTTCGACTTTCTACGCTTCTTAATCAACTCTCGTTCGTTCCTGTCGAGCCATATACAAATCCCTGTTCGACCCGTCCAGTTTTGACGGTGTCCTGGTCCGCTGCATCCTGGCAATTCGCCCATGTCAAGCGGTCAAGCCTCGTATTAGAGTAATATTCAGGTACGCTCTCATCATTCTATACTCGACCATCCATCTAGTGGGCTCGATCTCCAATGAATTTGCCTAACTGGTGAACCACAGTCAGTCAGTCAACACGTGGTTTATTTGTCCCTCGACCCTGCCCCCAGTTTAAAAACCGACTCACGAAACGTGAGTCTGGCCTTGCCCCGTTCGGCTGGAACAACACACATCGACCGAAGCAAAGGAAAAGATGGCTGCTTTGGTCCAAACACTACCTGTACAAACAACCACTGTCACCATGATCGGCCGTCCAACTTCGTCAGGGGGCTATTCCCCTCAGGCCTCGCAGCCACAGTCGAGAAATTTCCAAGCCAACCGATATAATAATGTTTCAAGCACTGGGTATCGAGGGCTACCGGCCACCGGGCCAGTGGCACCCTATGCGTTTACTTCAACTCCTCAACTGGCTGCGAAGTACCGCACCACCCCTGGCAGCGCGGGAAGATCGACTTCGGCTCCCAAAGTCCCTCAGGCTTCTCAATCCTCTTCCCAACCAACTTCGCCAACCGCCCTTCCCCAGATCGATGTTGGGAGCCGATTGTCAATAGGCCTTCCTGTCATATCAACCACTGGTTCGTTCATGGGCCCAACTCCATCTCCTGTGACAGTAGCGAAGCCGTCTCCAGATCGATATCGTAGGAACGGCGGCAAACGAGTTGAGGGAGAGAGTGGTCCAAATCGTGTTGCTGTCGGCTCTGCCTTCCCCTCTGGCTCAGGCATGGCTGCTGTGGGCTCGTTGTACAGTCACCCGTCTCAATCTAGCAGTACCCCATCATTGAGTTCTCAGACTTCATATCGAGGTTCTGCGTACGGCCCCTCCGGGAGCAAAAACTCAAGTGCGGACGATTTGCATGTGGGAAGAATCCAATCACCAGATCTGGCAGCAAGATACCGACGGCGCAGCCTGGGTAATATTGAGACTGCTGGCTTGATTCACTCGACCGATTCTCAAGACACATCTTCTCCCCACCCCAATGCCTTTCTGCCCCATCAGCAGGCACAGCAAACGCAGCCCACCTATGCCCAGGCTCAACGGCCGACTCATTCACACACAGCAAGCTCAGATAGCAGGACCTCATCAAGGTCAGGACGTTCTTCACGACCGGGATCAGTAAGCTCATGTTCCTTACCGCTGTCTTCCACCATTTTTAACCATTTCTAGGCTCGAGCGGACCAACCAATTGTTAGCCCCCTACCTTCCAATGTAGGCTCGGCAACTGGTTTAAGGCAGGAAACCCGACTTGCCGCCCATTCCCACACACGAGATTCCAGCATTCGACAACCCTCCCCATTGTCTCGCCCGGTTGACCTCAATTCAGAACACATGGATAGAAATCAACAAACACCTGCACCTGCAGTATCCTCCTCTGGTCATCTTCAGCCGCCTCCCTCGAGCTCTGCTGCAGAGCAGCTTGCCGCCTTGAGTCAAAAAGATGCCAAGAAATCCAAATCGAAACTGCGCAGAGCATTTTCTTTTGGGAGTGCCGCGGAACTACGAAAAGCCACTGCACAAAACAACCATGAAAAGAGTTTAGCAAGCAAAACGCCAATATCGGCAAAGAGAAGTTCCAAATATGAGGATGAGTTGGAACCAGAACAAGCCCGAATCGCTGAAAAGCAAGAGGCTGCTGGCTTGGGTGAGAGCATATACTCCGGCCAAGGACAATTCTTCACTGGTTCTACCGATAACTTGTCAATCTCGTCTACCGCCTCATCGGCGTCTATCATGCTCCGTAAAATGGGCAAGGGCGTCAAGAAGGGCACACGCTCGCTTGTTGGCCTCTTTCGTCCGAAATCGATGATTGGTGTCCCTGGTGCCGACGGGCCAGTCAACGAGGCGCCTGCTGCTCAAGTCTCCATGGTGACGGTGGAGGCCGAGCGTGAAAAGGTCAATGTGAACGTGAACCCCCATGATCAGGTTGGAGGTGGGACTGGCTTTCCCAAGCTCGACCGCAATTCAGTGGACGCAAAATTGTCTTTCGACAGTGGTACAGTCTCAAGTGATACGAGGTCTCGTCGCAGCATTGTTGGTGGGGAGAGAGAGCGCGCTGAAGTCTTGGCCGCTGTAAAGAAGGGTATTCTCAAGCGCAATGATTCGAACCAGGCGTCACCCAAGATCAGGGCGTCCGACAACAAATCTCCAGATTTCAATCTTCCACAAATCCCTCACGTGAACGATTCACCCAAGTCCAGCGCACCAAGCACCCCGGCTGATGACCCACCACGTTCGGGTCATCGACGAACCGATTCCATTACCATTGAGAACAACGACCATGACGATTATTTCACTTCCATGGCTAGACTCGGAAGTCTTGACTCGAAAACCCCCGCCATGACACCGGCAAGTCTATTGAGAAACATCTCGTTCAGTCCACGAATTCAGTTCCATGACACTTGGCCAAGTGCTGAGTATGATCGCCGTGGAGATATTGCGACCTGCAACCGTCTGACTCCAATGTTGGCACAGCAGATTAAAGAGGAGCTGAACACCTTCAAAATGGTGAGATTGAATCATGATAGTGTCTTAATCATGAGTATCTACTAACTTGAGCTTCAGGAGATGGAGGTGCACGAGACATCCAAAGTCTACACACATTTCTTCTAGAACCAACGCGCAATGCCTTTGTCTTTGGATACCCAGGGAAATCTCCGCTATCAGCATTGGTTTTCGAGCGCTTCAAACAACGATCAGTGAGCATTCAGGCCATCATCAACACACTCACGATTTCTACGACTCTGATAGTACATGTGCATTCAAGCATTATTTTTCGTTGCTAGACTGCGGCACGAAGACCTTTTGGGTGTGGCGGAAGCCCCACCCAGTGTACATTTATAAAAAAGCCCTCCTATTTTGCATTTTCTATTACGACTGACTTCACAGTAAGGTGTTCGGCGCCTTGGGGGGGAGCATAACCCGAAGGAGGTCCTTGCTGGCATATCCAATTCTTTTTTACCTTTTATTTTCCTCGAGGTCGATCATCACGGGAAAGGGATCTTGCTCGACTCTCGGATCCTTTTGTAATCAAAAGTCCCGGAGACGTTGGGAGGGAGGATGTTAAGAGCACTACAGCTTGTGATTTCTCGCACTAGGGGCGTCGGTTCGATGGGCTGAGAATTTATTCGGTAGCCCAGGTTGGATCCAATTGATCTAGTCAATAGGGATAGAGGAACCCTTCGTTCTTTTCAGGATCAAAGATAGTAAACACAGCAGAGAGCAAGATGAGAAACTTGAACTTTCTGGAAGGGAGGGCTTTAATTGATGATTGAGGAATTGGCTACTACACATTATATTCATCATTGCCGTAATTGCTTTGTTCTTTTTAGTGTACAGTACCCCATTCTACCTACACACACGACGAGCACACGCTGCTCCAGAACCATGGTATCTGGACTATGATATGATTGGCATATCAAGCCACATACCTCTATAGTGAACATGAACCTCTCCCTACTAGACTCCGCAACAGGAAGGAAACATTCTCACAGGATGTGCGTAACTCAGGAGGCCCCCTCCTATTCACGGACAATGTGAACGGAACCCGTGCGAGCAAGTAGTGATCTGGTAGTACTACTCCAAGAGACTCGGGTCTCGTTCACCAAGCCAGTATAGTATGTAAGGCAATCAGCATCGGTCCTATAACCACTAGCTTCGTGGTCGTGCTCGGGTCGTGATTGATGGTAGTCTTTTCTTTACACATGATTAATTTTCGATCCCCAATCAGCGGGCCGGGCGGACTCGTGATGAAATATCATTCTGTAGTGTCCAGAAGCAGAGTGTGTTTGTGTACTCATCTCACCACCACCTTTCCTCTGTCCTGTTTGCAATAAAATTACCCACTTACCAGCTCAGCAGCTCATCTCCGATCGAGCCTTCCCGTCCACACACTCTCTGTCCCCCCCCGGGGGCGGGGTCTGGTGTGTGTGCGTACGACATACATACCGCCTCCTCGCCATTCTGCGTTGTAGTCAACCACAACCTGATGGACGGATCACTTGGCTAGCGATCTATCCCCTTGCAGCGAGGCGGGAGGCGGGAGGCGGAAGGATATAGTTATGTTCTACTGCGCGGGACTCGGCCCGCCGTCCTCAGAGCAGTCGGAGTTGCCTGATAGTCGGCGATAGGCAGCCTTGTGTCTCTGCCGATGGCGTTTTCATAGAGTTTCACTGTGGTTGTGGAGGCAAAATGCTGCGATGTCTCTTCTGAATGTCAGGCGAACGTACAGTGTTATCATGCTGATATATATTCTGCAGTGGGGAATGCAAACTACTGTCGTTCTTTGCCTTGGTGGGCTACAACTGGCACAGCCAACACATCATCTGTTCGAACGCGCACGCACTATGATCATCTTCATGTTCCCTACATAAGAATAGAGAGAGTATTTGATCAAAATCAATGAGAACATCAAAAATGAGTCCTTCCTTGTCCAAATAGACCAAGACCTGAGAAAGACTACACTGGTAAACTGGTTAAGATCTTGGGTTCTCGAAAAGCCCCATCGGAGACACACTTATGAACCCAAGCCCCCAGAGCACACCATGCCTCTTCACCCCCCTCTTCCCTCCCGGGTCCGGGTTTAATCGCTACCATATAGCATGGATTGAACAGAACTAATGAGATTCGCCGGTTTAAGCATAACCTGGCTTCGTCCCCAATGGAACCGGTGGCGGGGACACCGCACCTGTTACAGCACCCGCGCTTCCAGCAGTTCCATTGATACTCCTTTGCATATTGGCTGGTTTCTTCGGCGGCGGCGGTGGCGGCGGCGGTTTTCTTGATATCGATGCTGTGAGTTCGGGGCTCTGCTGTTGGACCTGTGGTTGCGGTTGAATGTGTTCCGGCGCGACAGCGGAGGAATTATGAGGTTCGTGTACGGCTACCGGAGTCGACGTTTGTTGCTGTTGCTGATACTGAGGAATCTGTGGTGTTGTCTCGGACGATGGCGAGCTGTGTTTCTCGAGGAAGCTGTTGAGCTTTCCCGTCACATTGTATTTCCTATTGAATTGATTGGCACGCTGACCCGCGGCCGAAATGTCCTCTTTGTGCCGCTCGCGGAACGAGTTGGCAGTAGTGGCTGCGGAGCGGGCATCTGACATGCTTACGGAGGACGGGTCTTTTTGAAAGTTGGAGGCAGTACGTAGGGCCGCCTGCTTTTCGGCCCAGCTTGTTCCCTGCGGTTGGGCTTGGGACTGAGATTGCTGGACAGGCGGGGGTGGTTGGGTGGTCGAGTTCATGCGGGAAAAGCGAGATTGGAGCTCTGAAAGTTGGTTCAGCGCTGGGGCCGTTGAAGGGGGAGGGTTAGGTGACGGGCTCTTTGGAATAGTGGACTGGCTTGGTTCGTTTTGCCATGGGTTGGTGGAAGTGGATTGGGATCCAATCCCAAGCCCTGGGACTGAGACTCCCGCATCCCCCAGTCGATTGACAGCAGCTTGATTGATTCCAAAATGCGAACTTGGCTGTGGACTGGGTTGTTTGGCGGGCAGAGTTTCGTAGGCGGGAGGAGGCGAGGATACTGGGAGCCCAGCAACGCTACTGGCAGTGTTTTGTCGTGATGGTAGCCTAGGAGGAAGACCTGGTTTCGGTTTGGGTGGCTGTTGCGCCCCATTGGGAGGCGCTGGACTTGTATTGATATCGCGACGAGCGGTCGGCGGTGGAGGTAAATGATCAGTCCTCAGACCTGTCCGGTCCGCGCGGTATGGCAAAGGAGGCCCAGCTGGTGTTACCTGCTCCTGCACCTCCTCTTCGGCTGGACGGCTGGCAGCAAGACTTGCCTCATGTATTTGATCCTGGGTCAAGGGTGCGCCCCAGCCGTCTCGGTGAGGTGTGATCTCGTTGGGCAAAGCAGCACCACCGTGGTAGTTAACATTCTTTGGAGGAGGACCGAAGGAGGACGGATCTTTGAGCGTTGACAGAGGGCGGGATACATGCTGTTGGGAAGATTCGCCTGCCTTGCCATCTTTGCCTTTTCCCATCCAGCCAGCCTTTTGCAAACATCAGTTATCAAATAGCATCCGCCTGTTGTTTCTGCCGAGGCAGCAAATAAAATAAAATAACTGCGAGGGAGTTACAGTGTTTCAAGTACTGACCACTTGATTGATGCCCTTGAAGTCACCCCTCCAAGATTCTTTTCCTCCATCCCGTCCTTTTGGATGCCATCCATCTTTCACGACGTTTCGAAAGCTCATCTCTTGGGCACGTTCGGTGGACGCCCCGAGTTCCGAGAAGGTGGCGGTAGGTTAGCGTAAATAATAGACTGGATGTTTTCTGCTTTAGCTAGGGGGATAATAAAAAGAGTAGCGAAGGCGTCGGTGGAAAGGGACAAGAGTGGCTGCATTGATTGCGCACGAGTGGTAACGAAGGCGGTGGTTGAGAGATACGAGGGCGAGCGGCGAAGAACCACGGTCGGTGGGGATGGCCGCTGACGTCGCCTGCCAATACCCGATTGAGGCCGACTGAGGCTAGACCTGAATTGGGGATATCAAGCACGTGATAGATTTGCAGCAGCCTCGTGTGCAGGGGTTGGCTGCAGGGTGAGGTCAACTCAGCCTTGTGGATAGAAACGAATATCTCAGTCACCTGGTCTCTGGACAAGCAGCTCTCGGCAATCCGGCTCCTGCCTCGAACTATGGGCAGTGAGTTTTACATAAACCAAAAGTACATAATCGTAATTTCATAACATTCATCGCTGATATCATTGACCTTTTGCCTATTTCCACTCACCTTGGAGGAGATAACGTGGATTTAGGGATGTAACCCCAGGTTGTATTTATTTGGACCTTCACCCAGTCTTCTGGTACAGGACTCTCTCACTGAAGCGTTGCATCTTTTATGGCAAGGTTATACACGCATGTACTCCATGATCCGAAGACAACTCCATGGAGGTTGAACACTACCTTGCGGTGATGTTCCTCAACTCAAGGACAGGCTACTTAATAGCTTCAGAGTCCTCTCGTACGGCATAGTAGGCATTGCGCTTCTACACGAAAGCACAGAAGGGTCCGGCCTTGTGGTTTGACTTAACGAACTGGTCTGCAGTATCCAAACCCGTTAGAACTTCCTAGCGGAAGATGTAATTGTCTAGTAGAGTTCTGAAGGATTAGGAAAGCTGCAAGATCGGGCGTAACAGACGGGAATCCTGACAAAAATGAGTCCCAATACGAAAACGAGGCGTTTTCGAAATGATGGATATCGACCAGAATCATCCACTGCAAATCAAGGACGCCAGCTGATATTGTCAGTTGAGGTGACTTGAGACGCTGTGATCTGCCAACCTGCACTGATTCTGCCACCCAATTCTATCAGGGGAAGGAGTCCAGCATTCCTCAGGATGCACAAATCAATGAGTGGTTCTGAGTCATGCTTTCAAACACTCCGGAGGCATTTCGTACCCATAGCTATGCTTAACATCGCCAATTTAATGGTGCAGCGAAGCCATTGAAGCCACTTCCTTTCATTTAAGCACTTCCAAGTATAGCTCAAGAGCTTGTTGCCAGCGAAGGATCCTGTTGGAGGGGTGGTTAATGAGAAGGGCGAGGATCCGAGTTCCACCACAAGCCAATCTCGACATACGAAACTACCTCTGGCCACCAAACTCTGTCAGCTCAGCCTCGCCAAGCGCCGCACCGTGGCTTGCAGGGTGTGGAGGTTGACATGTCGCATTTTGCATTACGAGAGCCGTGTTGCAGAATATAAAAACGCCCAATCACGGTGGGTAGTTCTGAGGCGTGATATCCGGAAGGGGAGAGCATTTCTGTGTTTGGCGGAATTGTGTAAGCCTCTTGGTGCGAGGCCATTCCTGTGATGTCTGGATTGCAAATAATTGGTGCCCACTGTGTACGGATACTCCGTACCAAGTACATAAGCAAGGCCAATACAAAACACCTACTTGTACTCCACCCTGTGTGAAAAGAGATGGTTCTGCAGGAACACTAGTACTCCGTACCTCGTAGGTGACACAAGGACCTAGTTCCGAATACGAGGTATCTCGTACTCCGTACTCTAGACATGTATGAATAACTATGATGCGGATCAAACCAGATCTGCAGAAGGTATCTGAGACAGTCCTCAAGGCTGTTACAGAGGCTCAAATGTACTCGTAGGGAGTACGGGGTAAGGGGTTTTGGACAGACAGTCAAAGTAGAACTGATCGTCTCAAGTCGGTTTCTAGCTGGACAGCAAACGCAGAAGCGAAGGCGGAAGAGAACGTCATCCAGTGCAAGATTCAAGAACTGGGCGATATTGGCTTGAGTCAAAGAGTCCAGCCGTTCAAGGAAGCGAAGAGCTTGTCTCAGGAAAGAGGCGAACCGAAGCTTGGCAGATGTCGGAGGCCGGGGAGTCGCAACTTATAAATCCCGTGTCATGTGACTCATAACCAATTAGAAACCAGGGGCCGCTCACTAGCCCACGGACATGACCAGGTCCTTGTTCTAAAATTGTTTGCAACCATGCACCATTAGATGCTAGCACCTGGGCGACTGTGCGTGGCCCAAGTTGGAACTTGACTACGGACTCCTTGTTCGGAGTCATGGTGATGAAGGTCTTAGGTGGGTAAAGATGAGATGCTGGATATGCGTGATGTAACATGGAATGGGCGTATCTGGACATTCAGCGTGATATTTGGCCGTGCGCACTGCAGTTGAATGACCAAATAATGGCAAACAAAGGACGCAACAAAGGAGGCGGAAAAGGACTACCAGGCTGAATTGCTGAAGTTTAGGTACCTGAAGGAAGCATAAGAGGGCCGAGGACTTAGCCTTAGGTAACAAAACAACCCACAGTTCCTCGTGTGGCGCGGGAATAGCAGGGAGCTCCTCCTGTCATGTGCAGGAGATCTTAAGGTGCAGAAGCCCATTCTTAAGCGGCTGGGGGTTGCCTAGCCTAAAAGCAAGCCCCCGTCGCCTGCAACCTAGGTAGATAGGGCTGGGTCGTGGGCTTGAGCGGTGGACTGGGGCTGAAGCCCGAAGATGGTGTTCGGAGGTCCGTTGACCAGCAGGTGCCAGCTGGCAGCCACTGGTAAGTGGTATGTGGTGTGGTCACTGGTAACCAGACAATGGTTACCTTCGTCCCTTCTTGGTTACCTTAGATTCTCACCTTCCTAGCTGCCCACTGCCCTGGCGTTGGCTTGAGCTTGGCAACCAACTTGGAAAAATGTGGCTGGAACAGGGATATGCTTCTGACATCCCTCCCAGGACCCCTTCGCCGGCCCAACGCCCTCGCTCCACTTCCCAGCTTTCTCTCAAATCCTTTGCGATCCTCCACTGCTAGTTTACAGTCTGTCTCAATGCTCTGGTAGATCCGGAGCTGGTAGAGATCATCCAAAAGACTGCAAAATACATACCTCCGTTGATATCAAGGATCGTTTTTCATCCCTTCTATTCACGACACGAAAATAAGGCACCAGTCCCTCTCACCGTCACCTCGTATCTGCTGCGCCTTGTTGATCAGAGCAGATCTTGCCCTCTCGTTCTCTTACACCCCAAATCTCGTCTGACTCTTAGGGCCCCCAATCCTACCACCCGTCGACCAACCACCAACACCTGTCCGCTGACCGACCAGACACTTGGACGCCCTGTCCTGCCACTCCCTTCTCCCCAGTTGTCCCTATCTTTACATGTCGGACTCTGGGCTTGACCGGGGTCTTCACCACTCTGGATTCTCAGGGCCGCCCTCCTCTGCTCCTCTCGAGGCCACGTGTAGCCCGAAGGAGTGACAAGTTCTCCGATACCTTTACACAGCCTACACCTTCCTTTGGTGATAGCTTTTCCTTCACAAATACCTTTACAACCCCGTCCACCATGCCCGACAACGAAAACCCAGACTCTGAAGCCTTCTCTGGCATTACCGGCACCAACGGTCCAGGAACATCAGCCATGAACAGTATATTTTCTTCCCTGCAAAGCGAATTTACTGGTACTACCCGCACTGGCACCAGAGGTGATTCTGCCACTACCACTGCCTCTACTACCACTGGCACTGCCGGTGCTTCTCTCTCTGGCGCAGGAACCACCCTCGCCACTGTCACTACCGGAGCTGGCAATTCTGTGACTGCGAGTATAAGTGACGACGCATCCAACACTGCCAGCAATGCTGCCAGCAACACCAGCGACGGTGTCGTAACCGTCTCAGAATCTTCCTGCAACAGCATATCATGTTCCTCAGCACTCAAAGCCGCTGTTGCTGTCCCTGTTGTTGTAGCGGCCATAGCGGGTGTGCTTCTGCTCTTATTCTGTATTAGGAGGAGGAAGAGGAGGGCCGCCGGTGCCTCTGTGTCGGAAAAGAAGCCCAAGAAGTCGGGCAAGAAGTGGTCCCGACATCTACGAGCCTTCTCCTTTGACGCTGAGTTATTGATGGGCGGCCGTTTCTCCAGCAGTAACAGTATTCGAAGCCGAGATCCGAGCGTTCGTAGCGCAGGCAACAATTCACGCAATGGTGCTCACAGCGCAGAGCCCAGTCTTCACAGCATCGATGAAGTTGCTCCTCCATATAGGGATGCCATTTCAGGATCACACCCTGTCAATCCTAGCCCTCTCCGACATGTGAACCCGATCATTGCGGGAGCACCAGACCCAATTCCTCGTTCCGTTTCGTCCGCCACCGCACCACCTCCCTACCAGCCAGTTGCACGAGATTCAGACCACCCACAAACTCCTGTTTCGACCAGGAATCCGTTCGCAGACTCGACTCCTGTTAGCCCGATCGACGGATCGCCTTTTAACGACCCTCCAGATGACGAAGAAGCTGCTGTAGAGGGCGCCCGACCAACACTTAGTCGAGGCTCCTCCCTATATCAGAGCGTAAATGCAGATGATGCTTCAGATGTCGCGAGCATAGGACAGGCCCAGGTTGGCAGAAGTGTATCAGTCAGACAAATCGGTGGTGCAAATAATGGCAGCAGTAACACTCAGTAATGATGGTGTGACTTGTGTGCTTAGCAGCAACAGGCCAATTCTATTCCTTTATGTTTATACATGGCGCGGCGTTCGAGTGCCTATTTTTGATGTCGTTTTATGTCTCGGATCGAAACCTCCGGATACGTCTCTCCTTTTATGGCTATTTTTGTTCGGGGTCGGGATGGAATCATCAATTTATCGACGAAAATGGAAAACGGAGGAACCATGTGAGATCCTGGACGGGTACAACCATAACGTCCTTATTGCCTACCTACCAGTAAAGAATGGTTCGAACGCTGGATATGTTTTGAGTGCTGATATATATACCTTTTTGTTGTACGGAGTACACGGGAGCCCTTAGGGTCTGGAAGAAGGGGAAAGACCAGGAGAAGAACCAAACCGTGAGGAAGAGAAACGACTGTATTTCACATTGACCGGAAGTGAGAATGTGGATGGGGAATGAGACTAGCAATGACGCAGGTAACAGAGCAGTGGCGTGGCCCAGAAAAGGACGAGGAGTAGTAAAGAAAAACATCAACCAAAAGCAACCAGCAAGCAACATTCTGTGTTATAGAACAGAGGAGCAACATGGCGAAACGAAAATTGGGAAAGAGAGCGGTGCCGGAGGGAGCTGCATGCACTACCAGGTGCCCTACCTATGTAATGTTATCCTATGCTATATGATTGCTGGGGAATACCACGTCCAATATAAATGTCGAATCTTTTCGGGCAACAAAAAGCTCACCTGGATTTTTTCTGTCTATGTTGCTCTAAGAGCATTCTGCTTTGCATTATTCCCGCCTAGACATGCCCCAGTGCTCACAATGTTTCATCGGTGCGCCCGAACAGATGCTCAATGCCGGCTGTCACGGTGGCACAGCACCTAAGTATGCTCCACGGCTCTGAAATCCTGCCTTGGTGGCTCTTGTTGGCGCTGCTTATAGCCTGCAGCCTGCACCTCTGTTTCGGCTGTCAGTGTTTCAATTCGAACGCTTACAGCATATAACAATGGCGAGCCGCAGTCGCCATTCACCCATCTTACAGGGTACAGGCAAGGATAGTGGCACGCATATTGTTGCACGAGGTGAAGCAAGACGCAAGAAACGTACACCAAGGGCTGGGGAATGCTACAGCCTCATGATAGCCTTGAGGCTCCCTCTACTTGTCCCCGGGTCCTTACCTACGTGTGTGTGTCACCCATGTACGCCGACTATCCTTTGGGCGCACGTACAGTATGAAGCGCAACGGGATGCATTGAGAAGGATGGAGATCTCTCGGCACTAGAATTCGTGCGTTTCGTGATGCTTTGTCCTTGTTTTTCTTGTATTCGTTGACTTGACTCCCTTGGGTTGTGCTGCAGTGCTTTTCTCACGGAATCACGACGCCGCGTGCTATGACTGCGTCCCGGCCCCAAGGAGGGTGTCATAGAAGACGTGGACATACGAGTAAGGCTGTGACACCGCTGATCCCGGACTGCATCTCACATGAAGCGAACGATGAAAATGCGATTCTCGTTACTCTTATTCCTGGTACGAAGTACTACGGACGAGACATTAGCGGCTACGTATATTCTCCGGGTACGATGGCGTCGGCAATCGCAAGGGATGGCATGGAAGGACGAATGCAAGCGCGAGGCGTCTCTGTACCATGGCGTGCTATGTGAAACAATTGAACTCTGTGACCCCAGAGGTCACAATTTGCACTGTCCTCGAGCTGAATATCGACAATCCTACAGAGTACATGTAGGAGATGGTGCCCAAATGCATGTCAGTTTCGATAGTGCGGCTCTGAGAAAGTGTGTCTTCGTTTCCTTATTGACACGAGAGCGGCAGAGTAGGTTGGATGCCTGAAGCATTGCCGTATGCAATATGCTCAAGACTAACCAGGTTGATATGAAGTCGTTCAGGCAGCCAATTGTCTTGTTGCGCTATAGATATGTGTGTATATATATCGTAACATGATCCTTGCAATTTTGTTATCGCAGGTCTTCGATCAGGCGACCTGTGCCTGTGCCTGTGTTTCATTTCACTCTTCTAAATAGGTGCGGTTCTCCGCACCGTGGATTGGGGGCGGTGGTTCGAAGCTTCAGATATCAAGTCCATCAGCGATTGGACATTCATTGGTTCTTTTCCATTTTCTGGGCATGTCGGAACTTTCTCTCCCTCGGGGCAAGAGTCGTGGGCATTCTCTGTGTCGATCGAGGTACATCGCCTCACTGGGGAGCGCCTTTTACATGTGTGGAAAGGCTGTGTTTGTGTCATGGCACAGACGCAGTGATAAGAACGGCACGGCCCCATCCTTCTGGCTGCGTGGTGGCATTGGCTGGACAGTCAGGCAGTGAGGCGGTCGGAGGGACATTGCGTAGCATAACATGAGACACAACAGTGGAAAATTGAAGCAACAATGCTGTGGACTTGTCCCACCGATTCAATGCACAACTTTCGAGGTGGATGTCAAAGGGTTGAACTCTCAATAAAGCAACATTCGAATGTTACTTGTCATGTGCTTGGTGTGGTGCTTGTGGCTCTTGACAACAGTCGGTGCTTGAGATCTAATGGTACGCAGGTTCCCATTTTCGTGGATCAGGTGGGCCCACGCACGGGGCATTTGTGGCACTCGATGTATTGGAAGGACTGCTGGTACGTGCGCTGTCGCTATCTGACCGAGCAAAACATATCAATAATGCTTAAGCATCGCTTGTGCTTTCTCAATTGCCGATACTCCGTCCAGAACCAAGATCTCCTGTGATGATCCTGTCAGCTTGACATCCCACTTGGCATAACAGCTAAACTCGCGATCAAGAGCGATTGCAAAGCATGTGCTCCGGGCTATGAGTCAATGACGTGGGTCGGCGGATGTCTGCAATCTTCCAGCCTCCTACCCGTAATTGATCCGTTTGACCACCTCGTGAACTTGAACATGGTCTTTCTCACCGTCAGCAGCATCCCCAATGCTGGCCCTCGAATGCACGTGACCTAAGCACTAGCCCTCTTCCACCTTCGCATTGCGTAGTGCTTGCAGTAATCCTCATTGGTTTCCTGGGTTCCTGATTGTTGCATTCCATGTGCGTGCTGCACCTACGTAGAAGGCTTCTTCAGACAACTTAAATTCTTGCTCAAACCGTAATTGCGAGGCAACAAGCTAGGATCCTGATGTGATGTCAGGGGCTCAAAAGCCAATGGAGAAGTCTCGGTCGTTGGTGTTTCGTTGATCTTAGGTAGTATAGGTTTGGTCGAGCCACAACGGTTTGATGAAGAAGTTGGCTGCATCGCAACGTGTGTCTGGGTTTGGCTTGGAAAGCCCAACGCCTTCTGTTTCTAACAATGAAGGCTCGTATCAGCGTATGATCGATTTGAATCCATTGTAAGCCTGTTCCATATCAAAAGCCAAATCATGGGCCTGATCGTCACTCAGCTCCTCTGATGTCTTCATCTGATTGAGAGTAATCAGCCATTGGATGATCTTGCCGCGATTCTCAAAGTCTTGATCAGTTACTTTGTTCACCGACTGTATGACATCGGATAGTAGTGGATGTAAAGCCGACTTGGAGACCATGTTAAGTCGCAGAGCATCAAGAAAAGTAATGAAGTTCTCCGTAGCAACGAGAATCAGGCTACCAGATGCACCTTGAGGCTGCACTGGACCCGGCATAGCTGTAGGACGGGTTAGAACCTCATCTGCGGTCAGGCCGACTCTGAGTCTCTCTTTTGCCCGAGGGCATTCGATATCCCATTTGCGTGTAAAGGTGTCCAGGTCGACAAACTCACGAGCAACGGTTTCGTCACTTAGGATGGAGCGATATTGCTTGAGCATTTTGGAACACATATCCGAATATTCGTTCTCTGGAAGAGCATCTTTAATATAGGCTTTCTCAAGACCATCGAGGGTTCGAATTATACTGTAGATTTCTGCGAGAGAATCAATGAGGTCGCGCTCGGCAGACGAATCGAAGAGCTTCACTTCTTCATCGAGATTGATTTGAGCAGAGAAGGAGGTGTTTGGAGTATAGCTATAGGGGGTGGGAGCATATGCCGATGGACGAGGAGGCTGCGTGGCATACATATTGCCCTACTGGTTGCTTGCGATGTATTCCGTCGAATCTCAACAAGCAACGACCGCGACACTGAAGCCTGGGTGCAGATGAAGATAATGACAAGGCTGAGATTGCTCTGGACTTCCATGTGAGAGGGCTGAGGTCACGTGTGAGGAGGAGATCTCAGGCCTCGTGTGGGGAACCGCCGGGGAAACATCGGTTGAATTATTTGGCTTGGCACGATTTTTTTGAACCTCGAGACTGCGGGTCGCAGATCGCGAGGTCAGAGTAAGTTGCGTTTACCAGAACTCCCGGTCAGGTTTTGACTGGTAGCACAAGCCTCAAGATGGGGAAACAAGCCAAAGCCACGAAGAAATTCGAGAAGAACCGTCTCAAGTCAACCATCGATCGGAGAAAGGAGTTTGCAAAAGTCAAGCAGAGACATCAGCAAAATGCTAAGAGGAAAGACAGAGCCGCCAAAAGGGCAGACAAAGCAGCAGACGAATCAAATTCAGAGGGGGAATCTGGCCAAGAGAATGGTCCTGACATGAATGAAGATGAATACTTCCAAGAAGCCATTGACATTCCTGAGCCAGAGACAAAGACAAAGTCGAAGAGTAAACCTATAAAGCGCAAAAGAGATGGACAGGATGAGCAGCCGGATTTATCCTCCGTATCTGAAAGTGTTGCATCAGGCGATGAAGACCATCATAAAGATCAATTAGCTGCCTTGGCCGAGAAAGACCCTGAGTTCTACAAATACCTCCAAGAGAACGATGCGGAACTGCTCGACTTCGACGAAGATGATGACCTAGCTGAGGTGGATGCCCTTAGCGAGGAAGAACCACCAAACAAGAAACAGAAGACTAAAGGAGCAGCTGAGGATCCGAGCATGCCCGCAGATGTGACACCGATAATGATCGGCAAATGGAAGACCTCCATGAGTACCTCTCATTCCATCCGAGCACTACGACAAGTTGTCCTCGCCTTCCGCGCGGCTGCTCACGCGGATGAAGAAGAAGATAAAACCTTCCGGTATTCCATTCCAAGTCCAGAGGTCTACCATGAAGTTTTGATCACCGCGCTGAAGGAAGTGCCCGACGTTCTAACCCACCATCTCCCGGTCAAAGAGTCTGCGAACGGCAAGCTGCGCATTCCGACAGAGTCTCCGAAGTTCAAGACACTTGCGCCGCTCATCAAATCACATGCTTCTTCCTTATATCATCTTCTGGACCATCTGTCTGACACTAACACCTTGAGGCTGACGCTCCAATCGTTTGAGCCGTTGTTGCCGTATCTCCTGCAATTCCGCAAATTCCTCAAAGTTATCACAAAGGCAGTTGCCTCTGTCTGGTCGGACAATTCTTCTGATGAGGCAACACGTATTACTGCCTTCCTCGTGATCCGACGGCTCATCGTCATTGGCGATGCAGGCATCAGAGAGACTGTCTTAAAATCCACCTACGAAGGAGTCGTGAAAGGTAGCCGGAACACAACTCCCCACACCCTTGCCGGCATCAATTTGATGAAGAACTCTGCTGCTGAACTATGGGGTATCGACCAAAAGGTCAGCTATACAACCGGATTCACCTTCATCCGACAGCTTGCGATCCATCTTCGGAGCAACATAACCAAACCGACTAAAGACTCGTACAAGACAATCTACAACTGGCAATTCATACACTCACTTGACTTCTGGTCACGCGTGCTGTCAACGCATTGCAATTCGCTTCTCGAAGCTGAAAATGGGAAGCAATCGCAATTGCGACCACTAATATACCCTGTCGTTCAAGTCACTCTCGGCGTGATGAGACTAATCCCAACATCCACCTATTTCCCTCTCCGGTTCCAGTTGATGCGGTCTTTGCTTCGCATCTCGCAGGCAACCGAGACGTATATTCCGCTGTCTGCGGCATTGATTGAGGTTCTAAATTCAGCAGAGATGAAGAGGCCTGCCAAAGCAGCCACGCTCAAGCCGTTGGATTTTGCCTCAAACATCAGAGCCCCGACCTCCTACCTGAAAACAAGAATCTACCAGGAAGGCGTTGGAGAGCAAGTAATCGAGCTCTTCTCCGAATTCTTCGTCCTCTGGACCAAGAGCATTGCCTACCCGGAACTACAACTACCCACAGTGGTCATGCTCAAACGGTGGATCAAAGCAGCCTCCAAAGCCGACGGCAACCGCAATGGAAAGCTCAATCAGGCTCTGCTTCTACTGGTCCAAAAATCAGAAGCGAATGCCCGATGGATCGAGGAGAGGAGGAATAAGATCAACTTCTCGCCAAAAGATCGCGCCGAGGTAGAGACTTTCTTGAAGGGTGTGCAATGGCAAGATACGCCGCTCGGGGCGTTTGTGGTGGCACAGAGGATGCAGCGGGAGGAGAGGAAGAGAGTTCTTGAGCAAGGTCGCAAAGAGCAGGAGCGCAGAAAGAAGGCTGAGGTGGAAGAACAGGATGACATCAAGATGACCTGAGTCGCCTCACCCGCTTCCATGACCTTCCGTGGGAGGCACACCGCCTTGAGCAGATATCGAGAGACACGAATGAATTCCACTATTCAACCCTCAAAACAGGGATAATCACTCGCTGGTGACATTGCCTAACTAGTTCCCTCATGCCGCGTTGAATCTTCTTGCCAGTGAGGCGCCCTACAATCCAGAACTACAACCACTTCTCCCTCCTGAGGCTGTTAAGCTTGCGGCAGCTGTATTGCCAGCAGCCAAGTCCAGCTATGACAGCCAACGGTTCTGGTCTTGGACGGTCACAATCCCGTACTCGCCTTCAATTAAGAAGGCAAAAATTTCCAGCCACATCGTATTTGCCAGAGTTGATTGTCACACCAATGTCCTGGATGCCAGCCGTGGAAAATGATCCGGTGTTGGGAACGACCAACTGGAAAATCAGCTCGTTGTTTTCCAGAACAAGTCTGATTTCGAATTCAATCAGATACCAGTGGTGTGATCGATCGGCGCTGAAAGCCAATGTGTATTTTATTGCCATCCCGCCGTAATCTTGAACTTCAGAGGGCTCGGCATCTCATGCAGTGTGTTTCCTGGTCTTTCGACCCAGGTGTCGTCCTTGACCTCTTGGTCAGAAAAGTAAAGACGTTCTTCATGATCCCAACACCGGTGAACATCCTGGTCTTCCGGAAGCAAGGCTCTCTCGCCCCGAATGATTGCCAAGTGACGTCGCCCGACGGTCGTTCCTGGTTGAATCAAACATTTAGACACATTTGTGCGTCTCAATTGTTGATCATGTTTGAAGAACTCCAAATTGTCATCTTCGCCGACGTCGGGTAGGTCGCCGGCGATTATGTTACGTGCGATGTAGTAACCTCTCAGGGTCACCCTCTTGTCAAGAATTGCTTCATCCTCTTGGATGTAGATTGCTCCCACAGCAGCGGCGGTCATAAAACTTGCATCTGTTGGGCGGATAGACATGATTTCACAATCGACTCCGAGGGTCTTATTTGCCTCAGAGGCACTTTCAATCTGATGCTGGATGTATTCGTTGGCTCCACCACCGAACATGACAATGGTATCGAATGGCTCACGATACCCTTCCTGCTTCATATCTTCCACAGCTCCTCGCAACATTGCCATTATCTTCCTCAGTGGGCTTCTATAGATCTCAGCCATGTCTTCTGGAGTTAGAACAACGGTGTCCTTGTGCTTCATGCGCAAGGCTGGTTGCAACGGGAGCCCCTTGATATGTAGCTCACACGAGCTCGAGAAGGGTGATAAAACGACTTCTTTGCCTCCTCGAACTCAGTCTCTAACATATCTTGAAATTGCGATTCGCTCATGTTCTTGCCGCGACAGGTGCCTTGAACGCTTCCGAGGACCTTAGCCATGTTGGACCTACTAGCAATGCCCTTGATGATGATCCGAGCCGCTTCCTTGTTGACCGCGTCGCCGCCACACCACTCAGTCCTGCTTTTGATAACTTCTTGAATGCGCAAAGGTTGAGTTGAAACGATCTTCCATATTTGAAGATCGACCGATCCGGCGCCAATATCAAGGAGAGCGAGAACTCGACCCGTGTAATCATCTCGCCCAATTCGAACATGACGAACTAATGCCGCAGTTGGTTCCCCAATTGTGCTTAAATCGGAGATGCCCGCTGTCTTAGCCAGGTCTAGCATAGTTTGTTGTTGAGCCGGTGTCGCAGCTACTGGCAGTAAGATGGAGACTTGATTGTTGTGTCGATTGGGGGCTGCCAGTCGTGATATTTGCTTGGTTCCCTTGGCCACTTGATCTCCTTGTGACGAGCGGCAATTTGGCTGAGCACATATCGGTGTACATGGCCCATGTTATCAGACAGAAGCTGAAGTTGATCAATCTCAACAAATTGAGGCTCGCCGGGATGAGCATTACGGCGGGGGCGTTGTCGAATCGAGTCGTCCAATCTAGAGATTTTGGTTTGCACTTTGATCAGATCAGGGTGATTCTCCTGGAAGACAATAGGCTTGAGTCTGCTGAATACATCGTCATTACTGATGCGCCCTGCTTTGAGAGCTAGTGTCACTTCGTGGCCCCATAGCTGCTGAGGCTGAGTGCCGTTCGTATCCTCAGAATTTTCCCATGCTATTTGAGTGCGAACAAAGGGCTGACCACGGAAATCGACGGTCTCAATCTCCCCGATGTGTTCTAGAGAGTGTTGGTTAGCCCGGAAAATGCCACGCTTGGTGATGCGGAAAGCGGCTTTTGTAGATGACGTCCCAAAGTCATAGGCAATTGACAATTCTATGCTCGGCTGGTTGATGTGGTTTGGAAACGAATCAGGTTTGACGACCGCGGGACTGTTGTCATTGATAGTAGGCATGCTGCTGGCGATGCTTGACGGGGAAGGGGACCAGTCCAAGTCGAAATTTCCAGGCTGGCATCTTGAGTGGCTCCGCTTACAACGAGTGCAGGTTTCACGAGCGTTCCTCCGTCTACCGACAAGAGAACAATGCACCTGCAGGGTCACCGTGTTAGTATAAGGCATGGATGTCTTGTTTCAATGGGTCTGACTTACTCCGTCATCAAGGCATCGTTGGCACTTCACCATATTGTGTAAACACAAGGGATTCTTGGAAATGATGCCCGGGATTTCTTCGATACGAGAGATGTGAGGCTGTTTAGTATAAACAAGGCGAGGCCGAAGTCTTTGAGCGAGTGAAAGCGAAGTGTTATGGGAAAGCTTAGCTTAGTCTAAGTGATGGAAATGGGCCTGAGAGGCAAGAGAAAAGTGAGGCTGGCTGGCTCTTAACAGCGGCTGATGGGCTCAGAAGCTGGAGATACCCGACAAGAGTGGCCCGATCGGCAAGGACTTACAATGTAGTGACAAGTCACAACCAGGTTTCCATTATGGTGGCAAAGGATAAAGAAGGCAAATGAAAAACAAGTCAATCGACAAAGAGCAATAACGGGAGCCCATTGCATATTAAGTAGCAGTGAAGATTGAAGTGTTACTCTTTCCGTGCCAAGTCACAGTAGGATATTAATTGCTTCAATCTGATGGAAATGTTTTGTTTGCCCGGTTCTAACAGAGGCAGTGCTTTCATAAAATTATCTCTCTCTCACCGACTCCAGTCAAGCCTTCGCACTCGTGCCTCATTTGCCTGTACGCATCGCACTATCATATGGTCTTTGAAGAAAGCACCCTCCATCGTATCACCCCCTGAAACTTTAGACGTCAGACAAACAACAAACAACTGTGAACAGCCTGGCAGCCACCAAGATGGGTGGCAGAAGATGGACCGCTGCCGAAGAGACCGCCTTTCGTACTGCCACTGAGCAAATCTCCAAGCATCCTTTTGAGAGCCTGGATAAGTTTAGAAGTGATGTAAGATCCCACATGGAAGCCTCGGGTTTAAATGAAATGAGCTATAACCGAGTCAGAGGAAAATTCGATAAAATGGGCAAAGCAGTCGGCAAAACCGGGGGCCAGTACATCCAAAGCCTGATCGACGGAGCAACTGTAGTAAATGATGATAGAGAAACTGTCGATCGTGAGAATCGCAGGCCTTCTTTCAGCGTTATGACTGAGTCATCGACCCTCGATCCTCTGAACGGTGCATCTGAGGTTGAGAATACAGCAGACGGTCGGCCTGGAGGCACCACAAACATATCAAACAGCATTCTCCGACACTGCAGAGGAGGGAGAATGCGCTCAATAGCACTTCTCCAGGCGCAATCGACATGGAGCTTAAGGAAGCCTATAGGTATAAAGTTCATGAGCAACCACCACTTCATGAAACCGTGAAGTGGCGCATGAGAGACATTCTACGAGACCTGAATGGCGGAATTGACGCCTTCATGGTCATTCGGTCAGTGTCAACCGTGGGAAGTGACGGCTTGAACACAGAGGCGATTGCATTAAGTGAACTCATGTTCTGGAATATACCGCTCAATGAATTGGCCACCAATCTGGACAACTTGTTCGGCGGGCTCGGTATGACTGCAAAGACAACTAGTTATGAGGATGTACGCCGCAGCCGCGTTGTGCAAATGGGTTTTCCAGGACTTTGACAATCTACCATTCCCACGGCCGTCTCATGATCTCAGAGCTACATTTCTATTCGGATTCTGTGAGTCTCAGAAGGTTCTCCTATCTTCATCCAGTCGAATGGTGACTGACATTTGTTACAGTGCAGCCGGACACCTGCAAAATGGTGGAAAGAGGGGAGAAAGTCCACTGGCTGCAGAACGTGGTGCGTCCGGCCCTCCTGGGGCATGCAGACGACTGTCGAAAGAATCTGTTCGGCGTTTTCGTGAGCCTGGCATCCCCTCCTGGACTGCAAGAGCAAGGCATATCTCAAGCAGGAGCCAACCACCTGCGCACATTTGAGAATCGCAAGGGCCATGCCACGATCTGGGAACAAAGAGTGACCTCTGCTTTCCACGCTGCTCTCGAACTGAGACTGGAGCTTGAGTTAAGTAGAGACGAGTACGAGTACCGGTTTCCATCGCTAGGAGAGCCCTTCGAGGAGGAATGGATGTCAGCTGCTCACTCGATGGTAGGGCTTATTCTACTAGGGAGCAAGGTCTATGCCTGTCTGCAACCGGCTATCATCAGTGTGAATCGTGGCAATCCGGACGACGACCCGGTCACTGTTGCCAAGGCCATTGTCATGATTGAAGGCTATGGTCCGGAGGTTTGACTAGAGAGAGATCGAAGGGAATGGTGTGGTCTCGACAATCAGCAAATTTTCCTCTAGAGATGAGAATGTGGCATCCTAGCGTGGTACTGTGGCAGCGACATGCAATTGTAATCTGCAGATTCTGCAACATATCTCCCGAGGAATTTGAGGTACATGCCCTTGAAAAGCGATTCAAGGTTTACTAGCTGGCACAGTCAAGGTTGTGATCTCAGGGAAACAAATGTACTTGCATTATTCTCTCCCTGATCGAGACCGGTCGATCGACTAGGTCGGGTATCTGCCCCTAGCAACAGCTCTCCAAAAGGCGGATCCTAAGATGGGCAAGATGAAAACTTCGAACGCCAGATCTCAATTTTGCCTATTAATTCGCACCCCGGCCAGTTTCTTGACCCAGTAATCTCCGCCGTAGCCGAGAGTCCGTCCGCTTGGGCTTCTTGGTGGAAAAACAGGCATGAAAGTCTTCAATGCTCCTATCTCCCACCTATGAACTCTGCCTTGTATGCCTGAATCCCTCCCTTCGAAAGGTCTCTCAGAGCCATGGTAGCATACTGGCTTGAACCCAGCTGAAATTTGAGTACCGCAGCAATCTTGGCCGGCTTTTCCACAGGACTAGTGCTCGCACTGTGCTCTTCAGGCTTTGTCGCCGCAGTTTCCGTACTGCCGTTCTCAGGCTCGCTTTCCTTGATCAGGTCCATGTCAGTCTTAACAAACTGCTTGTCTTCGTCGCAGTAGCTGTGCACCTGCACGTCATACGACTCTCCGATTCGCGCGAGAATTTTGCGATAGCCGCCGCTCAGTGAGAAATCCTTCTGTTTGCGGCGCATATTGTAGGGATCAAGGCCGCCACCTTGCGCGCTAGCCATGAAGGTCTTGTACCACTCGCCGAGCGCGTTGGGCGGATACTCCACGTCGAAGCCGGGCAAAGGTAGTACGATATCAAAGATAGAGTATTGACCACTCTCGGCTTCGGAGGCGGACATTGACCTCGCCCGCTCGAACATGTCGTCACGGTCACCCGCGCGGTCCTCGCCCAACGGTTCAATAACGACCTCTCCATCAGCATCCACGCTTTGAGCTGCCTGAGGTTGCGCGTCTTTCTCCGGGTGCTCATGCACAAGGACAAGATCACCCTCCACCACTCGGTCCCCGAACCGTCTCCACCGCTCACTGACGGCGAGATTGAAAACGAGAGACTGATAGGCGTGCACATACATCAATCGAAGGTTCCGCTGGATACTCAGGAGAGCGCCGATGAAGTCATTGCGTTGTCTGCCCAGATGTCTGATCAGCGCCGTCTCAGCCGAGAATTTTCGCGGCAGTCGATCCAAGGTTTCATTTGTTCGGCCCGTCATCCGCCAGTGGTTGATTGCATCTGCTCGAGCACGATCATCTTGTCCTACAAGTGTGTGTGTATCAGCCGCGGACTGTGCAGCTTCGAGCGCGACAGGAGAGAACTGGAGAATTGCATCGACCGCCCCTTGGAAATCTCCCTGAAGAATCTTGAGTCCCACGGTGTCAGTGCGGTTCATGAATGACCCGAAACGCTGCAGTCCATAGTAATTCAAAAATCCTTGGTTCCGCAGCCGGTTAAGAGATTGAGAAAGGTATTCTTGTGTGGTTTCGATTTTCTGGTTCTCGGATAAACTTTGCCAATCATCACCCACACTGCATTCCCGCAAGGTGATTGCGAACTCATTCCCATTCAAATCTCCGAGTTCAAGCCCGTGCTTCTCATACTTATAATCCCCGACAGCTGCATACCTCAGGCTCCTATTCAAACCTGCCAAGCGACCTGCGTCGAGACGGTATGCACTAACTCTTTGAACTGTGACCCCGCGGCGATCTTTAGTGCCCGCAAAGTTGAAGCTTTTGGGAGTCATCTTCAGTTGCCGCGAGAGAAAGCTGATCACCTCCATCGTATCCTTGTTCTCTTTGTAGAGATTGAAATGAACATAATCGCCACCGCGTTCTTTCCAGCTGATCCGATTAGGCTCTCCCCTTCCCTTGGGGTTTTGCTCACCACGCACCCCCGGGCCTTTGGATGCACCTGTCAAAACCAGAATGCCATCCTTGTCAGTGGACGAGTCGATTTTGGATTGGAAAATGCGCCGGATGTCTCCATGGATCATTGACCGAATGCTACGGTCTGAAGTGAAGGGTGTCCGGACTGTTGGGTGATCTCTTGACTTCTTGCCTGGGTTCAGGAGGATAGATTGGTACAAGGAAATAAGTTCTTCGACGACTTCCTCGCTGAAATATCCGACTAATTTGGCTCGGTCCTCTTCAGAAACCTGTCGATATCAGCAAACAAAGAATGACAAATGAATCGGCTACTTACCTCCGTGACTTTGCTTGGGGGCTGCCCTTCACTTTGTGTAATGGGGTTTCTGGAGCTTGAGGTTGGTGGCGCCTCACCCGTCGGGACCCCAGTGCTTGGTTCCATCGCTTTGTCGCTGCTCGAAGCTTTGTGGTTGCTTTCATCACCGCCACCTTCTGGCGCACCAACTAGCGTTCTGCTCTGAACGATCCCCTCATCCCTGTTTTGCTTGGGTCGCAGATCACGGAGGTGCGCCACAGTCCCATCCAGCAAGATCTCATTTACAAGAAAGTCAGTGTATCGCTTTTTCAGCAGCCCATAAAGCACAGATCGCGACTCCTCCACCCAAGTGTGGATTCCAACCTCCAGCTCCTTCATTCTATCACTGGAATTGGAGTCTGATTTGTGGTTGTCCAGGGGGGTGGCTTCGCTCTCTTCAACCTTTACTCGTTTGAGCGGCCTAGGGTCTTCCATATGTACATCCATCTCAACTGGGAGGCCAAGCAATGAGAAGATCCTTACTAGAAGGGCATGACGGTTTCCTATAGTTTAACAAACGCAAAAATCGATTGTGCCAAGCCATCTGCTGCTAACCCCGTAGAGGATTAGTGCATCTCCTTTTATTTGGCGCCTTGGCAGCCTTGTGCGCAATCTATCGACGTAGAGAAACAGGATAAGCCCGGGTAAGATGTGTTGGATGGTTCAAGAGAACGCTCTCTGGGGTTCGAACAGCTGTCACCGATCTGACTTTAGTCCCTTAGTTAGCAATTGGCTCCGGAAGAATAATGTATGAGAACATATCTCCCCTACACCTAGCTTCCGGAATCGGGTTGATTTTTTGTTCGATGTCTGCAAGCCTTTTGCATCTATCTAAACCAGGTAGCTTTGCTCTCACGGCTAATGAGCTCCTTCCATTGCAACATGGCCTCACCCTTTCCCCGCCGATTTTCTGTTAGCAAAGTGGCTTTTTGCGTCTGGGAAAGGATTGCTGACACCTCCCGTATGTTAAAACATAATGAGGGGGCTTGCGGAAGCTAATGTTCCCGGACCTCTCGCCACAAACAATGATGGTCAATCTTGACATACAAATGAGGGAAGCTAAGCCTCTAATCTCATCTCCAAGTCGATCGTTAGCATTCAAGCCCTCGCTACAACCGTCAAAGGTTGGTCGAAGCCTTCGAACTCGGACTCAACGATTTCCAGGGTCTCTTCCCAATCGACACCGAAAGCACCGCTGTTGAATTTGCAAGTCCACAGGTCACCAGGGACCGCATACTCGTCATGCTCTCCAAGGTCGCATCGCGTATAGTCCTCGAGCTGAGTTCGAAGTGATTCAAGCGCCATTTGCGTCTGTCGCAATATCCTCTCTGGTGAGTCTCTGCCAGGATTATTGAATCGCATGTTCTTTGTCCCGTAACCAACGCTGGTCAACAAACAAGCGATCCATCGTCGTTGCTTACAGGGTTGTTTGCGGTAAGTGCGTGGGTCTGGCTTTCCATTCGACGCCTTCTTTTCCAGCGTTTCGTCATCCTGATAGTCCTCAATTTGAGGCGGAATCAGGAGGCATTTTCCAGCTAGGTGCCTGGGCCTCTTCGCCGTCTCGCAGTAAGACTGATATGCTTTGAATGCGCCCGGGAACTGGAGAGAATTAGCCCTGTCAGGAATGAATAAAGTCGTCGCACCTCAGTTTTCAGTTGTTTTGCGACTCCAAAACCCCATAAGCCTTGGCAGTTAACTGCATCTTGGAAGTAGAGTTAGCCAGAGCTCATTTTATGGCGATGATGTAGCTTTACGGATAATGGTCGCTCCATCTGGAGCATCAAGGAGGTCGCCGCGGATCTCATTGACATGGAAAGTTGGATAATCACTTGGTATATCATTTCTTTGGTTGTCAGATGTCTCATGATCTGGTGACAGTCGGTGGGGAGGAGAGTCTCTACTGCTTCTCACTTGTCTAGACCAAAGTTCAGTTAAAATTGATTATCAATGTTGACGTTTTATTACCTTGGGGGTACATCTGCATGAATCCAAAAGGAATTGTCGTCCTGGCTGGAGGCCTGAATGCGATCGTGAGCAGTTTCAAGGTTCTTCATTGAATATCTGTGAGCGGCGTCACTGCTTGCAAAAGCATCCATTAATCTTGGGAGAATAGCTTGGTATGCCTCGTCAATCGCATCCAGTTGCATTCGGGCGAATTTCTGACTACCTGGATGTTTTGGACCGCCCCAAGTGGAAACGAGTTCGAAATACTTGTCGTCCACCTCGTCCAGATATTCGTCGCCACTTAAACCGAGAACGCGGAGGTATGGGGCTAGATGTCCAGCTGAAGACCTTGTGATCTCTCGTTTGGGTGTTGTAAGAGGTGAATGATGATATGGGAGTGAGGTCATGCTGAATGATGAACAGCCGGGGTATTCGATGACTATCATGCTAGAGTAGAATTGGTTGGAAGCTTAGATATCATGGTCGATAAAAGCGTCAAGGAACGAGTGAATAAGCTAACCTATCTCTTGAGGGGGTGACGTGGTTTCGAGGCAGTTGAATTCAAGGTGAACTGAATAATGTCAAGTGGGCAGCTGCGAGTCAAGGCAGTGAGGACTTCGGTGAATGTAGAACAACGATACAGCTTGCTGCCAGTATGATATTTGCTCTGTCACCGCGTGGACCACAAGAGACGCGCCTTATTGTATTGTTGTCCATACGGCCCCTACAACATAATTTTATTCAACCGGTGGACCCGGACATTGGACTTCGAACCAAGTGCGAAGCGTCTCATTGTACCATCAACCCCACTAACCGATCATTTTCTGAAGAATGACAATATACTCTTTCGTGTTTTGACACGCTTTCTGACCGGATTGCTTCCGTCCGTGGATTTGGTTAAGATCTCGGTAGTAGCTAGGAAGTTATACTGCTGATGTGAGGGCGTACTGGCTCTTAAGGACGGGAATGCTGTCCGAACTTTGTCGGTGAGAATAGGCCCGCAGGACTGCTTGTTTCTCCTACTCCTTTGACGGCTCAAGGCCCTGAATATTCCGTCGTCGTCGTTGGGTTGACGTTCAAGCTGCTCAATTTCTTGCAAAGCAGTCATTCCGTTGGTTGCCAAATTTTCTTCTGCTACTGCCTCGAACCGCAGCACACCTCTGGCTGGCTGGATCTCAAGCGCGTCGAGCATGAAATCCTGTATCAAATGGGTGCTTCTCTTGTTTTTGGTTGCGGCTATCTCAGCTTGCAGTGCGGCGATTGTGAGATGATAGGCCGGTTCAGAAGTCCCGGCCAGAAGCATGGTGACATCGGTATTGAGCGTAATCATGATGCACGAGGGCGGACGCTGGTAGATCTCGGAAAGACGGAATGAGAAGTCGATCAAGAAATCCTTTTCCGGCTCGACCTGTAGAACCGTGTCAGTAGAATACCGAGATCTACATATCCTAGCTTACACAAGAGTTCATCTTGAGCTCTGCCAGAATGATCGAATCCTTTGCTACTCGTTCCTTGGCGGTATTGTTCGACTCGCGGCATGAAAATGCATCAGTGTAATACTGGCTTCTCTTTTTTGAGATTTGCATACGTTGCCAAGAGTGTTCCAAACACGCGACATCTGATAGTTGGCCCTCCGTGCATTTGGTCAGCGTCCCGTATTGATGTGTGTGCGTGATCTCGGGAGGTGTGGACTGAGCGCGCTGAACATGCTTGACCCTTCTCTCTGGTGGAGACAGTGCTCTGTTCAGGTGATACCTGGCGTCTGACGCATTGCCGCCATTTGGAGGAGTGGAAAAGGCGTTCTCGACATCTACGGCATTGATACGACTTGTGGACGAGGGTGTAGAAGCGGGGTGCAATGGGAATGCCATTATGTCTCGATCGTATTTGCTGGAACCAGCTCAAGAACATAAAGAAACGTGTATCGGGCCTGTCATTGAGGTGAGGAGCTCATCATCCTCGGTGGAGGAAAATCAAGGGCTGTGAGAATACTGTGATTGGAAGTGAAGCTGCAAATGAAAAGTAAAAATGAAAAATTGCAAGGCTCCAAGTTGGGATCCAAAAAACCAACAACAGAGACAGAGGACTCTCGTGGATACTTCGAGATACCTTGGATTGGAATTTGAGGCGAAGTGATGTGACACAAAAGTTGAATAGATCTGCTCAATTCATCGTAGCGACGACAGAACTTCATGCAGGTGCCCGTCGCGGTTTCTCCAGATGATGAAACCTACAGCATTCCTTGCGCCGGAAGCCTAAAGGGAAGGAAGCCCCCGATATAGCCCATGGCAGAGGCTGATTGTCCTGGTCAAGAATGTAGAAATGGCAGGTCTTACCAATGTGGCCTACGGTACAGATCTGCAACCTGGCAATAAGCGTGTTAATTGAAGTTCTGTAGCGGAATTCTAGCAGACCGCTCCTAGCTGTGGCGATTGAGTACTACCGATCAGTTGATAGCTAGATGATGAGGAAGATAGAACGACCTGGCTAAGATGCCTAAGCAGGCAAAGTGGACCAGGTGGAGGTACGTGGTATGTTCTCTCTCGGCTTCGGAAAAACTGTTTCGGGCATCTCACGTGCTTGCTTGAGAACTCTGGACAATGCGGCCTCTATCATTGAAGCAGTACATGCGTCATGCCTGGCACCCCGAACAAGATTCCGTCAATTGGGATTTGTTAGGGCTGCTTGTGCATTTCTACCCTATGATAACTAGGTTTGAGCTCGTACCCTAGCACGAGCAAGATGTCTGATTTTGATGAGCTGGTTGGCACGAACAGCCGAGCCGGAAGAATACAGGACGTCGTGATGGAAGACTGGCTGCGGGGGATGTTTCTCATAAGAACTGGACTGGGATTGGGCGCGGTCTCCCTCCATTAGACCAACTCGGCATTCGAAGTCACTAGGTAGATTTGACAGAAACATCGCCCACTGATTTTGCAGGTTTGATTTCAGGCGGGAAGGTAAGCCGCATGCGAACGGGTTTTCTCCTTGACGTCCGGACAATCACGGGATCGCATCATCATATCAGCCTCAGAGGTTGTATGTTTTTCTTGCGCTTGGAGGCAATCTGATCATAGAAAAGTCTTGCCCTGCTGCAAGCTTCGCGTGACAGGGAATCACTCATCTGATGCCTCAAAATGAATTCTTCTGAGACGTACCCCAAGATCGCTCAATTCAGTGATATCATTCCAGACTGCCAGGACTGTATCTGTACACACGGCAAGTAAGTTACCTATGTGCTATGACAATGTAGAAGCGTCACCATGACTGAACCTGGACCAAGAAATGTCGGACGACAAGTCCACTCTCGACGCCAACAAAGGGTCCGTCGGTAGGCCAGAAGATCGGTAACGTTCTCTCCAGGTTTAAACACGCTCGGTATTACTTACACTGTGACACGACAGGCGGCCCGCTGGACAAGAACGGTGTGATTGGTAAAGAGTTCAAAGCGGATGGTGGCATCAGTGGCACCGCTCAAAATGGCAAGTAAAACATTATATGAAAATAGACCTGGGGCATCGGTGCAAATACTGAAGTTCGTCATGTGAAGTTGCCGAGCAAACCCAGGGAGATAAGAAGCCTTTGTTTGATAAGGAAAGTGCGGTTGGCAAGGCCTTCACTGATAAGCGATCGAGGTCCCTTTGTCAAAGTATCACTAAACCAGAGAAGCCGGAGGTGTCAGGGCGAGTTAGAGAGATAAGACCACGACGATTTGCCAAATTGTAGCAGAGCAGTCGTTGATTACTGTGACATAGAAAAATCGGTGGTCCGTTAGCCAGCGATGGCGCTATTGGCAAGAACTTTACATGTGAGCCGTGGAGGATCTCGTACCTGTCCTGGCTAACCTGTGTATAGCGCAAGGAGCGGTTGGTGAGACTCTACAAAAGAATTTAGGTGAAGGTGAGAAGTGATGCATACTGGGCCAAAAAGTCCAGAAAAGCCGGGATGTGATGATGGACAACTCATTTTTCCCGCACAATCGGTCTTCAAGATAATTGCATGACATCAATTCTATTAATCGCACGATCTCCCGATCAATTTGTGACTTAGGCCGAATTCCGTCGACTATCTTTGGGATTCATAGACAGCAAGAGGAGTCCTCGTGTGAAAGGTCAATGGAATGGCTTATGCTAGAGCTTGGTTTCGGGGTTCCTGAATTAGAGAATCTATAGAAGATGCAGCAATTCCTGGACGGAGATCAAATAACTGGCGTGAGGTGTAAGTTGACGCGTTGTGGTGCTTGCGGCTCAAGTTGCACTGCGCGTCGCGTCGATATTTGACCCGGCAAACTTTCCGTCTTCGGGTAGTTCATTTCTTGGCACTGGTCAAGAACATCACGTGAGTGGCGTGAAAAATTGTCCTCCACGTCGACAACTTCCTTACTATGAACGTGAGTGATGGTAGAAGATTCAAGAGAAATGGAACTCGTTGTTATCGGTTTCTTCTCTGGTAGTAGCCCTCCTCATCTCCCCATGAATGTCGTCCTCATCTCGAGAAGTCGGTCAATTTCTAAGCGCCCGCATTCGAGGAGCCGCTAGGGTCATATGCAAGTTTCACCAATGACCGTTTCACCGAGGTCTTGTCCCTGCCAATCGTGATCACGCCTGAGAACTCTGCCCACTGGGATCCTAAAGATGGCTTATCGCGCATGATCGGCTCTTCTACGCGCTCAGCTGTTTTTCGTGGCTGACGTTCCACCCCTTGTATTCTTGTTTCCCAGGTCCTCCTCGTGTTTCGATATGGGATAGCCAGCGCTTTTTGCCTAAGGCTTTCCTTGTTAATGGACCCAATCGCTATAAGGACGAGGTCCCTTCCCCCGGTTCTCAGTCCTGCATCGGTTGGCACTTGAGACAGACGCCTCAAGATTTCACCCTGCATAACCGCCCAATATGCACAGTCACAGTTCAAAATACGCACGTGTCTTGCACATATTATCTGCGATGGAACCCCGTGTTTCCTCCCTCTCTTTCTCATCCGGACTCCTGGACAATCGTTCATTTCGTTGACAACACACAGGCCCCAACGACAGTGTCACAGATTGTGGTCACGACCAGCCCAACATTTGGCCACCGCATTGAGCTTGTGCAACCAGTATTGCCGGGAGCTGATGATGGCAAGCCCAAGTCCCTCGATTGATACCACGATCTCGCTTATGAGAGCCATTGACGGTAGTCACCTTAGGTGGTCCGACTTCCGCACAGTTGTCCTTGGAGCTTTTCGGATAAGTCTTGGTGACTCACTCCAGCTGTCAGAGCTATCAAGACCATTTGCCGATCGGCTGAAGATATCGCTGCAAAATCTAGATCGTTTCTCTCCCCAGCAAAGACAGTGGCGAAGCCAAATCGAAAATGGCAAGGCGTTTGGACCTACCATGTTGTTCCCTCCCAATGTACTTCCACCCATCAGTGTTCACCCAGCCTTGCACAGATGCTTGACGCCCAAACTGAGTAGGGAAGCACTTCCCCCTCGTGCAGTCAGGGCTAGGGAAAGCTTGTTCGAACTGCCTGCACCCCGCCCAAGCATGCTCACCGGCTTTTCCACTTCGGCTTTCAATGACCGCGAGCTTTCTATCCTCCCGAATTGCGCTTCCGCAACCGGCACGATCGTGGACTTTTCGGCTGGCTGCGTCACTCCTGGAACCACAACCTACTGCCCTTTCCTTGTCTTTGAGCGCATGAGAGTTGTGTCGGATGACAATATCCAAGCTGCCAGAAATCAATGTGCTATTGCTGGAGCTCACTGTGTTCGGGCACTGCAACTCTTGTTCAAAAGATGCTGCGGTTCCCGACCGGCATTGGACAAACCCATCGCTTTCTCCTGTGCTATCGACAACTCTACTGCATTGATAAACTATCACTCCACGGATGCGGATGGACGATATTTTCTGTCGGAGATTTCTCGTTTCAATCTAGATGATGACAACAGCTTCAATGAGTTTCAAGGCTGGATCGAAGCTATCGAGGAATGGGGATCGACATACCTTCTCCCAGTCATCAAAGTCGCCTTGAAACAAGTCCTGAAAGGCACTTTCACGCCTCCGATATCACCAATGCCCTCCCTAACACTCTCTATTGATACGGCAGCTGGAGGCGAGGAGATTCTGATGAAGATTCTTCGTTCTACATTCGGTTCCATTAAATGGAGATGTGAAGGCGAATATGAGACTCCACTAAATAGCAGTATTGCGCATTGTGGGACTCCTTTTGGTGCTCGGAAGATCAGGACAATGGCCCTGTCCCCAACAGAATCTCTCGAGCTGATGAGCGGTGTTTCGGGCAGGAGTGGCCACTTCTCTGGTTGGAGAATGAAGCCCGATCATAGCGCTACAAGATCACCTATCTCACGAAAACACCACCCACTCTCACCGCTACAACTCAAATACGACTTTCCAGAGTCACCAGTCCGTCGTGCAACCCTTTCCCCCTGCACACCACCTCCTGAGGCTCCATGGACAGCCAAGTCGCCAATGCTCGTTCTTCAACGAAGGATGGACCTTGCCATGGATGAGATACAGGAGCTTAGGACACTCGTTCAGACACTTCAGAAGCAACTTGTGGCAAAGAATATGCAACCTGAACCTGAACGAACAGACAGCCGACAACGGCACCACTCGGATTCGGACATGATCATGACCCCCACTGCACCAACTCTGACCAGCCCCATCGGCTGGGAGGAGTCATTGGACCGAGCTTTTGCCGTTCAGGCATTTGAGAAATCAAATAGACAAGAGCCGGAGTCCCTCCAAACTCTTTTCCTTCCCGCCGCATATGTCTTCTTCTTCCTCTCGTCATGGGTCTTGGGTGATGGCCTACTTCTACCAGTAATGAATGTGATGTCTATGTTTTGCACATGGCCATTTGCTGTTTTCTTGTTTGAACTAGCAGGTCAGCTCGTATAGATCTACAAGAAACTATGCGGTTTCGGTTCTGCACTTTGGGGCACCAGTAGCTTTTCTATTGTATTCTATTTCCAACGGACACAGTCGCCGAAACAGGGCGGTACAACTGAACGGACAATCAGTCCAGAATATGTATTCTTGATGACTTGTTCCTCTATATAACTAGAGTATTAGGTGATATTCCGAGCACAAATAGCACTTAATATAAAGCCTACTATTAACGTAAAGCTTTCCCTTTTTTTTTCTCTTTTTTTTTTCTCTTTTTTTTGGAATTCGTCATTCAGCACTTACCCTATTATTTCGGTACAATATTATCAAATAATAGTACTATAGATTGTTTGAAAGGCTATTGAAGCAAGGCAGGAGAGACCCTAATATTATTAGGCACTATATATAAGGTCGTCTTTATGCTAATAATTTAACCTCGTATATCATCACTTTTCCTGTCTTTATACGGCTATAGACTTATACTAACCTTGTTTTTTCTTTTTTTCCCTTTTCCCTCTCATAGAGTTGTAGCCTCTGTACTCTCGGTCTCTCACACCAACCCACGACGAGATGCCTTTTCTAATCACCGATGTGATATGGGAGGAACTGCTGAGGGCCCTCGGAGGCCACAATGTAGCCCAATTCGCACTCCGTGTAAGACACCTTAGGTTGCTTGTCGTAAAAGCTGTCAAGGCGGCTATCGAGCGCCTGTGCAAGATTTTGCACTCTACCACCAGGGTGAAGTGATAACCAGGGTTTTGTGCATTGCTCGCCCTTGCACGATTTGAGCACCATCAGAAGTGCGTCAAGCCGAGCAATCACCTGATGCTTCGGACGCCCATAGAGCTCCATAGTCTTGTCATACAAGTTGTCAACCTGGTACGGATCGGTCTAAACCATTTCGCGATTAGAAAGACTCCAGGCAATCAACGAGCGAGGGAAGATTCCCCATACCTTTAGATCATACAGCTCATGCTCATTCGTGCACCATACGGTGTAAAGGAGGTTATGCTTTGGACTGACGATTCTCATCGCCTTGTAAGTATTGTTGGGATAGACCGCTGGTGAAAGTATCAGTTGCGGTAATAAAGGACTTACCTCCTGCTACAAAGGGTTAAACTTACAAATAGACCCATTGAGACCAGCTCTCTCCAAAAGTCCTTCTCCGGCAGCTATGCCCCAGTACTCGATATTGACATGGTCGTGCATAGGCGAGTTTACAGCTTCGGCCATCGTCTGAGGCGTCATGGGCATCGGAGTCCCATCGAAATCCTTTCTTAGGGGAATCTGAGCAAGGCTGAGAATGGTAGGTGCAAGGTCGGTGTGCGAGGTAGCAAAATCAACGGTGAAGTTCTTGGGGATGCCTGGACCGCGGATCAAAAAGGGGATATTGACGTCCTCTTCGAAGGCACACGTTTTTCCGGGCGGGAGCCGATGATGTCCGATATGAAAACCATTATCAGTAGTATATATGATGTAAGTGTTATCCAGCATCCCTAGCTGAGTGAGTTTATCGACAATAGAGCCGACAAGCTCATCGACAGATTGTAGCGACTGCAGCCTCGAGCGATAGAGTGCATCATTAACTTCGAGAACGGTCTGGTTTGCCTGAGGCAATTTTTTCATCCAGCTAGCTCCTTGAGGCTATATATACAGAGTGGTGAGTATATGGGGAGTTCCTTTGGGGAGCAGGACTTACCTTGTCCGGATTGAAATTTGGCACTCTTGGTACTTTTGCATCCGGGAATAACCCTTCATGTCGCTTTGCCGGCACAGGAGGATCGAATACAACCAGTGTTGAACTGATGAATGTGGTTTCCGTGTGGGGCGCGATTGGGGCGACACCCATAAAGAATGGTCGATCCCTTTGCGCCGCAGCATCTAGCCAGTCCATCGCGGTTTCCGCGATGACATCGGTCGAATACTCCCCAGTTCGGAAGACTGGTGGGTCTTGGTTGGCTTGGAAGGACGCGTTGTAGTATGTATAGGTGCCAGGATCAATTAAGTCTTCGATCTATCAGTATGATAGGATGACTTTCAATCAATGAAACTTACAATTAGTGTTGTTCCATCCAGCAGGGTAAGGCTTATTCCAAGTCGCGAGCGAATGGCCGTTCATGAGCTTGCCGGTGTAATATGTGTCGTACCCACCTTCCTGGAGCCATATCGGGAGATAGTTTTCGTTAAGACCTTGTTTGAGGAACTGGGAATACCCACCTTAATGGAGAAGGAGACATTAGATCAACAGCATAAAGTACAACAGTAAGAACTCACCATAAGGAGGAGAAACATCGGTCACATTGGTGTTATGTGCCGCTTTTCCTGTTAGGAGACTGACTCGAGATGGACAGCATACGGCAATGGTGCAATAGTGCCTCTCAAATGCTGTGCCCTCATCCCGAATGTGTTTCGCCGTTATTGGCATATAGTCGAGCGAGCTCATATGGAGGTCTTGGTCATCGGTAATAACGAAAACGATGTTCGGACGCTTAGGGGTAGCGGCTGCCATGCTCGCCACCAGCACGGCCGACAAAGTCCAAAGCAAGAGGGGAGCCATTCTTGGAGAGGTAGTTCGACTGAAGGACGGACCGACCTTTCTCAGGCACGTTTATCAGTTGCAGCAAAACGTCGGGGCTTTATGTACCTCTTTGAACCGAACCCGAGCGCCTGCTTCGGTTTAGAAGACTTTCCATCGGAGGTATCGCCATGCTGGCTCTCTAGTCTTCTGTTTTTCTCCGGACGGATGGTGGGGTTGAAGTCCATGGCTTGCGGCCTTCTACGTTCGTGCCGAAGGAAGGGAGCTGAATAGCAAATGTGCGTGCTGTAGTCTCTCCTGCGTCGGTGTGGGGAAAGATCTTGCTCGAATGCGGCTGAGATAGCGCTAAATTCTGGGGACTAGATTATTATGATCTAGTTGCTCGTCAAGACTCAATGACATCGAGATCTCGAAAAATCAACCCGAGGTGTCGTGGAGTACCCCAGTCCAATTCATTTCCAACACTCGAATGTGCTCGAACATTTCTTTCCAATCGTGCCCTTGAATCTTTAGCCCAGCACTGGTCTAGCAGAAATGGATCCGAAGGCTTTTGAGGTTTCGTCTCTATAGATATCTAAAGCTACAAGAAAGTGTTTATCCCCTAAGCGTTCGGCGTATCACCTTTTGCCCTTAGTAAAACTATTGATTCTGGCATATATACAATGTGGCGCAAAGATCTATTAGTTCTTGACTAGACTTGACGTAATTACTTATAGCTATAGGCTATAATAGATATTGAATTCTTAGCTTCTTGAAACAATTTATAATAGTTACTCAACCCTTTGAGCCACGCCAAGAACTTAAAAGGGTCCATCCTGACGGTTTAGAGAATATGTCGGGCCCTGGAGTTACTCCAGCGTCCGAGATAGCAGCAAAGTGAGTTTTACGGTTTTACCTACTACTGCATAATATATCCCCGCCAAGACATGCTGTTTGAAAGATCACGGGGGATCAACACGTCTGGGGCGCATATGAAATCGGCCCGAGAATAGTACGGGGAAGTTGGGGGGCTTCCTCGGTCCCACCAATTTCGGGGGTACATCTGGTACCGGCCGGTGGCGGGCCCGGGAAAGTCGATTTCCTCCGAAAGTGGGTAACTAAAGGCTAGACAAGGTGGTCTACCTTTGTGAGATCGATGAAGTGGACGTGCTTGACTAGCGTCGACCGGAAAACCTGAACACGAGGAGTCAAGTCCTAATCTACAAGGACCAACAGCTTGCTCTTATGTATATTTCTGAGATACCCGATCAGTTGGGCAGCTTCCCTGGCATTTCCATCGCCGACATATAAGACAATCGCAGTCTCCGAATGAAACAGTTGTGTATCGGTAAATGCACCGTGAATCATAGCTTGCGTTTCCAGGGGAGGTATTGCAACGTGGATGCGTCCCACCAAGGGAAGTGCTTGGCCACAAAATGAGTTCCCTCGGCAGGATCCAGCAAGGGATTGCCCATATAGCGCTCGGCGAGATTCGCCGAGAGAAGGGGCTTTCCTAGCCATCACGGCACATTTATAATGGTCGGCGTGCTGAACAGAAATCATGCCGTAGACACCTGTTTAGATGCCGTTACATACTGGATTCGCGCCTCACCCGAGGTACGATACTAGAAGGATAGGAGACAGCTTGTCCAGGAGGAGTGCGACTAGGAAGTAATGGGGCTTCGTAGGGATGATGCCTTGTTTGAAACCCATGGTGTCACGAAAAGACAAACACTGTGAATTGACCAAGTTTACGTTATCCCAGAATGAAGGGAAGTGGAACTTAAAAGTATAATAATTCCTACGTTCCCCTTTTCAAGGACCGGACCTAAAGGCATGAAATCCAGGGGGTCGTGAACCTCATACGGGTCTCGTCCTCTATCACATTCGGTATGGAGAGCATCAGCAGAACAGGCTCGTGGTGGGGCATGTGTGACGCCGGAAGGAAGCGCCTCGATGACTCGGTGCTATATCTCCTAAGAGCGAGATTTATTATTATAGTCTTACACATAGCTTTAAGTGTTGAATTTAGGGAATGACAACTACTTAACTTTATCTGCGACCCCTCATACACTTTCGCTGCCAAACACTTCATGCCGATGTCGAGTAGGCTTCCAGAAACGCTGTGTGGAACAAAATGAGAGCCACATCATAGGCAGTAGTTCTTCTTGCCACGCCAGGTGACGCCGGCTGTATAGGGAAGGCTGTGGACTAGGTCTCTCAGCAGCCGCTTTGGTAGATGACATCTGATGACCTTGGGCCCCTTGGGTTGAATTGGTAAGGGCAAACCCCGATCGAAATTCAAGACAAACACAACCGTTGGGTAACTGCATTTAGGGAATTATTGTTGCTCTGACTTGTGCTCAATACATTTGATTTAGCATATGGGTGGGTCGTGTAGTCCTTGTTGCGTGGAAAACAGCCTTCTCGGGAACATCCGAGCAGCGACCTTCACGGATCAATTAAAGTGGCTCAGTGTCATGGCAGTTTGGGGAACATATGGGGTTCTATGTAGGCCAAACCCGTCCGTGTTCAAGCTTCTCGCTTCGGATAATTCGGCGCCTCCAGTCTGACAAAATGTGAATGGTGCGAGTGCCGACGTTCTACGATAGCGGCGCATTGGCAATGCTCAACAAATTGTTGAGGGACCATTACAAACGATTTGCACTGAGATTCCTGGATTCGAGGTTTCGAAGACGAGGCGCCGAAATATTAATGGCAGACATCATCCTCATCCTCGTCCTCATCATGATCATGAAGATGCCGGTGGGGGTGACTGGATGCCCCCATCGACCCGGGAGGTTTGAGGAACAACAGGAGGTGGAGGCGGGAAGACCAAGTTCGATGGTCGACTACGCTAAATGAAAGGACATTCATCTCCTCTGACCACATTGGCTCTCGGGCTGGGCTGAGAGGACATCCTCTTTTGCTACTATGAGGGTTTGCTTGGAATGTTCAGGTGCGGGCTTTGCGCTTTCGGAGCTGAACATGGACGCCAGATTAGAGTTCTTCCAAGTCGACCCGAGCTTTTAAGCACACGAGCGAATCGGAAGAGTGTCCGAATGCCTCGAAGTCTGCTCGTAGAGTCGTGGACTCGTGGGACGTTCGCTTCCATAGGTGCCCACCGTCCCCGTTCCGAAGAGGACGGCCCACAGGACTTGTTCCCGTGCAAAGCACGACAATGGGCCTTGGCGCCAAGAGTGCTAGTTAGGATCCTCACCAAGCTAGCAATACCATACCGCTCAGCCACACCAATCTCTTACATACACAACCCCTCTACTACTGTACTTCGTACCAAGTCAACAACGACTCCTTGAGGATATTCGTAACCACAGCGGCAGGAGGTTTCTAGAGCTTGCAGGGCAGCCTGAAGTCACCGTCATGCAGCCTTGGCGCCAAGGCTTCTAATTGGGTGGGGAGGCGGGTCTTACACCCTCTCTCACTTAACTCCTAGACAATACCATACGCCTCGGTCCCCACCGAATCTGTGGCCCTACACAACCTCCCTATTCGCTTCGTATTCTACGGAGTCAACACCGTAATGCGTGTGTGCTTGCCGTACCCCATCCCCGGTCCGAGCGCCTCTACCCTTGAGTCGTCAGTATGTCGCCTTTTTTCCTTGGCAAAAGTAAACTATTCCGGTTTACGAGAGATGTTACGAACATGGTCACTAACATGGTCAGAACGTGGGGAAGAGAGGGGAAAAGGGAAGGCAGGTGTGCCGGGAAGTATGTTCACATTCAGTGACCATGGAAAAACAAGCGACAGAAATCTCGATCATCTTTATTTGACTCACTTCAGTGACCTACATAGTCGAGATATCCAACAGGTGTACACCCGAACTGTCGCCTGCTTGAAGTAGCAACGGGATACGACCGTATCTCGTGTTGCTGTCGTGGACTAGCTCGGATTCTCGCTGGGATACGGTCCAGTTGGAGAGCCGCAATCTCACAGATCCACTTACGTCCCCCATCTGAGCCTTGTCCATTATCAAGGCTGACCTGCTCACTGGCTCACTTACTCCTACGATGACCTGCCCCTCGGCCCACACTTCTATTTCCAGTCAAAGAACGATGCATTACTGTATACCTCGATCATACTCGTAAGTTGTATCGCACAGCAATTGGCATTCCCGAATTGTCGCCCTAGCCTACACATGAGTGTCAACATCTGTTGATGGTCCCAATGTCTTATAAAACTCATTCTTTGCATACATCTTGTCTTTTTATGTTTTGGCAATGGCAACAGATCAAGGGATATACTTCTTCCCGTCGGATTCTGTAAACCACGCCACCATCATGTCCCGACCGAGACGATCTTCCAGGCTTGGTGGTGAGCCTCCAGGCGACACGGGGCCCGCGTTTGCGACAGCCGCAGTGAGGTCGATGCCCGCAGGCGCGCCAAAGGCTCCTGGCATTCCCTTCAAAAGTGTATAGAACATCCTTCGATCTCGCTTCGTGCTCTCAGTCTGATATCTGATTAGTCCAAACGGCGAAGAGGTCAATCTAGTTGGCAACGATACTCCAGCTACGCGAGTCAACACACATGGTTGATACCACTGACGCTTGTTTTCATTGTCCTTCTCGGATACTCCCTCGACCCGAGTCCAACCAACCCTCTCCACGCTGCCATATTTCTCTCTTATCCACGGTCGAACACCGACCCGAAAGGGCCGACTATGTATGGGAAGGGAGCAAAAGACTTCGCATTTGTCGCCTTCTACACAATCGTCCTTTCATTCATGAGAGAATTCTGCATGCAGTGCCTCTTGAACCCACTGGGCCTATACCTTGGTATCACGAGCCGCCGTAAAATGGCAAGGTTCATGGAACAGATGTATACAGTGATGTATTTCAGCATGTTAATTCCATTCGGGCTGTACGTAATGTCGCGATCACCCGTGTGGTATTTCAACACCACTGCAATGTTCGAAGACTTCCCTCACCTCGAACACGAGGGTCTGTTCAAGGCGTACTATCTTATCCAAGCGAGCTATTGGTCGCAGCAAGCTCTTGTTCTGGTTCTCCAGCTGGAGAGACCAAGGACTGATTACTATGAATTTGCCGCTCATCATGTCGTCACGCTGGCTTTGATCTGGCTGAGCTATCGCTTTCATTTCACCTATATAGGACTTGCAGTGTACATCACCCACGACATCTCCGATTTTGGCCTTGCAGTATGTCCTGACGTCCTCGTCCTCCCCTTATTGCTTAGGCTGATATTACTTCTTTTCAGACATCGAGAGTCCTGAATTACTTGAATTCGGTTTTGACCGATGGATACTATGTTTTGTTCATTCTCGTTTGGATCTACACTCGTCACTACCTCAACTTGCATATTCTATGGGCTGTGCTAACAGAGTTTGCAACTGTCGGCCCTTACGAACTCAACTGGGAGACTCAACAGTACAAATGCTGGATCAGCCAGATCATCACATTCTCTCTGCTTGCATTTCTGCAAATCCTCAACCTATTCTGGCTTTTCTTGATTTTGAGAGTTCTCTGGAACTACGTCATGACCAAAGACCTGGTGGACGATACCAGTGATGTTGAGGATGAGAAGGCACAGGATGAGGCTCGAGACAAACTTACGCCATTGCCCGAACAGGACAAAAAGGAGAAACAATGAGGCAGTTTTGGAGTTCATGGTAGAGTGTCAAACCTGACAGAACAAGTTCGTGTGGTGCTATGTTATGTTAGGTGACTGGTGGTCTGAATGGTTTGGCTGTATAAAAGAAGGCTGTGGCATTGACTAGGAACGGGCAGACCTTCCATAATGGTGCATGCATCATTGCATTCAAGCTGATGCATACGTTCGACCTTGACAAATGGACAGTGGCGGAGGTACCATCACCGGAGGGAAGCAGTAATTCGAAAGCTGGTTTAACAATCTCAATGTAAGATAAAGAGGTGGAATTGTACACTATGCGGGGTTGAAGAGGAAGAGCCGTGCCACTCAGGCAGGATCAAGCAAGATATAGTAATTTGAACACAGCACCAGAGTAACATGCTGCAGACATCTGATCTGCTTTGGGCGCCGGCAGGAGAAACGTAACTTGGCGCCACGAACGCGCGTGACTGCGCGTCCCACAGCCCCTCAACGCGTCCAACCGCGGGCGCGTCGGGCGCACGCCAATTAATGGCACCTCATCCACACGCCTGCTCAACTTGCCTTCCTCAGGCTGCTATCTATACTCTGGCAATGTTTTCCAAGCCCTTCAAGCCACTGACAATTCGGAAAACAGCAGAAACCAACGATCTCACTAGGGAGCTGCCTGCCAAAAGAAGAAAACTCAGTCCTCCAGATGTGCCAACTCTTGCATCGCAGCGCCAACCACTTGTCAATGCTGCGGCGGACGACAAAGGCGGGAGCAGGCGCCCCTTGAACCCGATTCATAACCCTCCAAGTCCTGATGAGACTGCAAAGCCAAGAGAGGGCAAAGGGTTCGAAAATTACTACTCAGTCCTCTGGCGCATTCCCACCAACAAAAAGAACAAAACATGGACGGACGACGGACTGCTTGTGGTCAGTGGTGGTTATGCTTCCTTGTATAATAACACTGGAAAGAACATTGGCCGTGCTGCCTTTGCATACCCCCTGCTTCCAGGTTCCAATTTGTCTGTCGGTGGCAAAGAGATCGAGGTGGACGCGTGCATATCGAGAGATGAATACCTTGCTGCAGTCAGACTCGGAGGCTCATCTGGAAAGCAGATACAACAAAACGCATCAAAGTCAGATGATCCTGGACTTCTCGCTCCGCAACCTTCTAAATTAAGTTTGAGAGACCAGATGAAGGCTGAGATCCAGAGGGAAAAGGCAGAAAAGCCAAAAGGGACACGTTCTGAACTTGCTCTTCCTCGGACTTCGATATTCAAGCAGCCACTCAAAGAAACAACAGTATTGCCTCAAGTCTCAAAGGAAAAACCGATTCCTCGCCATGATCCCAACGCTGCAGGGTCTCTTGTGTTCAAGCGTCCACACCGTGTACCAGCCGGTCGGCAGGTGGTGGATGTTGTCCTAGATCCAGCGGTTGGCCAGCATTTGCGACCTCACCAAAGAGAAGGAGTCAAATTTCTCTATGAGTGTGTCATGGGTCTTCGCGACTTCAACGGACAAGGTTGTATCCTTGCAGATGATATGGGACTAGGGAAAACACTAACTACAATTGCCTTGCTGTGGACCTTGCTCCGACAGAATCCAATTCATAAAAAGTCCCCAGTTGTGAAAAGAGCTTTGATCGTTTGCCCAGTATCGCTGATCCGTAATTGGAAAAGAGAGTTCAGGAAGTGGCTTGGACTTGATCGATTAGGAGTACTGGAATTTGAGGACCAGAACACGAGCTTGAACAGTTTTGACGGTAGAGTTTATCAAGTTATGATCATCGGCTATGAAAGACTACGCACTGTCGCAGATGATCTTGCTTCAGGTCCTCCGATTGACATTGTCATATGCGATGAAGGACACCGGCTGAAAACAATGAAAAACAAAAGCAGTCAGGCAATCGAATCGTTGAACACTCCGAGGCGCATCATCCTATCAGGCACCCCAATTCAAAACGACTTGGGCGAATTTTATGCCATGGTGAATTTTGTGAATGATGGATGTTTAGGCTCCCAAAAAGGGTTTTCCAAAGATTTTGAGAACCCTATCATGAAGAGCCGACAGCCAAATGCGTCTGACGAAGATATTGAGCGAGGCCAGGATGCTAGCAACGAGCTCGCCAACGCGACTGCTCAATTCATTCTCCGGAGGACTGCTGATATTCTGGCCGACTTTCTCCCTCCGAAAACAGAGTTTGTCCTCTTTTGCAAACCTACGCCAGCGCAAGCAAAGATCTACAAGAGTGTTCTACATTCATCGATGTTTGACACTGCTCTACGCAGTAACGAAACCGCGTTTCAATTGATCACGATCTTGAAGAAGTTGTGCAATAGCCCGGCCCTGATGGATCCAAAATACGGCAATGATGATGCCACACCATCAGCATCATTGACAACCCTGAATGAGATGCTTCCTGCTGGTCTCTCGAAGCTGTACCATAACTCTGTCTCCTCCAAGATACGACTCTTGGATTGTCTCTTGCAAGAAATTCATAGTGCAACCGATGAAAAGGTAGTGATTGTGTCCAACTACACATCCACACTCAACTTGATCGAGCAATTACTAAGCAGCACTGGGCTGACTTATCTGCGCCTCGATGGTTCTGTTGCTGCAAAGAAACGACAAGGCTTGGTGGACCAATTTAATCGCTCCAAGTCCTCACAGTCGTTCGCTTTTTTACTGAGCGCGAAAGCTGGTGGAGTTGGCCTCAACTTGATCGGAGCAAGTCGATTGGTGTTATTTGATGTAGACTGGAACCCTGCCACCGATGATCAGGCAATTGCACGTATTCATCGGCAAGGTCAACAAAGGCACTGCAAAATCTATAGGTTTCTCATCAAGGGGAGTCTTGAAGAGAGAATCTGGCAGAGGCAAGCTGTGAAACGGGCATTAGCAGACAGCATAATGCAAGCTGGCACGGCTGTCTCGTCTGGTGCGAATGATGGCGGCAAGAAAGGAAAGAGTAGTACCTCGACTTTCAGCCAAGCGGAATTGAGGGATCTATTTCGGCTAGACGAGAACGAGGGACTTCGGACGCATGAGCTGATCAGGTGCGGCTGTGAAGGCACTCGTGGAAATTGCAATGCACAAGAGGAAAGTTATCTTCCACAAGATGGTGCCAAGCACGAGAAACGAATGCAGGACCTCATGGATTCATTTGATGACGAGCTTCCAGAGATCTCGGACTTGCCCTCGATCGATAGATGTAGTCGCAAAAAATGGACTGGAGCAAGCACACCTGTCAAAACCGGACTGGAGGCCGAAAGGCAAGAACTGATGAAGTACTCGCATCTGAATACTTCTGTGCTTTGGAGTGGAGACACGAGTCCAGATGTGACAAGCCGCCTCCTGGAAATGGTCGAAGATGCTTGCTTGGAAAAAACGCTGGGCATCGATCAAAAGACTATTGGGGGCGGAGGTGTTGCCTACCTGTTCAAAAAGACCAAAGGAAGCCAACTATTCAGAGCAGAAGGAGCAGAAGTTTGATGTCAGAAGTGTGATATTGATATTGATCATGGTCGCGTACCAAACGTGTCATAATCGATTTCCATAAACTTATAGGACTATGATTAGAAATCCCCACGGGTAATGAAATACGAGTTCCACCATTCAAGCAGTACAGACTCAGCTATCGACGAAGACGGTTGGCATGGATCCCGCATGTGGAACATCGGCCACCGAAACTGGTACTGGCATCCGCCAAGACAAGACCTCCCAGCTGTTGTCATCCTCAGCACCGGTATTCGATCTCTTACCGTCATCTCCCTCACGCACCGGCAGAGGCAAAAGATGATTATGGTAATGATGAGGCGGCCGAAACCCGTCTCCTGCGATTCTCGCACCGGATCCGGCGGCCCTCCACAGGAACTCTTGTGGCGACCCGCACCCCGAAGTGAACGCAAGCGACCGCCCAATCTCGGGTGCCGGCACGATGTCTCCATAGGTCTCAGGCCAATTGTGGAAGAAATCCTGGTCTATGTGCCAGACCCGGATCTCCAGTATGTGATTCAGGAACAAGCCCGAGAAGCTCCACCGGTCTGTGGTGTTGTCTAGGGAGATGGCTTCGTGGATCGTCTTGTCGTGTGGAAAGCCGAAACGGAAAGAGTAAACTAGCTCCGTCCAGAACTTGTTCGTCTGGGTTAGTGAGGAGGAGAGAACGGCGCGTTCGCGGAGCTTGGGCCTGTGATGGGAGGTCATTGTCGGTGTCTTGGGCGGGAGTTGAAAGAAATTGCGCGCTTACCATGGCAGCAGATCTGCGCAAAGCGGATGATCAACTTGGTACTGCGCCTTTCTGTTTGTCATATTAGAAAGCCGTGGAGGTCGCTGGGATCGAGGCGTTCTTACCGAGGACGATACCAAGATGGTAGGTTGCTGATTGAGTTTGCCTTTACCAAGCACTTTATGGAGAGAGCGTTAATCGCGGTGCTCGCGTCGCGAGCTTCAACTTTGGCACTTACCAATAGCAGAGAATGAACCATCCTCAAGACGGGCAATCGAGTCATGGCTCCAGCGCGACGGAAAATTCTGTTATCAAGATCCTCCAACGCTGCCCACAGAGGGCAAAAGAACTCATAGCGAGCCTTAAGGTGATCCCAGCCATGCATGATGCCTCGGATGAGGACATCATCGTTACGAGCGGTGTCAATGCACACATCCGCTGCACTTAGCGATCGCGCCTTTTGGACAGAGCGGCCCAGGATTCGCTGACAGTCTGACTTCTGGCTTCGATCCAAGGAGTTGGCCCCTTCCAGGTAGGGATCTAAGGGTGCGATCTCGCTGGTTGAGACTTGCAATGCCGCAGACTCGTTGGGGAGGATCAGCTGAGTAGAATTGGGCAGCATATGGGTGTCATCCTCGACATATGGTTCAAAAGAGCCAATTGCTCCCATAGAATATACTGGTAGGGTGTTTGACGTAACGGCAGGAATACCGAGGGTCGTATCCATCCAAGACACGTCGTTTAGCATTCCGGACACATCTCTAGGGATAAGCGCACCGCACTGCGCATTGGTGCTGAGAGTGCCGCTGGACTCTATTACTCGACTCCGCTTTAGATCCTCAAGTTCTGCGGTCACCTCGGCCAGCTTAGCTTCAAGAGTGACAATTCGTTCCGCATATTGTTCTCGTCGTTGCCTGACCCGTTCCCGGTCAATGGCTCTCTTCTTCTCGCGCTGAGACTTGGTGAGTTTCCGTCCGCTGGCCCATTGTCCAGAAGATGATGGGTCTGGCGGTGGCGAGTCCATTGCCAGTGCATAGCCCTGCTCGATAGGTCTTGCACGTCGGGGAAGGAGGTCTGAGTTACTTAGCTCCACCAATATCTTCAGCCTTGCAATAATTACTTGATGCATTCATTTCCGTGTTGCTTCTATGTTGATCGATATTTGCATCGTTATTTCAAAAGATTCCATAGATATCTTATACCCTCTCTCGAGAGGGTGACTGCAAGGATAGAACGTTAATTGGAATAGCAGGCGCCCATGGAGAAGGGAAGAAGGATGACTTTTGTTTCAGAAGCCAAGTCGGTGGGAAGATCGCTTATTCATCGGCCAAGTCCGGGGCAGAGCGTCAAGCGAGATTCATGAATAATTGCCCTGGCAAGGACTTAACTGAACCCGGCCTTGTGCGACTCGCACACTCAATCACGCTTCCAAGAAGGCCATGGATAGCGATAAATGGTGATAACTGCTGTAGCCCCCACTTTACTTACATACATACTGCTAAGACAGTCGTGGGGATAATGGGGGCCCTCCATATGTAAGAGCACCGATCCCCTCCATCACGGTGAGCAAATTTGATTTTGGCTCACCTTGCGAGGTTCGCCGCTTGGCGCAGGGCGAGCGTGGGCCATCCGTCGATAACTTGCCTGTTCTGCCGGTCGTTACAAGCCATCGATTGACACATGGCGTTGCTTTTTCAACCATGGACAACCCCATACTGTGTAATTCAGGCCGCCACTCTAGATGCTTCGCGGGGAAACCAGACACGCCAGACACGCCCGCGTTCCTCGCACCCATTGCCAGGGCGAAAGGGCAGAAGCATATAAATCACTTGTTTGGTTGGACGTAACAGCACCCAGAGGCCTTACAGATCAAGATTCGCTCAAGTCTCCGTTGTCCTGGCGGGAGAGATAGATTCAACGCCGAAGACTGTGCAGGAGTGCTGGGTACATATACTATCGAAGGATATACAACATCTAATATTGCGCAACAGCCATCAGACACCAAAATGACATTCAATGTCCTGCTTCCAATTTTCCCGGGCTTCAATACCCTCGATGTCAATGGGCCACTGGAAGTGCTCAAAAACTCTGGCTTACCGGATGACACGTTCGAAGTTTGGGTGGCATCTGCAACAGAGCTAACCCAGGCGTGCGAGGGAGTCCAAATTCAGCGAAACATCTCTTTCCAGGATATCCTCGACCCAAGCTCTAGAATACCTATACCTGTCAAGCTGTCAGACATCGATGCCTTGATCATCCCAGGAGCTCGGAGATGGGGTATTGACGACGTTTTGAACTCAGACGACGGTGGTGAGGGGCTACTCAAACTAATCCGAGAATATGGAGATTACGAGACCGAGACAAAACCTCGCTGGCTCATCTCGATCTGCACGGGTTCGGAATTCCTAGGTATCAATGGTCTCCTCCAGGGAAAGCCTGCTACGACACATTGGGCTGCCATTCCAAAATTGGAGGCTCTCAGCGAAAAATATGTCAAAACACATCAGGAAGTTGAGAAGATTGATGTTCAGAGAAAACGGTTCATCTACTCAGGACGTAGCAAGACTGGAGTCAACATTGCCACCTCAGGCGGAATCAGCTGCGGCATAGATTGTGTTCTCTGGTATGTCTCCATAGTCATGGATCTGGAGTCAGCAAAGAAGGTCGCGCATTTCATGGACTACCCTTGGGGCTTTGCAGATGTTGATTATACCAAGGGCTATGAAGTTTGAGCTGAGGTCGGAACAGTATCGCACGCATTGCTCGAAGGTCGGGGTTAGTGGAATTCGAAATTGACTGAAAGCTAGCGATGAGTTTGAATGAGCTTTGTACGCGTCCCTAGGAGACTGAAAGGATGTCGGGTCTGGGACACCCAGATTTACAGCTGCTAGCATTGTGGGACTGCTGTGGCACTCGACAGAATGATGCTCAGAATATATTGAAACGCCTTACAGTTTAGCCAAATATCAATCATAAGGAACATACATCAACTCTCTCTCGCTACTTGGTAGCGGAATTACTAAGGGAATGGACGTATACAAATATGTCGACGCGAACGGGGATATATGAGATTCTGAGATGCGGGGATACCCATTCCGAGACGTTGAGCATGTCGTTTGGAAGGGCGTGCCCAGTCCCGCTTGAAGTGATTCAATGACTGATCTCTTGAGCTTGGCCTCGGCTTTGGTTCCCCTGTACGGAATATCGCCTGTCGAGAAATGGCAATTTCTGAATACATACGAGGAGCAAAGACAACAGAGCCAGAGGCTGCTACTCCGTCCTTTGATAGAGAGGAAGTACTCCTCAGTACGACTCGACCTAGGCAGGGGCCACACCTCCACTATATCAGGAACACACTTTGGGCGATCCGCAGCCAAAAAAGTCAAATAAAAGGGGAAATGATTATCTTTCGTGTTCTGGGATTTGGTCAAACTTTGTTGGGAACGTGGCTAGGAGAAAAAGCAAGCCACATCCGGGCTACAATCAAACGCGAAGATTAGGCCAAGCCGTTAATCACACGATTTAAATCTGCGCTCTTAACCTTAAGAAATCTTCAAGAGACACCCTAAATAATGGGTGCGATAATCAGCATGTTTGAGCTCCTGTCGGCAGCTGTCCGTTCCAATGAGATGAGAAAATATGCCGTCGACTTATCTCGTCCTGTGACTTGCAGCCGCTTAGACATTGCTGTAACGGTAGGCAAGGTACTCGTACATACGAGTAGTGCTCGGTACCTAGGCGGCCAATTCCCGTTATTTAGAACCCCGAAAACGTTGCGACCTCCCGCCCCCATGTTTTGGCTTTGTCGAGGCGCCAGATTCGCTTAACAGCGGTCTCGGTAGGGAAAGGCTCAGGAGACGACGCTTTATCGCAGGGCATTGATGGGGTAGGGCTACAAGAGCCAAGAGGCCTTAGCACTGGAATATGATTGCTGAACGGTTATGGCGCATTACAGCTCTCTTCATTTGTGGTTTGACCATCTGTCCTGTCGACTCCGTATTCTCATACACTTGACCTACCAGTAGGATCATAGAGCCTCTGCATGAGTCGGCGACTAAACTTCCCCGCTAGGGAAAGGGGCTCCAGAACCTTTGACAAGGCTGCTTGGTCTCAAATTTCAATATGGACTTCTACACCGGTTGCAATACGAGCCACACATGTTGACGAGGAGGGAGAAGGTTAGCAATAGCAGGCGCTATACCCTGGTCTCTGTGCATATATCTCAAAAGGATTTTCTTCAGGAATTCAATTCAGAGCTGGTCCCAGCGTTTCTCACATTCCTTTGGATTCTTGCCATCAACAACACCCCTCTTCTACTCACCCCAGTCAGTCTTTGATAACTCATCAACCTCACATCAACCATGGCACAAAACGCCCAAGCCCAAAAACCAGTGATCGACCGAGATGATGTGAATGATTGGGTCAAACGCTTTAACGATGCTCTGGCCGATTCCACCGTCATCACTGGCGAGGCCGCCCCTGACGCTCGCCCATGGGCAGAGTCGCTGTTCGGCTGCTTCATGCCCATCGACACCTGCGCGATCACATGCTGCGTGCCCTGCATCACTTTCGGAAAGACCCACCATCGAACCAGGAAGAATGGAAACATGGAAGGATACAACTGCCTGAATACCTCTGTAAGATTGCCAATGCGCCATTCGTCTCGCAAGATATCCGAATAGCTAATCCGTTGAATCGGAACGCAGTGTTTGATGTTCGCCGGCTCCACCTGCTTCGGTCTACACTGGATCCCCATGATCTTCCAGCGGGCAGATATCCGCCGGAAGTACAACCTGCAGGGCAGCTTCGTCAGCGATCTCTTCACGTCGTGCTGCTGTGGTTGCTGCTCCCTCGTCCAGCAGGACAAGGAAGCCGAGCTGCGCGAGCAGGAGTTGGCCAAGAAAGCCAACGGTGCAGGCTACGCAAAGCCCGACGCGATGTCATACCCGGCATGAGCTACAACATTACCATAGATACCCCAGGGCTGCGAGGATGAGACGGTTGCATTTCGGTTGCAATAATGGAGGTCATATTTCGAAGGAGGCTAGGTAGATACCACGGGTGCAGGAGCTCTCCGAATTGAATGAATGTTCGCCAGCACCTATTCTCAATTAGTAGCTCAGATTTCATCTCTCGCGATAGATTCGTTGACACAATGTGTCACAGCCTCACGGAAGGCTTCAGCGATGATGTGCCTGAGATGACAGACCGAGATGTCGAGTCTCGACACAAGTTGACTCATTTTATACCTAAGTAAAATGCTACTCTGTGCTTCGTACCTCGCCTGCCAAGGTGGTTGCTGTTAGTTTTTCGTCGAGCGCTTTTCAGACGCTTCTTCTGATGCCAAGAAGCCAACAATTTGCACCTCACTGTGCCAGCCAGCTATTTGAACTCAATAACCAAGTTACCGGCTTTGGCCTCCGGGCTTTGAATGGGCCTAGGTGTGCCACGAGCGGAATGTCTCTTACAGATGGGAAACCAGTGCCGCTGGAGCTAACAAAGCTTCTCAGCTTTCACCTTCCTTTGTTCTGGATTTCCTCATGTGGGGAGAGGGACAGCAGCATGATTCTATAGGTAGTGAGTGATACGTATGTCTCTTGACAAGCGGACGGGCTGGCATGGGGTTGAAGGAGTGGGAACTGGTCGAATGTAGTGCCATGAGTCATTGCTCAGCTCATTGTGAGCAGCTTATAATTGGAAATGGGAGTAGATTTCCTCAGCTGACTAGGCTAGGCCATCATTCGACGGAGCATCGCAATATCTCGATCATCAGGTCGTCAGAATTGTTCTTTCATGTCGTAGCTAATAGCACTGAACTATCTCGGTTTCGAGGATCCCTCTCGAACCTGGGATGCTAGTAGTCGTCCCTGTACCTGGCATCATTACGGCCTTGGTCATAGGAGTCCGCGATGTTGTCACCGTAGCGGTCGACATCGTCTCCGAATCTCTCAACATCACCGACACGTCGGCCAGCCAAACCTGCAACATCATCGGGAACGGCCTCAACATCTTGAACACCATCATCCCACTTTTTCTCGATGTCTTGTGGGACGTTTTCCACCTCCCCAACTTTTCGTCCAGTCCAGCGGACCGCGTCTTCAGGAAAATCCTCCACATCTTCAGTGCCATTCGAGACGTCGTTGTCGAAGCGATATTTATCTTCGTCCCATTTCTCTTCTTGAGGATGATTAGCTCTGCCTCAAATTGCAGTTGGCTTGGATCATGAACTCACCAACTTTCTCTCCTTCATGCATGAGCAAAGCACCACCTGCTAAGCCTGCAACAACACCGAGGGCTACATTACGGCCAGTGTGAGACTGCTTTGGGGGTCCTTCTGGGTAGTAATCTCCTTGGCCATATCCTTGAGCTTGAGGGTGTTCAAAGGTACGTTCTCCAGTTTCACGGTTGACATAGAGCCAGCGGTTATCTCTCGAATCCCATTCAGCAACCCACGGAACTGGTACTTCTGGTGGCCTATCAGAGGATTGAGATGGACCATACTGCTGCTGCTGAGAGTAATATCCTTGGGAACCATCATCTGGACGTTTGTCCTTGCCAGTGAAACCTTCAATGAGATCCTTGATGAACGACATCTTGGTGGCTAGGAAGAATGAAGTTGACAAAGGGAAGTGAAGAACTTAGAAAAACAAGGAAATTATTAGGATATGGAGCTGAGGTTGGTTGAGGAAGAAGCTGCCGTTGACATGCCTAGTAAATTAACAATCGGGGGAACGTGAGAAAGAAAAAGGTCAAACGGACGTGTTGAGCGGGGACACGTGGGCACCCGTTATTACTATCAGCCAGAGGAGGGACATGAAAATGAAATCAAAATGGAGGGGCATGACAACCCGCCGAGGCCAGACTTTACTGATTTCGTTTTCATGTCAGCCCCTCGCCCCTCGCCCCTCAACGGCTTTCCTTCATACGAGAGTTCAACGTACGTCTAACCAAACTCTTGAACTTGCGGCTACAACTTCGCCTCGTGCTGGATTTACATGCAACGTCAATCGAAGCATCCTCGTGCTGGGATGAGTACCCGCCCAAAATCCGGCTCATCCCGAGGAGTCCATCTGCTACCCATGGTGGGGAAGCAGCGAACAAGCTCCTGCGCCTCTCGATAAGGTTTTTGATCTGGAAGCTTGTGTTTCTTGGCACCAATGTTCGCACGTGACTGCAACGGCTTTCTCCGACCATGCTTCCTTCCTTCCTTCGTAGAAGGTAGTACTACTATATCGGTGGCACTAAGAGAAAGAGGGACAGAAACCCTGTCAATCAGCATACAGTCATATTACTATTTGAACTACCATCGATCACAAATATCACCGCATCCTTACACCTTCAACTCCTGATATATTTGTATCAAACCCCACGGTTCGAACCTAGTACAAGATCTCATCGCCAGAAATCCTCCCAACGTTTCCCTTAGTATGCAAGTTCACTAAATCCATTCAGAATCGCCAAAAAAGGGCCCCTCGCAAGTCGCATCAGCTGACCGTTGGTGGCTGTCGTAGACGATGGGCTCAGATGAGGCGATCCCTCCAACGGCAATCAACCCTCCAACGTTAGGGATGCAGCATCGAGGCAAAAGCACACGAGCCACAGGCCCGTACACATGCTCACTTACCACTAGGGAGCGGCACAATACCGCCATATCTGAATCAAATAGCCAGCAAGGCTCCGCCGAAAACCTCGACACCGAGCTGCCTCCTTCAGAAGCACACGCCGCATCCGCCAATATCGCCCACACAATACAGAAGCTAGAGCGTCTTCTAGATGAAGTGATGCAAATAGCTGAGCTAGTTGATGTTCAGAATGATGGTAAACTGGGACAGCCGCAAAACTCTGATAGCAGTCTACCGATACGGCACGTCAGTTTCTCCGAAGACATTACATTAGCCAGGGCAAAGGAGGACCTTGACAAAGTCGGCGACCACGCAGCTAAGATTGCCAAGTCATGCCGAGGTGCCTGCAGTGCTGACGGTCTGCGAATACTCTCTCCAGAGCCTCTCGCAGAACCCAAGCGATCTGCGAATTCTACCCCCTCCGAACACTTATACCGATCTTCGGTGCAACGCAGACCTGTCGTTTCCAGGAGGTTCAAGCCCTCAGATATCCCGTCCCGAACGACATCAGTTGTGCCCAAGAGAGGCCGACATCAGAAGGTCGCCACTGAGACGAAGTGTATACCGGAGATAAGATTCGGCGACGTTGAATTGAAAGACAAATATGGCCCAGAATCCAAAAATCTGCTGGATGAGGACACCAGTCTCTTACAACCTAGGCCAGGGCACGAACGGCATTTCTCTAATGTCTTTGGGATCAGCTCAAGAGTAGGAAGTGCATACAACATAAGCTCCTACCAAATGCCAAGATGTATTGTCGATCTCAATGGCGCCCGGCATGTTGACCTACCCTCAAGTCCCGAGAAATTCCATGTGCATGAGACTTACTACCCATCTCCAGTGGCACGAAACTGGTCGAGCACTCGAAAACGATTCGCAGCACTGGTGGCTTGCACCAATACAGCCTGCTTGGGCCTTGTACTGGGAATATATTCAGGCGAGGTTCCAGCAATTCAATATGTGATTGTTGATGTTGACCGAGTGATGATCATGGGCAACGTCGGCCTATATTGTGGTCTTGCAATATCAACTCTGGTGTTCTAGCCGCTGCCATTGTTGCATGGACGCAAGCCATACACAATCTTGGCCCTTACTCTCGCCTTATGTCTTCAAATTCCGCAAGGACTGACAGTCATTCACTTCAGAGACCCCAGTATCAAGAGATTTCGAGTTTTCCTGCTTTTATCTCGCGCCATGTCTGGCTTTATTTTCGGCTTCGTCAACATCAACAGCTTTGCAACACTACTGGATGTCTTTGGAGCCTCTCTTCGGAGCAATAACCCGCGTGATGACATTATGGATCCCTATGATGTCCGACGTCATGGTGGAGGCATGGGTGTTTGGCTGGCGTTTTGGGCCTGGTGCAACATCGGTTCAATTTCCCTAGGCTTCGTCGTTGGGGCATTCATCATTAGTAACAGCAGCGTTGATTGGGGGTTTTGGGTGACTCTAATTATTCTGATGGCTGTCCTGATGCTGAACATCGTTGCACCAGAAGTGCGTAGATCAGCGTTTCGAAGGACAGTGAAAGAGATTATGGGAGACCATGGTGAATTCAGTCGCATAGCACGGGGAGAAGTCAAGCTGCACTTGACTGGGAATGGTCCATGCTGGTGGGGAGAGGAAGTCAAAGCTGGGCTCCAGTTAAGTTTGAGGATGATCAAGCAACCAGGGTTCTTCGTGCTGGCTCTGTACTCGGCCTGGGTATATGCACAATTCACACTCGTGCTAATGGTGAGTCCAGAACTCTGTCCTGGCGACTGGAAGCTAATTGAGAGCAGTTGTTGGGGGCGCTGGTATCGACACAGTACAGATTCCATCCTGTACAGGTTGGATTGTGCTGTCTCTCGCTTGCGCTGGGGGCAGCTCTCATGCTACCATTTCAGAAAGCGTCCTGGTTCAGCCGAGCTCGGTATTCGCCGCCGCGTACGGACAGCATGACGTTTCAAAAGGCTGCGATTTGGGAATCACATACGACTCGCAGAACGCTCTTCACGACTCTGCTACCGATAGCTGCAATTGGGTATTCAGTGGCGTCGAGAGGTCCAATGCTTCCGGTTGGCGTGCCGTGTTGTCTGGCAGGGTTGGTTGCAATGGCATCTAATTTGGCCATTGCCGAGAGCTACAGCTTGACCATGCAAACGTTCGACACTTCCGATCTGCAACCAGGAATGACGGGGCGACCAGCCAGAGGGTCGATTGCAAAACTGGTGGAGGAGCAGCGAACGAACTTCTCGTGCTATCCTCGAGTCAGTGCTGGTGTTGCAGTTACGCAGTTCCTGGAGTTCACTTTCGGTGCCGTATCAACGGCGATCTGCGGTCGAGTGCAGCGAAGATATGGTGCAACGGAAGCAGCAGCAATTGCGGCATCGGTATTGATGAGTCTGACCATCTTGTTTGCCCTGGCGGTATTTCGATTCAAGAGTGTGCAAATGATTCCCGCAACGCATGGGGGACGACGACAGGGTGAATCAGCTTAGCAACCTATTGTCCTTGGAAACCCTAGCGGTTTAACACGCAAGCTGAGCATTCTTGAAATGGGAAGCCAAAGTCGATGGTCCGAGATCCGACAGCGAAACCATCTAGACCAAGGGTGGACTGGAGTCTAGGGTCAAGAGGCATAGATAAATAGTCATCGTGGTTCTTCAATGTGCATGTGCCGAGTCTGCGGGTACCAAAGCAAGCGACCGTCCAATGCCCGAAGCGTATGCTCGCAGTGTGTGGGTCACGAATTTTACGAATTTTGGTGAGCAGTTGGGCACGACGCGTGGACCGTTGGACGGAGGTACGAGGTACCGTCCTCGTACCATGTCCACGACGAGCTGCACACCTCTTTGTCAGCAGTGCCATTGCGTAGGAGGCACCTAGGAGGCACCCACTTGTGGACAGGCACTACGAGTACTGCTGGGAAAACCACTCACTCTGGGTAACTGGCATCGTCGGCAGGACGGCAGATTTCCCTCACACCTCGGCAGCACATGCCTGTGGCTTGCATGAGCTCCTGACGGAGTGGGAGGCTATAGGGACACCCAGAAGGCTTACCTAAGGTTACCTGGGCTACTTAGGCTTACTCGTAGGCCGGAAGGGTTGCCTCAACTTAAGTGGCGGCTAACGACATACTGTACCTACGGGGTACTACATTTTTCCTCCCCTGGCCGTGTCCAAGGTAGACCCGAGCTGCAGAGGGGATCTAGCACTTCTGCTCTACTCCTATCTCCTTGATGAGTCTCTGGTCTGCTGGTAGATCATTATGCCGCTGAGTAGTTCCGGGATCAGAATTGCCTAGGGCGATTTGGTTTCACTAGGGCCGATGACTAAGGGCGTGGTCAAGCAATTTGGCGGTGGCACGGCGCCCAACCGGCTGCCCTTAAGCACCACAATAACGATTGTTTCGCCCTAAAGTTTGGCCAGAGGGGCTACGTTCGGCGGTTTTAGCGGTCATCTCCCGCCTAGCTCCAGGTGGGACCCCCGGCGGCAAGGCCCAATCGCCTGGCCTATATCCGCCCCAACCCTTGTACCATTTCTGGTTGTCGATGTCATCCTGGAGCTAAAGTTTTGTCGATGGAGAGCGCACCCAGTAGCACCTCCGTACCAGCAATAGCAGTGAACTGCATTGCATGGGATGGGATCGCATTTCTTCACCTCGTCCTCGGTCTTCGTTCTCGCACTGCGTAATTACTCATACATAGACAATGCCGCCACCAGCCCAAAGCCGTCGCCCTCCACCCACTTCTGGATAACTCTTACCAACATCCCTACTACTTTACCACCATTACTAAACTGACCATCGACTCGTCAAGGTTCCCTTTATTAGCACTATTCTTATTGCCGCATATATACTCTGCCTGCGGGGTCGCATTTGCGATCTCAACTCGCTTGGAATACATCAGCCCCGAATTGGGTTTCGCATCCACTGCTTTCGTTGACGATAAGCTGGTTCCCCAAGACTCGTCACCATTCTCTCCTGGTCTCGCGACTAGCACCAAGTGCACGAGCTACGCCTTGTGCGTGAACGATCTGAGCCGATAGCCCTGCGCCCAAGAGCATCGCCAAAGACACTAAAAGAGCAGGGAACGCTTTGATAAAATGGATATCGTCGATCGCGATATGGAGAGGGCGGAGGTGATGGCCACCAGGACATATTCGCAGGAAAGCAAGGCCCGCCGCTCTTTACGAAGTCAACGATCCCACCAGTCTGTTTCCTCCTCTTCCGGATCCTCCACCTCCACGGACGCAGATGTGATGGGTAGGATCGCAACCGCCTCAGCCGCAAGCCTAGGGCGCACGAGAACACACCCTGTCGAAGATCATCGCACAGAAACGCATAGATTGCAACATATCCAGACAGTCGGAGCCAGCACAAAAAGTCGCCCCGACACAAAACCATTACCGGAGTTTGGTGGTGGAAAGCCTTATCCTCCTGCTTTGCCCGAGCGGGAAGAATATGTGGTCGAGTTTGATGGCAAAGATGATCCTCTACACCCCCAGAACTGGCCCTTTTCGAGGAAACTCTACTTGGGCGCCATTCTAGCATACACCTGTTTATGCAGCACCTTTACCTCTTCTGTCTTCTCCGCGTCCACCACGACCGTTGCCAGAGTTTTCGGCATCGGGCTTGAAGTCGCCACTCTCAGCACCTCGCTCTACGTCCTGGGCTACGCTTTCGGCCCTCTTGTCTGGGGCCCTTTTAGCGAATTGCAAGGCAGAAAACTGCCCATTTTGGTTGGCATGTTTGGTTTCTCCATTTTCAATTTTGGCTGTGCCGCCGCCAAGGACATCCAGACTGTCATGCTCTGCCGCTTCTTCACCGGCCTGTTTGGGTCATGTCCTCTGGCAGTGGTGGCTGCCGTCTTCGCCGATATGTTTGACAACACCCAGCGTGGGCCGGCCGTCGTCATTTTCTCCGCCATGGTTTTCATGGGTCCGATGCTGGGGCCTTTTATCGGTGGTTTCATCAACGCGTCCTACTTGGGCTGGCGTTGGAATGTCTACCTTCCAGGCATCATGGGCTCGGCTTCTTTCCTTCTGAATCTGTTTTTCCTCAAAGAAAGCTATGCTCCTGTGGTCCTGGTCAGCAAAGCTGCCGAGTTGCGCCGCCGAACTAAGAATTGGGGAATCCACGCAAAGCAGGAGGAAGTCGAAGTCGATTTTCGCGAGCTCGTGACTAAGAATTTCTCCCGTCCACTTCGATTGTTGGTTTCGGAGCCCATCATCCTCGCCATCACCATCTACATGTCTTTCATCTACGGTCTGCTTTATCTTTTCTTGACTGCATACCCTCTCGTTTTCGCCGGCGTTCATGGTTTCAAGCCTGGGGTATCAGGGTTGCCATTCTTTGGAATGGTTGTTGGCATTTTCATCGTGGCTGCTTATATCATCTTCACCTCCAAGCAGTACAACAAGAAGCTCGAGGCCAATGGTGGCATTCCCGTCCCCGAATGGCGTCTCCCCCCTGTCATGATCGGGGGTGTGCTTTTCGCGCTGGGTCTTTTCTGGTTTGGCTGGGGTGGCTACAAGAGATCTGTTCACTGGATCGTTCCAACTCTTTCAGGACTCTTCACCGGATTTGGCCTCTTGGCTATCTTCATCCAGTGCTTCAACTATCTCATTGATTCCTACCTCATGTTGTAAGTGATATATCCCCTCTCAACATCTGCCCCTGCATACTGACCCTATGTTAGTGCTGCGTCAGCGATCGCGGCGAATACTTTTCTCCGTTCGATTACCGCAGCCGGCTTCCCCTTGTTCGCACGCCAGATGTTCGATGGCATGGGGATCGAGTGGGCTTCCACGCTCCTCGGGTGCTTCGCGTTCCTGCTTGTACCGATCCCAGTTCTGTTCTATCTCTACGGCGCGAAGCTCCGTGCGAAATCCAAATTTGCGCCGACGATGGCAATCAAGAAGCCTGCCGATGAAGAAGAAAGCAGCAGCGATGATGAGATGCAGATGGCTGCGCTTCACGCCACTAGAAGTCGTGCCCACCATGACTTGAACACGGGAAGGTCGAGAACGAGAACAAGGACCAATGCTTCGGCCGGTGCTGTTCCATCAGCCACCATACCCTCGAATAATACCAATTCTGCTGGGGCGGAAAAGAATGCGTGAAGCTTGGGTTAGCAATTCAGGCGGGACTGAGTCTATCGAGCCAGTCATTGAATTACCCGTATAGACTATTCAATATTTCTGCTACAATCCCTGCCCTGACTTACGAGAGTCGATTGTTGTCCTCTGTTCTCGGATAGGCCTGATTTCGAATCTTGACTATCACACTGCGTAGTAAGAGTGGAAGATCTAGCCGTCTCTCCACAGTGCCACGTGAAACGCGTGCATCACTGAGGCCTTGCTCTGAAACTTTGAAAATGAGAGACAGAGAGAGAATGCGTGTGTGTGTGTGTGTGTGTGTGTGTGTGTTTGTGAGCCTTGTCTGACCAAGCTATCTATTTGAACGACCCCTGTCTATTCGGCGGTTGTTTTGGAAAGAAACCTCAAATCCATTGCTTTTTATTGATCTATGTACAAGTGCCTGCGTACTACAGCCACACAGCAGTGGCGGCGCCCTCGCCCTCTCCCAATGTGACCCGTGCGGCCTCGGTGAGCTTCTTCCCGTCCCAGGCGAGCACAAAGACGAGCCCTTCCTCACTGTCCGTCAATGCAAGGTACTCGATGCCGTCGACCGTCGGCCCTGGCTGGACGGCGTTGGCCCACCCGCCGCTTGTTGCTGTTGTGTACATGTCCAGGAGACCAGCGTAGCGCTCGTCGGTCTCGTAGCTGCTGGTTCCTCCCGCGCCATTTCGTTGCTGAGATGTATCGATCCGCCCATCCGCCGTGAGCTGGTAGACGGCAACGTAGCCTTTCTTCCCGTGCTCCAGGCCTCGCGTGCTCGCGTAGAGATACTTTGGTGCATCTCCGTTGGACAGGCTGGTGCGGACCTCGTCAGCCCAGAATTCCCCCTCGCACTCTTCCGCCGGGATTATCCTCACGCCCTGATCGAATTGTAGGCGGCCCCCTCCATGTGTGGAGAAGACATCCACCATGCTCGTATGCTCCTGTAGACAGTAGACGAAGCGACCAGACGGGTGCGGCCAGACGTGGCGGGGCCCGTCGTTCGCGCGCGGCGAGATATGTTTCTCACCCAGCGTCAGGGAGCCGTCGGATGGGGACACCGTGTACGTCCAGATGCAATTGCGACCGATGTCCGCTACGTACAACGCCTGTCCATCTGGCGAGAGATCTGCGCTGTGTGCTCCGTGCCGCAACCCGCCAAAGTCCATCACTGTCCCATTGTCGCGTTGTGATGCGCTGGTATCCACGAATGAAAGGTCCTGGAGAGGCTTTATCGGCTTAGATGCGCTATTGCCATTGGTTGCTGAAGTCGGTGACACGATCGCTCCTGTTTCCGGATCCAAGCTGTACACCTCCCCCGTCGCACCGCCGGCCGAGTACAGTGCAACGTCGCTTGCGGCCACATATCCGCTCCGCGATCTCGTTGGTGCCGTATTGAGCAATCGAATGGATGTCGGCGAGTCTACAGCGTAGGCGACCACGGAAGGAGGTTCTGTCCAGGCTGTGGCATAAAGATTTCGCACACCATGACGCCGGGGTGGGTGTAGATGTAGCCAGCTGTGCGAACCGACAACGCTGGATTTCTGCACGATCTTCAGAAACCCGGAGTTTTTGATTTTGGTTGCTGATGTTGGAGATGACGCCCTCGGAGGAGTGAATCGGAGAGTGTAAAGGTTAGGGGTGTTGAATGTGCCCACAAAGAAGTCATAGGGCTGTGGCTGTGTCATTTCTGCTGGCTCTGATGGCATGATTGTTGTTGACGATGCTGAAGAATTTGCGTATTGAATTATCGAGACTATCTCGAAAATCAAATCGTGAAGTAATGTTTGAAACAGTGTCTGCTGCAGTGTGGTCGCGGCCCAAGGTGCTTGTATTTCCTTCTGTTCTTCCCCAGTGATCACCCAGTCTAAGAGAGATGAAGAAATGGGGACTATCCTGCAAATTTAATTATTTTCATTCCCGACACAATAAGTGCGAACCCGAACATTACCATTTTCCTAACAGCATTGGACGTTTGGTGCCTGTCGGCTATCAGTGGTTAAGGTCTGGTGGCGCTGGAGTTTATCGGATAGGGACACTGCGGCTCCGAGCAAAGGCTATATTTACTTCCATTCATACCTACAAGTAAAGTACCCACCTGGAACTCATTGAAAATCAACTGGCTGAGTGTGTGGAATTGACATGGCAAAATTAGATGGCTGATCTCTCATCGGCCAGGATGAGAGTCTAGTGAACGGATATCAGGCTATGAATTGATAAGCCATAAGGTGAGGTCCATCTAGGACGCGCTCTTTCCCAACGGTCATAGCTTAAGCCAGAATGGTCGCACCTGCCTAGGCTGTCCTCGGTTGGGTTGGGAAGGCAGTCCCGAGGGGAACACTTCCGACCAGACGCGTCCCTTCCCCGCGTTTCGTGTTGCACTTCGGGATGGTTCATTAGCCGACACCGACACCCTCAGTCCTTACCCAGGCTACAAGCACGATAACTCAGGCCGCACTGAAGGGGTTTTGTCGCGTGTCACAGATTGGTCCACGGACCATGCCAGCCTCTGAACATCGACTGGCTTCGGTGGTTGTAAGCAGAAGCCCGAGCCTGCTGTCCAAAATAAGTCGCTATACCCTCCCTAACATGCCGTTCAAACCATGTCAACAATCCTATCGTTTTGAAGTCCCTTGATTCAGAATTCCTAGACAAAATGTATGGTCGTGACTTTTATACATTTGCAAACCAGGATGCTGTGCCAACAGCTATCATCAACATCATTCACACCATCTTGAAGTCCTGGGATCAAGCCAAGACCGACTACAAATACATCTCCGCATTTGCTCCTGACGGAGTGCTGCATGTCGCCCCTCTGCCAACTCAAGGAGAGGAAGCACTCAAGAAGATCCACGACGACATGATCAACCCAACCAACGGTCCTGTCATCAACCTCCAACACTACCTCGACCGTGTTTACATCATGCCGGGAAGCATGGACGGGAAAACCGAGGCTGTCTTCAACGGGAAACTGACCAGCCACCTTTTGAATGGGAAGAGTGTGACAACGGATTTCGCAACCAGGCTGATCTTGGTGGATGTTAATGGCGAACTGAAGGCAGAGTTGGTAAGGATTTATTCCGATACCTCTGCATTGATGAGTGAGATGGTCCGCATGGCCACAGCAGCAACATGATTCACCCGCGCTGTGCTGGTGCCGCCCATTTTACTGTGGCCGAAGAACTCCGGGGGAAATAGTCTGCCTTCCTACTGGCCTATTGTGGTCAGCGAGCCCCAAGAAATATTGAAAGATCGCCTGATGAATGGAATTCGCCACTTGATCCTGTCAAATGGTTCACCCCTAGAGTGCTTGCCATTGTCTGAAGAATGAATGATCGACGTCAAGAGTGGGTGTTCCTGGACACGCTTGAAAAAAATTAAGTCTACAACATCACAGTTCGTGACCTTCAATGGAGCCTGGACCGAGTCTAGCCAGGATGGTAATTGTCTCAGTTCTCCCTGGACCCAAGCCGTGTGGTCGTTGTGGTCCTTGAGAAGGGCTAGAATCTGCAAACACAGCTATTGTGCTGTCCATATCCTGAACTCATACTCCGTGCCATCTGTCCCCGTTCTGGGGATATCTCAAAGAACCAATTCCCGATCATCTGGGCCCTCGCCTCAATTGTTTCGGTTCCACGGCAAAGGTATTCGCCTAGCACTCTTGCATTTTCATCTGCTCCATGTCGCAAGATCGATGTCATCTCCTTTTCTAATCCCTTTCTATCGCATCTACTACCGAAGCCGGAACCAACCAGGCTCTCAGTCACAGATTGTGATCACGTAATTTCCTGAACCTTCGCACTTAGCCTCGATACGATAATTGGGCTATTTTTCCCGCGTTGGTGGAAAGCTCCTTCTACAGAGAGGTTGACAGAACAAAGATGGATATTCTACCAACGCACTACTCGTAAGTCAAAAGCACAACTCAATGCCTTGTTGGAGTAGAATAACTTCCCGATCACATGATGTCCACGAAAAGGTTCTTGCATGGGGCTCCGGGCATCCCCGACGCCTATTGACTTGGCAGGCTCGCTCCAGGGTATCAAACCCCGCCTATTTGACTCGCTAACTACCCCTACTATCTTGGAGAAGGCACCCACGCAAGAATCATGGGGTCAAGGTTCCACCCTTCCCAACAAGTAAAGGAATATTGCGGGATATTGTGGAGTGAATTTGCCAGGACCTTCGAAGCTTGAAATAACAATAACACATTGGCCGATGAGAACGCGAACACTTCTTCTTGGGGTACGCGGTACTGAGTATATAACGAGCTACAAGGCTAGGAGCTGTTCTTATTCTAACAATCGTAACTGAGTCCACCACTACCAGCGGTTTAATCCAACGAATATCTCATTCTCGAAAATGTCGGTCCCCAAAGAAATTGATGAGAAGGACTCCTCACTCTATGGAGTTCAGGAGCATGAGGTTGGAACACAAGTTACCCCAGCCGCCCAGCCCTTGGACAAGACAGAAGGTGAATGGACCGGTTTTGATCGCAAACTGATCCTCAAACTGGACTTGCTGTTGATACCACTCGTCACCACGGTATATCTACTGGCATTCCTCGACCGTGCGAACGTCGGCAATGCGAGAGTTGTAAGTAAAACCTGCAGCCTTACGACAGACCATCAGCTAAGTTGATTCGCTGAATAGGCGGGTCTACAGACTGATCTGGGCCTCACCGACAATCAGTATCAGACGGGTATGTATAATGAATGAACACCGAAAATCTTTATGCCAAACCACTGACATCAAAGATAGCCATCACTGTCACATACGTGCCGTACATTGCAGCGGAGATTCCTTCAAACTTGATCATCAAGAAGATTACCCCTCGGATATATATTCCACTTCTGTGCTTCTGCTGGGGTGTCATTTGTACACTTCAATGTCTGATTCATAACTATGCTGGCTTACTAGCCTGTCGATTCTTCCTTGGACTGGCCGAGGGAGGCATCTTCCCCGGGATAGTACTCTATCTCAGTGGCTTCTATCGACGTCATGATCTTTCTTTACGGATCGCCATGTTTTGGTCAGCAGCTTCCCTAAGTGGCGCATTCTCCGGCTTACTGGCGGCGGCGATCTCAAAGATGGATGGCGTTGGCGGCATGAGGGGGTGGAAGTGGATCTTCTGCCTTGAAGGGCTCTTCACTATCAGCTGGGCAATTCTGGTCTATATCCTCTTGCCCAACGACCCTCATGGCGTAAGAACATTTACTCCTGATGAAGCTACTCGCTGTGTCGAACGCCTGAAGCTTGACGTCGATCTCCTAGCGGAAGAGAAGGTCACAACGAAGAAAGTCCTGTCCGTCTTCACTGATCTGCACCTCATTCTGATCTGGATCATTGCAATCTGTTCGGGATGCATCATCTTTGGACTGGCCTACTTCGCGCCTTCGATAGTTAGAGACATGGGCTACAGTCCTATTCGAACACAACTCATGAGCGTTCCTCCTTATGGTTTCGCGTTTGTCCTGAGTCTTGGTGTCGCATACTACTCAGATAAATACGCCGTTCGAGGCGTACCGATGATCCTCACGCTTGTTCTCTCACTGATTGGAATCATCTTATTTTACGTCGGTCGGAGCACACCAATCAGATACACTGGACTGTTCTTCCTTCTAGGTGGAATCTACGCCAACGGACCATGCCTGATCGCATGGATCCCGAACAACACAGCTGGGCACACGCGACGAGCAACAGCAATCGCAGTGAACTGCATTTGCAACAACACCGGAGGCATCATCAGCACCTGGATCTATCCGAAATCCGACGCACCGTACTATCTTTTTGCAGCGAAATTCATTCTTTCATTGAACTGTATTGCCTTCGTGGCCACTGGTGCGGCAATGTGGGTGTTCAGCCGCGCGAATAAGAAGAAGGAGGACCCTGAATACAGACAGAAACTATTGGGTGACATGGGCGATCTTAGCTTTGCTCAGCAGCTGGACCGTCTCGGCGATCATCATCCTGACTATAAGTATATTATGTAGGATAGAGAAAGCCTAGATGAGGAGGAGTCGACTAAACAGTTCGTGGTGGATTTGGGTTCCAGGTGGAGGAGATCTAGCTAGGATAGAAATCGCTAGTAGCTGCTTTTACACAGGCTACAGAATTCTCAATAGCATACTTCGGCTTTTCCCCCATGTGTCTATCTAGAGATATACCTGATGTTCTACTCACTGAGTATGCAATCTGATCTAAGTTGCGAAGACTGCATCCCTGATAACTCCCAATTCCCAAAAGGCAGCCGGGTCAACGGAACTATCTAGCTACTTTTAGAGACAACTTCTGCAAGTAATGAGAACCAAGTACGGTTGTCGGTTGAGTTATTGCCGTTTCTAAGGCATGGCACCGTGTAAACGCAAGACATGATTTTACATCTTGCATGATTCTTCTCTACATTTAGCGATCACTATTTTCACACCGAATCCACAATCTTAGACGGATCGTAACCAAAAGCCTTCAGAGCACCTTGCTTCGCCTCCACTAGGTCGATTCGATCGACCTTAGCTTTCAGCGTACCTCTCGTCTCCAGCAGTCTATCAGCCACTTCTCTCCATCTCATTGGAGAGGATGAGATGGGAAATATCGAGTCGGGATCTCCTTCGGGGTGGACAGGCTCGAGTTGACCGTCTTTCTTCCTTATGATGCCATCAACCATCGTGAGCACGACATCGGCAGGAGTTGAATGCATAACAATGGCAGTGATTGGATCCTGCTGTGCTCCGCAGACCATGTTGGGCGTTAAAGCGTCAAAAACAATGATATCTGCAAGCTTGCCTTCTGCTATACTCCCGAGCTTGTCCTCCATACTGATTGCCCTGGCACCGGCGACCGTTCCCAGTGCGTAGACTTCTTGCACTGTCTTATTGACTCTCGCCGGTTTTAAGCCCCGAACGATAAATTTCTCGTTGTATGTGCCCCTCGAACTCTGCAATGCGACACGCATCTCAGCTGGGAGACTTGCCAGGGTGACGTTGTGGCAGTCTATTCCTAAGGACGAATGAGACTCCAAGTGGCGTTCAGCATCAAAGCATGCAGGGGTGCCCATTCCCATTTGCAATTCAAGGGACGGTGTGGAGGACACGTGGGCACTTCTCTTCTTGATGAGCTCTATATCTTGGTCTGAGAGCGAGTTTGCGTGAGAAAGAATTGCCCCCTGCGTTAGTAGTCCACACTCTTCCATCTTCTGTACAGACGATTGCGCTCCTGAGATGATCATTAGCTTGTACGAACGAATGTGCTGGGTAGATGTAAATGAAGCTATTAAAACAAAACCTACCAGCTCTAGGAGGCGAGTTGTGCGTGGTCCAATAGTGTATTCCCAATTTCTTAATCTCATCGAACAAACCAACGATCATGTCTTTGGGTAGGAACCAACCATCAAAAGCAACACCGAGCGTGATTCTGTTGTTGCCAAAAGGGGCATATTGGCAGATTCTTTTCAAGTTGTCAAGAGCCCAAGGCGCGATGAACGACGGATTAGTCTTGAAGGGCGACCAAGAGTCCACACGCGCGTTAAAGCAATACCCGTAGACCGATCGTATGCCGGACGAGGCCGTAGCAGCAATGGCGGCTCTCGCTTAATGCCGATATAAGTCAGTCTCACAGCCAGCCATGAGACTTGGGACGCATACGATGATCCTCGGAATAGTTCAGATGACTGTGATCAACCACAGTTGTCGTCCCTGCGTTGATGCTTTCCAGGCATCCCGCCAACTGGCCCCAGAACACTTCTTGCGCATCGAAGCTCGCGGCCTGAAATATTCCTATCATTCCACGGAATAGTGTATAAGTTTGGTTTTTCTGTCATGACGCTTTATTTGAGGCCCTTACCTCGGACGAGATAGTCCTCCAAGAGATCGTCTCCGTGTCTTCCTCTCAGCCCAATCGTGTACATATGCCTGTGTGTATCGATAAATCCCGGTGCGACAATCTTATTCGAGCAATCTATGACTTCGGTTCCGGGGAGTGGTTCGATGTCTGTCGCTATCTTTTCAATTTTGTTGCCGGAGACGAGAACATCCGCTTGAATGCCCTTGGCGGTATCGTCTCCCTCGTGGATCACAACAGTGCCTCCGCGAAGGAGAATTCTATCCTCATGAGTCATGGTGGTGGAGGGATGAATACCGTGTTCAGTTGATTTTCACAATGTGTCCGTTTGATAAGCCGTCAAATAATTCACAGGACGGATATCCCTTCGAAGTCGTTCAATGTTCCCGTGACTGGAATTTGGAGTGTGCCTACGTTCACGTGAACGCAACGCTTGAGAAGTTCTCCACTTCAATTGATATCCATCGAAATACAATACTCTCACTTTCACAATGAGGCAGCTGGATTTTACATTTTCTGGATGTCTTTGTTGGCCTCATACCGGGAATCAAATTCCCATTGGTCATTGCTTCTGAAAGTCTAGGGTCTTATCTAGCTTTCAGCAGTGAGAATAAGTCCGCGAGTATTCCAACTCCCAAGTGCTGGGTTGAATTCGATGACTTTGGAAAACACTCTCCTCTCTCCTTAATTTCAAACTGGTGTTAAGTGAAATAACGACATGGCTCCGAAGCAAGGACTCATCGAGAAGCCCATTTCTGCGCTACCAAGAATCCATCGATTAATCACAAGCCATGACGAAAATTCCGGTCAGGCTATAATCCATTCTTTCGAACCTGGACTCTGGCAACCAATGCGAAATAATACTGTTGCTTTGGATCTTGTCTACACCACTTCCGAGTTTCCTGTGCAGATGAACAATGATGCAGATGTTGAGGCACACGAAAGGGTTGTCGAAAAAGGGGTCGGATTAGTGAATCCAGGTGGCAGTGTGTGTAGGATGGTCGATTTCTCTCCGAGCAATGACCCAATGATGCATCGAACCAAGAGCCTCGATTATGGAGTCGTGCTGGAAGGAGAGATCGAACTCATACTAGACTCGGGCGAGATGAAAACGCTGAGGAGAGGCGATGTCGCAATTCAAAGGGGTACAATGCACGCCTGGAGAAATCCGAGTACGACTCAGTGGGCCAGAATGATGTTCGTCCTACTTGATTCGCAAGCGTTGCAGATTGGAAACTATTCCTTGAAGGAATCTCTTGCGCCAGGGCAACACGAGATACAAGGCAGTGGAAACGATAAATAAGAAGCTATGCAATCACGAGAAGAAAAGAAGCCTGTGGTATGACCAGAGAGAGGGTTTTAGAATTGTGCAATTCTTACAACATAAAGTACTAGTAATATGTGAAGGTCGCTTAACTTCTTTGATGTAGCCAGCGTTCCTCTTGTGGCCGCAGTCAAATCTGAGAATTCCTAGGATCCCACAGGCTCTCCTCCCTTCAACCAGCCTACATACATCTTGTGTCAAAGATACTCTCATTTCTGTCGCGGCGAAATAGAAACAAATACAGACGGTCGTCGTGCACCGTGAGGGTTTTCAGGCAATGCTCAGCAACACCAATCCATCAAAACGTGCATATGAATTTATGGAAGACTGACAGACGCACCCTTGACACGTTGCAGTGCGACTAAATATCCGATCATGTGAGCGCCTTTTTCTCGTTCCTCAAGATACCGCTTGGTCCAGGTTTACCCCCACAAATTGAAGAATCGCCCACAATGCCGCTGGGTGTAACCCCGAGAAAATATGAAGTGCAGCTTGTTCACCATCAAAATAGTTAGATCAATGCGGCACCAGCATACATTTGACCTGCCACAGATATCTTGGCATGCATGCATTCACGTCCAACCTGGCCATGTTTGGGCCAAGAGTCATTTGAGCAAGAAGCGAATGGGACGGAGGAGACAGCTGACGACTTAAACGTTCCTCAAACCACATTCCATCTCACAGCAGGAGACTGGCTGTGAATCTCTGGTAAGGATTATCTTGTGCCGATTTCCCGATCGTAGTGAAATTTGTCTCTTCATTGCGATAAAAACCCGAGGTTCACCACTTTCACAGCTTCGCTGCATAAGGCTGTGGATTTTGTTCGAGGAGTTCATTCAGCATGGTGGGAATTACGAAAGCTGTCTTAATATCTCTTTTGGGGTCGCTCTGCCTCCTTCTCCTACGTACCTTACAGGTTGCCTACCAAAGAGGAATTCGCAGAGTACCTGGACCATGGCAGGCGAAGTTCAGTATACTATATCGAGTATCAATGGTGATGAAAGGCAAAGCTGTCCAAGAGTACTGCGAAGTACATCAAAAATACGGTGATATCGTAAGGGTTGGGCCGAGACATGTCTCGATTAACGACCCTGTCGCTGTTCAGCAAATCTATGGCATTTCAAGCAAATTCAGGAAGGTAATATTGTCCCCTGCATTATGATCTATCTTCAAGGTCTGACAAGGACACAAGTCGGAATTCTACTCTGTATCGCCGCCGTACTGGGAAGGCAAGCAGCTCGACAACATGTTCACCGTAAGAGACCCTCAGCAGCACAGAGTTCTCCGAAGCGCAACTGCTCAAGTCTACTCGATGACAAATTTGAGGAACTATGAAGCACACGTAGATGAGTGCACGGAGCTGTTTCTAGCCATTTTGAAGAAGCATGAAGGACGAGCGATTGATGTTACTGAATATATCCATTGGTATGCATTCGACGTCATTGCAGCCATTACATTCCAAAAACGCCTAGGATTCTTGGACGAAGGGAAAGACATGCTAGGTATGGTCGCAACTCGAAGCTTCAGTGCGAAATATTTCGCGTTTGCTGGACAGGTTCCTTGGGCCCACCCATACCTCCTAGGTAACCGACGAATGATGGGATTGTTGGCAAAGTTGTATCCTGACATGCCAGACCCTCATGGCACCCTCTTCGGAGTAAGTACTTGGTCTCGTTGTTTGTGAATTCTGATCCAAATGCTAATTGTTGTTGGTAGCACATAGAGAAACAAATTGAGCAATACGACCTCGAAGAGCGACAAAATGGACGAACAGACTTTCTCCAGCAGTTGAGGCGAAAAGATGACCAGGACCGGGCAAATCATAAGCGTGATCTCATGAACCATCTGTCCAACAACGTGTAAGAGGGCCAGAATCTAGGTGCTTTTTCTCGGTAAAGGATATCTTGAAAGCTAACTCTGGCTGCACTAGATTGGCCGGAAGCGATACTATCGCCATTGCACTACGAGCAATATTCTACCATCTGGTAAAAACACCGCGTGTGTATAAGAATCTTGTGGATGAGATCACAGAGGCCGATAGCAAGGGTCTACTATCCAATCTCGTAACATATCAAGAAAGCCAGAATCTGGTCTATCTGTACGTTTGGGCAACATTTGCTTGAAATAGGCTGACTGGAATTAGGCAAGCCGTCATGAAGGAAGCTATGCGGCTTCATCCTTCAATCGCATTTCCATTGGAAAGAGTTGTGCCACCAGAAGGCACCCAGCTATGTGGCTATGACTTGCCTGGAGGAACAATCGTGGGTGTTCTAGCGCCTCTGATAAATCGCAATCAAGAGATCTTTGGACACGACGTCGAGGACTTCCGGCCTGAGCGATGGATCGAGGCTGATTCAGAACGTCTCAAGCTGATGGAAAGAACCTACCTGACAGTAAGTACCCTCTCCCACGGAGTGCTCTCCATCCTCATAAACCTAACCCACATGCCCAGTTTGGACACGGCCCTCGAGGATGCATCGGCAAGAACATCGCATTCCTAGAAATGTCGAAGTTTGTCCCAGAAGTGATCCGGCGCTTTGATGTTCAGTGGGCGTCTGGCTCAAAGCCCTGGACCATTACGGCTGGTTGGTTCTGGAAGCAAAGGGACATAAACCTTGTTTTTCGCTCACGGTAAGCCGCTGGTTAGGATGTTCTTGCGACTACGGCACGAATTATTGGGCGGTAGTTTAGCACTCATGAGTGGGCTGATGTGGACGAAGTTTGCCCCAGTCCCCCGAGCCCTTGGTGGTGGGGGGAGGGGCCTGGTTACAACCGAAAGCCTACGCCACGGGGGGAACTCACCCCGCATCCTCGGGGATGAGAATGCGGAGGCACTGGCTGAGGAGGCTGCTCACGTGAACGGGTTATCAAAACTGATTGCTCTAAGCATTTAATCCACGCTAGGTCCTGAGAATTTCCTGCTGTACTGGTAGTGCTTGAAGCTCTAGATCCATTCTATATACGTATCAAGACAGTCTTGTCGGCCGGCTCTCCAAACGGTATGGCAGCAAGGAGGCCGAGAACAAGTTGCCACCCGTGCCGTGTCGCTCGGATTGGGTGTGATGCCGCTACTCAGAAACCGAGTCGTTGTAGTAATTGTGTCCGTCGGGGCAAAGTTTGCGATGCTCAGGTGTGTCAACAAATCCTAGAACTTGCTGCCAGACAACTGACATTAGACACCAGACGTCACAGAGTACTGTAAGCTCCAACACTGTTCTTCAACGCAGTCGAAGCGATGGCACTGCACACGAGCTAGCATGGTCACAGTCAAGCGACACTTTCATTCATGAAAGAGATTGGCCAAGTCCTGGTGGGCAGTCCATTCAAGACAAGGCGTCAGGTGATTCGGTTGCAATTCCATCTCCAGAGACGACCTTACGAGGCCTAGAGTCGCGAAGTCCGCTATACTCTGATGGGTTCCCAACTCCTTCACCATCCTCATTCGATGTTGACAGTGTTGCATGCCGACGATTACAAGCTAGTATGCTCAATGAGATTCTCTGGAATATCTACTTCACGATCTTCGAGATACGTTATGCAACATGGTTAGGAAACAGTTGTCGTCCTTATCTAGAGACAACACCGGTAAGCTGCGAATAGCATAGAGTTTAGTCCCGCCTTGTCGCTAATCGCGCTTTTCCTCATAAGCCTAAACGGTCCATCGCGCAGATGGTGTTGCAACTGGATGAACATAAGAGCTTCGAGACCCCAGGGACCTCAAGCTATTTGCCGCAAGTATCGGGCTCGCTCCTGTACCGGGCCCGCACACAGGATGACAACGACCACCTATTGAACAACGCTCTCAGATACGCAATATATGCCTATGCTGCTAGATGGCTTCCTTTGAGGAGTGCGTATCGCAAAACATCTGGTCATGAAATCCCTGAAGACCAAAATCATGAACAAGAGGTTCGAATCTACCTGTGGAACCAGGCGAAGCAAGCAATATTTCCTGCCCTCACTCGGGCCAGCTACAGATCGATCCTGGCATTGTTGCTATTCACGCTAGCTGAGGCCCCTGATGAAGATTTCGATGCAGGTTTTCTTCAACTATGCAATCAAGCGCTATTTGGGCATCTCAGTACACTGAGAGCGCCTATGACATGGCGGGTCCGACCGTGGCAGGGTATAATGTCGTCGAACTCCCCCGTACATGACCAGTGCCAGGCAAATAACATCGTGTATGGGCATGCAGAGAAATACAGTGAGGCAGACAAGGCGGAACGAGACAATTTATTCTGGCTGGGTGTTATCAGCGGCTGCAGTCGAGGCCTTTTACAACAGCTTCCCTCTCTTATACTACCGACGAACAGTGCTAACGAGAAGATTTGGAGTTCCATTCGCCAGAGAACTGAGATATTCCACCAATCGTTTACGAATCTGAAGGGCTCCCAAGATCCTCTACCACCTGAAGTAGCAGAAGTCGTGCTTCAACACGCCACTGCGTGCAAGACCATGTTTTTCGGAGTTATAAATCAACTGTGCGACTCTCTGTTTTACCATAAACTACTACCAGTTAAAGAGACCGCACAAGCTGTTCTTGACGAATCACACCGCTTCCACGAAGTCTTCGACCATTTACTGAGCATGTGTGCCCGAGATTACATCTACCTTAGCACGGAGTGCAGATTGAACTATTGTAAGCTGAATTGAAGTTTTCCAGTGTTCTTAGCTTGCTAACATCTAAGTGCTCTTGATGTGCCACTATCATCTGGGGACGCTGGTTCTTGCAGACATCCTCGATACTTTAGATGTCGTGCCGGAGGTGTTGAAAACCCCTAACCTATCTCGTTCACGCGCGTGCCAAGCCATCATCAATACGTTGAGCTTATCACTTAACTTCGACCGCCATTCTGACGATCAGTCTTCTTACGGCAGCAAACTCCTGCTCGACCCGGCGCCTGAACTAATGGCTGAAGTCTTACTGCGCACCGGGAGTACAATACTTTTGATGCATAAGACCGGAGAAGTCGCTCCATACACTGCTCAAACGATGCTTTCGATAGTTTTCAGCGCGCTGAATGTCATACGCGAGATCTCAAGAAAGGCATCCTTTGTCTTATCCATTTTACAATCGGAGTGTTTGGCACGAAACCTCAAAGTCATCCACGAGCCATCAACTGAAACGTTGAGAGCCTCCGGAACGGACCTCGCCGTTCTGGCTACTTGTAATACCGGTGTAATCCAGAGCTTTCTCCAAGAAATGCAAGTTCAGGTCACTCTTGATCCATCGCACCTAGCCGATATGGTCAAATCACGTGGGCAGAAGTGGATGCTCCAGGTGGGCACACCTGGATAATATTGATGAGAACTATGAGTGTGATGCTTTATCGGTTTCAGGACCGGGAAAACCTGCTTGTGAATTAGAAAATTGGAAATTCTAAATGTTCAAACTCAATAACATGCTGTGCGATGCTGTGTTGAGTCTAGTAAACGATTGCGCCCTAAAGTTTTTTCATATATGACTAGACTGCGTTAAGTCTTGAAAGCTATCTCCGACGCCTGGGAAATGTATCACAAACTTCCACTCACTGGGCCATAGCAGGATTACCATGGTCAGTATAATCAAAGAGGTCCTTCACTTTCTGCCAAGCTGGAATGGGTCCTCGTCCTGATGGGATCCGAATACTCTTAGGCCGGCTATACTCTCGGAGCGTCTCAATACAGTGTTCTCGTCCATAGCCACTGTGTTTTGCTCCCCCAAATGGAGTACCAAGCGCCATGCGAGTATAGTTGTTGATGAATGCCATCCCAACGTCGATCTCTCTGGCAGCTCTCAATGCCTTTGTGGTGTCTTTGCTAAAGATTGCAGTGACCAAACCATACTCCGTATCGTTCGCAATGGATATGGCTTCCTCGTAAGTCTCGAACGAATTTACCGTGACTATGGGGCCGAACATCTCCTCTCTTGCAATCCTCATGTCCCTTTTGACGTTGGAGAAAAGGGTCGGGGCAACGAAGAACCCGTGACTGAGGGAAGAATCCTTAGGGAGAGGTGCTTGCGCTTCAATTATAGCGCCCTCGGAGAGGCCCAGCTCGATGAAGGATTGCACTTTTTCCTGGTGCGCTTTTGTGATCAACGGTCCAACGTGTGTCTCCTCAAACACACCATTTCCCACCTTGAGTCGTCTAACCGCTGCCGCCATCTTTGACACCACCTCATCATGAACTGTGCGATGTACAATGACTCTCGAGGCCGCCGTGCATGCTTCTCCTTGGTTGAAATAGCCGCCATCCATAGCAGATCTAACAGCTAAATCGATATCAGCATCCTCAAAAATGATTAATGAATTCTTTCCTCCGAGTTCTAACGATAAGTGAGTTATATTATCCGCGGCGAGTTTGCTGATAGCTGCTCCGCCTCGAGTAGATCCGGTAAATGACACCTTTTTAACGTCTGGATTGGAGACTAGGGCAGCGGGTACTATAGTTCCCACAGCTGGTATTCCCTGAATGACGCCCTTTGGCAAGATCTCCGAGACCAGTTCGATAATTCGCATAACGGTTAATGGAGCCTGCTCCCCAGGCTTTAGGATAATAGTATTCCCTGCTGCTAAAGCCGGGGCCGATTTCCCTCCACAGTGAATAGGTGGCCAGTTGAACGGCAGTATTCCGGCCACAACTCCATATGGCTCGTGGACAATGGAGGAGTATATGCTGCCTTGATCGTACAGCTCGCTAGGTAGTTTGTCGATAAGGGAGCCAAAGAAACGGTAAACATTTACAATAAAGCTGACATCTGCCTGCCGTGCTTGGGTGACAGGTTTTCCATTTTCCATAGAAAGCAGAAGTGCTAGTTCTTCGGAATGAGCTGCTAGATGGTCGGCACATCGAAGCAGCAGCTCTGATCTCTCCTTAGGACTTTTCCATTTCCAACACTCTTGGTAAGCTCTTTGTGCAATCGCGACAGCTTTTGCAACTTCGGCTTCTCCACACCCTTGTATCGTGGTAATCACTTCTCCGGTGGCGGGATTATGAACATCGAAGAGGTGGGATGGGTCGTCGGAGTGTAGTGCAAATTGTGTTATTTTATCGTATTTCGGTACGGCGACCTTAGTTGGATATTCTTGAATGGAACCCATCTGTGCTATGCGTACAGGAGACTGATTTTCCACAGGAAGTTGGAATCCTCCATCTGAATAATGGCGTTTAGCTTCTTATCGAGTTTTCCCTGGGATGACGGAGTCGCACCTTTGCCTCGGCCCTCCTCTGGCAAGGCCCGCTATTCTGGCCAAACTAGATGCTATGATCATTTCGGAGCCGATCATTCAATCTCTTTCAAAGATTAGTGCGGTGTTGATTGGATATTCAGCTTCCACTCGAGAACGGACAATGACAGAGTGGAACAGTCATGTGACCGGCATATAGCCAAGCATTTAGTTCACGACCTAGAAGGGTGGGCTATTAGAGGGAGATTTGCGTTCGCATGACCGGGATATTGCTAAAGTTTTGTGAATTGGAGAGAGCACCCGAAACCTTTGTATTTACATGACTTTCAATGAGCGACATCCCGATTTGCGGAGTTTAACGTCTGGGTCTCCCAGAATGCCAGAGAGAACAAGTATAAACAGTTATTGGGACTCACAAAATTGTGCGCTCCATGCCGACTTTCTGAGAATTGAGCATGGGTTCCTACTCCGACAATTATGACTTTATCGTGGTTGGTGGAGGTAAGCTTCGACTGTCACAAGCTCGCCTTTGGCATAACTCACAGGAGATACAGGTAACAGTGGCGCAGTTGTCGCCTCGAGAATCGCAAATTCGGAAAGCCATCCGACTGTTTTGCTGATTGAGGCAGGAGGAGAGAACAAGAGCGACGAACTGTACGTTCCAAGTGACAGATTCAAGAGCGTCTATCGCCATCCCGAGATTCGAGTTGAGTATAAAACGACACCCCAGAAACACCTTGGCGGTCGAGTCTTGGATTACCTTCGTGGGAAAGGTCTTGGAGGCTCCAGTGTTGCAAACTTTATGGGCTACATTCGGGGATCCGCTTCAGATTATAACACATGGGCTGAGATTGTTGGTGATGAAGCTTACAAGTGGGGAAACGTTCTTCAGCGTTATAAAGAGATCGAAAACCTTTCTTTCGAGGATGACAATGATGAAAATCAATGGGTGAAGCTGGATGAGACTGCACACAGTCATGACGGACCCCTTGGTTTAGAACTTTTCGCCCGAAAACAATGGCCACTAGGGGGAGACCTATTGATGCGAGCTTCTCTGAACTTTGGTTGGCCTCTCAACCGAGATCAGAATTCTGGAGATCCAGTCGGAGTCGGAGTCGTGACTACAACAACATACAAAGGGTCCAGGACCACAAGTTCGACTGCATTCCTGAATGCTCGGCCTTCCAACCTGACCATTTGGACAAACGCAGTAGCACGAAGAATTATACTGGAAACAAGTCCTGGAGAGAGCATGCCGCATGCAGCAGGGATTATCTTGGCTAACGGACAAGAAATCCGGGCGAGAAAGGAGACTATATTGTCCGTAGGAAGTATCGATACACCGAAGATTCTCCTGCTCAGCGGTATCGGCCCCGAAGAAGAGCTTCAGGCTCTAGGCATTCCATGTCTGGTCAATAGCCCGAGGGTAGGGAAAGATCTTATTGACCACAATTATATTGCGATGCGATGGGGCTGCTCATCCGACCTATCAGATCGTATTGCTTTTCAAAGCAACCATGAAGGAGTACTGGCTTCCCGGAAACAGTGGTTACAAGATCACACCGGCCATGATGCGGTTCGAAGCCTTGGCAATCTAGCTGGATTTCTAAAGCTTGACCCTGAACGATACTCCAAGGAAGAGCTGGAGAAGCTTGAACCGACAGCTCAAAGGTGGATCAACCAAGCAGATACCCCCCAGTTTGAAGTGTTCCTAGCAGGCGATGTTCCTAGTGTCTGGGATAAAACACATGGGGAGGACGCGATTGGAATATGTGTAATGCTGATGAATCCCCAGTCACGAGGCAGCGTCACTCTTCAGTCGAAGGATCCCGCCGCCATGCCTCTGATTGATGTGAATTTCTTATCCCATCCATACGATAGGAAAACTTTTGTTGATGCGACTCGAGAAGTACTGAGATTTGTGAAGTCCGAGACTCTCTCAAAGCACATCAGGAGCGACTTCCACACTCCCAAAACAGACAGTGAGGAGGATGTATTGGAGTTCATCAGGCGCGATGTCATGTCGGTCTTGCATCCTGTTGGCACTACGAGGATGGGCGGGCCGGAAGATCAAACGGCTCCAGTGGATTCAGACATGTGTGTCCGTGGAGTTCGGAATCTGCGTGTGGTCGACCTCAGCGTTTGCCCAATCATAACCAGGTATGCCTCCTTCGAACTGTCTAGGGCGTATGAACTAACAACGCAAAGTAACCATACCCAGTCAACAGCATATCTGGTAGGCCAAATAGGATGGAAGAAGATTGCTGAGACATATGGACTGTAGTGGATTTATCTAAGAAGAATAGATGTATACTCCCCTTTTTAAATTTCTTAACATTCCAGCGAGCTGTCCTTCCATTCAAAAAGGTACGAAGAAGCCAGAACGCCTACAGTTCGGGATGTACACTTAAATGTGGTACAAGAACTAACATCTTTGGATCCGGACGATAAAGGAGCAACACTGTGCAGACAAGGTATGGGAAACAAAAGGTATTAATTAGTAGGCATAGTATTAGTGAATGTGCTGAAGTATTTCTGGTGTTATCTTTAGATCCGCTGGTAGCTGGCTCGCTTAGAAAACGTTGCCTCTTGTCTGGTGAATCTTGGCTAGGTTGAGATTCCTGATGAGGAAAATCCAGATAAAGCAAAGAGCCATGATGGCAGTTCCTGCGATAAGCATTCTTTGCTGAGCATACGCATATGCATTCTGTATGCCAATTCTCTCTGGCGAACCCCACTCGTAAGAGAGTTGAGTTTCAAGACTGCTGTAGATATCCCCAATGCTCGACTGAGCATCTTCAGGCAAGTATCGTGCAAGAGCTCTGGCGAAGGTGTTGGTCCAGATGGCTCCAGAAATTGAATTTCCAACCGCTCCTCCAATATTGCCCACGACATAGAGCAGTGCAAGGAGTGCTGCGACGTGTTGGTGGTCTCCTGCTGCAAGTATAGCCAGTTGTTCACAGAGGATGATGATACTGCCACCCATGGAGAGGAATATCTGGCACATAACCAGGTATCCAATGTTGCGATTGGGTTGGCGAAAGTAGATGAGTAAGCCCTGAGCAAAGACGTACAATGGTACTGCGATGAAGAGCAGCCACCGGAAATACCCGGTTTTCCGGATTATAAACCCGGCTGATAAAAGGCAGAATCCCGAAACAACATCAAAAGTGCTGCTGACGTATCCAGCAGTAGAAATAGAAAGGCCATTCACGACCTGAAGGAACGAGGTGAAATAGCTGGCCCAGCAGTAGTAGGCAACCTGGTAACTGAAGCATAGTAGACAAGCTCCGATAACCGTACGGTTGGTGAGAATTTTGACGGAAAGCATCGGTCGCGGTGCCAAATATGCTTCATACAGGCCGAATGCTACCAAAAGGACAATTCCAAGCACTATCATTGCAATGATATAGCCCGTGCTCCATCCATTAGGGGCCGAATCGGCCAATGAGAATGGAAGCAGGAAAATCACTAGACCAGCGGCGAAGAGGAAGACCCCCAGAACTTTAGACGTTAGCAGCTGGCCTCAATTAGGAGAACTATACATACTATCAAGCTCCATCGCATAGTGCAGGATGCTTTGCAAGATTGTGCGGTCTGTAGTTCGTCGGACCAATCTGCCTTCCTTTTCAGCCCTTCGAAGGTTCAACTTGAGAATAGAGAACAGAGGTGCGGCGACAAATGGTAAGATGATCGAAAAGGCGCCAAATCCCCATCGCCAACTAATATTGTCGTAGAATCCCTCCGACGCCTTAGGACCAGCGAACGCGGTGATCATGTACGGGGACGATGTAAAGGCAAAAGCCAATCCTCGATTTTTTAATTTCGTCGCGTCGGCTGTAATAACGTCCACGCTGTAGATCATGCCTCCGAAACCAATGGAGTAGAACACCTTTTAACATTAGTGAAACCCTTATACTAAAATGGTGGCTAACTAACCTGAGCTGCGCAGAATGTTCCCAGGCTATGGCAGGATGCCATCAGGATTAAACCAAGAGTCGCGAAGCTGACCATGATCACGAAACCCTCCGCACGCCCCCACAGATCTAGAATTTTCGAGATTGGAATATAGGACGCAGCGGACATGCAAGACGATACAATGTAGATCACCGTGAGCAAGGAGTGACTTTCAAAGTCGCTGGTTACATATGGTGTAAGGTTGTTCAAGATCGATGACTGGAAGGCATTCACGAAGTACAAAAACCACATACTAAGCAATGTCAGTACCCATTTGATCGATATATGAGGGCGCGATCATACTTGATGAAAATAGCGATCAAAGACCACTTTGACCAAGTCAATGTCACTGCCTCGACCATGCGGACACCTCGCTGCGCATCCTCGCTAGGGAGAGCATTGGCTTGTGCATCGCCATCTTCAGCAACAGCAGCCTCTGTGTTCGTCTCAGGAGCCTTCTCAGCAGGGTTGGCATCTTTTGTCGCCGGATTGTCATTGTTGAGATCCGTTGACGTTCGACGAAATCCAGGTCGGAGCCTAGAAAGAATCGACATAGTGGGAGTCGCCACGTGTTCTCAGGGCACCACAAGCTGCCGAAGGAGGGATGGGCTAAACGATTTCGACGCAAATTCGGCTGGGACATGCTTTTGTATATTGGATCCTACCCACCAGTGCTTTTCCCTACCTCCCACATGCTGACGGAACAATCTTGGTGCCCACCAGGGCGCTAATTGGTGGCGCTTTTGTATGCATCCGGTCATCGGACCCTCCACGCGAGAGACGCTACTAACGAGATCCCGCCAAGGTTCGACCCACTACGCATGTTTGAATCAGTATGACTGCGCGCAGACCCCTGTTGACAGGATGGGTGGATCGGTTACGGCCTGAAGCTTCTGCTGGTAACTTTACGAGGTGAATTTTAGTCTTGTAAGGAACTAACGATATGGGTTGAGGTTTCTGGTGCATGGCGTGATTTGTGTGCATCCTGGTTAGGCTGCTTTGGACCCTGAACGTCACGTCGACATTGCAATTCGAGCTCAAACATCACACGAAGCAAATTTTCCTGAATAATGTTATCGTGACCCCCACACTATTCACCAATTGGTTCTCGATAAAAGGGAGCTAGTATTGATGGAACGAATAGTACAACGTGGTCTTGGAATTGCCGCTCTTCCTTTCCTGCAGTTCTGTCCCATCGGTGTCCTGACTTTTATATCGAGGAACCAAGAGTTTGAATTGCGTCACTTGGTTCAAACATCGCCACGTCGTGGGAACTAATCTGCAATTTTCCACGAAGTCATGGAACCAACATCTTCCAATTTCTCAGATGCCACGCCCGTGTATCCCTTGTGAACCCGCCCTCTATCTTCGTGAGAGATAAATAGTGAAGTGAACCCTCACAGTTTTGCATTCCATGCTGCGCGATCAGCGGACTCCAAAGGGCGATCCCGCCCATCCCAGAACAACGGACAAAGCTGAAACCATTTTTCGCGACTTGATATTGAGTGAACGGACCTTTTGTGCCCAAGGTCAATATATTTGCCGATGACCAGGCCCTGTGCGTTTTCGTAAGACAAAATAGTTGATCCTGTGGCTTTTGGTTCTCCGACAGCATTTGCAGTCCTTGGATCGTCTAGAAAGACATAATGAATGCAGCTAGAGTACCATGCATTAACTCGTTTTGACCCTCGGAAGGTTTCGTCTCCTACGAGCGAATGGCGCCCGCGGTCATAGTCTCCAGCGTCGTAATGCGCGCCGTAGTGATCCTCCTGTGAAGAGAATGTCAGTATTTGCGGGCCAGAGGATGTGGTTAGCAAACAATACCTTTGCCCAATATAGCTCAAAGTAGGCGAATCGAACATCGTCAAATCGTCCAAATAAACACAGTACATGGGGGTCGTATTGGAGTTTTTTCAGATACTGGCGATGTTGCTCGAGAGTTCCAGTTTCGTTCCAGCCTTGTGCTACACGAGGGTCATTCTGCCATTTATTGAATAACTGTAGATGATCCAAGTTCTCCCAGTCAACCACCTCGAGTGAGAAGTGCTCGTCAAGCTCAGGAATATATCGACTGTATGCGATTGACCCTGGATGTGGCTTCGGTCGACGTATTGGATGACGGATGTAAACTCGTTCCTCTGGGAACTTCATGGTAAAGTGATAGTTTTCAGCCATAATGGGGTACTGGGCTAGAGGCCTGCGAATGTTCTGGTCTGTACCGTCTCCAACCACCCAGATTGGACGTGGTCCAAATGGAGAAGCAGCACCTTGCCAGAAAGCACTGCGAAGGATTAACAAGCAATCAGAATCAAAACTTGGCTTTTCCTTCAGATGCCATGGCTCTGGATGTTCCATTCCTAGACCGGTTACAAGTAATTCATTTCTAACAATATCCTTCTGCCTGCCCTCGAGAGCAAGTCGGAAGTATTCATGCGTAGGATGAGTGAGATATATTGCATGAATCACGTTCCAGATTTGACCTAAGGAGGGTGCATTGGTTCCGGTCCATTTGAAGCTGGTCTTTGGACTCCTACAAGCTCGTGCCCAGGAGCTATTATCAGTTTGCGCTGGATGTCTGTCTCCTGATCTGTTATCCAAATCAAACCATGAAAGAGATTGTGAATGCAGTGGCTCAGGTAGTGGCTTCCCAGGTGCGCAGTTATCGTCAAGGGTGAGTATCAGTCTCGAGGGTCTTGTCGTAGACACTGTTTCTATTCGATATGTGCTCAAGAACGGGTGAGGCAGTTTCACTTTCGGGTATTCGGTTGTGAATATTCGGTTGGATGCCATCGCCGTAAATGCTGAATCTGACGTAAAAATGGAACGCTGCGATGGGCAATGATAATGGCTAGAATGCAATCTAGCAAAGCCAATGGGTACTGCCCACAACGTCACTCAAGGACAGCGATATCCTTTGTTGGAGTTAACAACTCTGGCTGAATCAAGCGCAACTGTGCCTGAGTCAACGAATCTGGGTGAGCACGAACTATATAAGTATTTCTGCAGATCTGGGCAGATATGGTATGGGAAGGTGAGCGTGGTTGCACTGGGTTGTCGTGCGATGCGGAGAGCGTCAATTAATTCGGGCATATGATGCATGGCTTCTGTGTTTGCCCTAGTTAGTATCGCTTCGGATTAGATGCAACTTCCACAAGCATAAAATGACCGAGACTCAGGGGATACCACCCCGAGAAAGCTTTCTGCATGCCAAGTAAGCCTTGAATCCGTCAAAGGTATCCGCCCGGGCCGATCGCGCCTGGGCTCATTAGACCAAATACACCACTGCCAACAAAGCGTATAAGAGGCACGGTGAGAGATGAAGGATGCGATTGAGCTTTCCATAGAGTGCGACTGCGTTTCAACGACCTGACAATTGCGTTGCCATGTCGTTGAGATCGAGGAACCTACAATTTCAAAATTTGGATGTTTCATTTCCATCAGAACACATTGTCCAAGTTACAATTAACAGGCCCGAAAAATTGAACTGCATCGACAAAGCTACGAGCCGACAAATTCAAGATATTTGGGAGCACTTTGACCAAGATGAAAGTCTCTGGGTCGGGATTATCACCGGCTTTGGTAGAGCGTTTTGTACTGGGGCAGACCTGCAAGGTAAGCTTGTCAAGGCTTAGCATAGCATGTGGTGGTTGCTCAGAGTGACTGATCGAGAATCTATCAACAGAGTGGAACAACATGAACAAAGCAGGTGTCGTCAATGACATGAGTGCGCCGGGTCTTGCTGGATTGCCGCGTCGAGCAGGCAAAAAGCCCATTATCGCTGCCGTAAATGGCATGTGCATGGGAGGGGGTTTTGAGATGGTCGCCAATTGTGATGTTGTGATAGCTTGCTCGTCGGCGATATTCTCTCTTCCAGAGGTGAAGCGAGGGATTGTACCTGTGGCCGGTTGCTTGCCACGGCTAACGCGCACCATTGGACTGCAAAGAACCTCAGAACTCGTGCTGACGGGGAGGAGTGTGAGCGCTAAAACGCTTGAAGAATGGGGCCTTGTCAATCAAGTGGTCGATACTGCTACCGATGTCGCCCGGGTTGCCATCGAGATTGCACAAGAAATGTGTAAAAACAGCCCCGATGCGTTGATCGTCGCCAGGCGTGGAATTCGCTTAAGCTGGGAAGCAGGCAGCGTTGAGGACGCCGTGTCGACTCTAGCCGAAGAATCATACCCTCACTTGATGCTAGGTTCAAACTTCGCCGAAGGAATCCAGGCTTTTGTGGACAAACGGCTGCCGAGGTGGACAAATTCAAAGCTGTAATTAAATTCTCGACTCCCCGATGCTTAACGGTACGCCCAAGCACAAAATTTCATGGGGGTGGGATGTGAGCATCTAATCTAAACTAATCAGATGCTCCACTACTCTCGGCTACGCCACCTGCTGGGAAGGCCCTGCTTCCCTGAACAAAGCGTCCCCGCAGTGAAAATTTTTATCTTATCAGATGACATCCTCATGTTCCCGGTGGACTTCGCGATCGTGATTGATTCGGAATTCAACGGTACACGAATTACAGCTATACGTATGGATACAGAGGGTCCAGGTCTCGTCACCATAGACCCTGATATGAGCCGAGAGCAACGGGGATCACTTTTGCAAGGTAGAAGATGGATCTGTTGATGTCGCGTCAGAGAGAGCATCGTAACCTCACTCTAGTACAAGTTTGTTCATCTCCCGGCGAACCCACCGCTTACCGTCTGGACGGAAGCACCAAAGAAGCATGATCGACCGAAGCTTCACATTTTTGGCTCCCGCTTGAAGCACTAAAGTATTTCATGGCGTATGTAATGACTGTGTCTCTCGTAACACTTCGAAATGGTGGAGTGCCAGTCCCCATGACAAGGTTTTCACATGTCCATTACGGGTATCAGACGTCTCAGTCATTGTTCGAGGTATTCACATGTCTGACGCTGGTTTAAGCACATTGTAAGTCACCTATCAGGCAAAGGACTCGAGCAGGTCACGATACAACTGATTTTTCCCTAGAATGCAGTATGCTGGCTTACCATACCCGAATCCCTGCCAGCTGTATAACGATACTGCCTGGAAACTTTGAGACACGCCAGTTGTGGTTAGAGATCTCTATGTTTGCGTAGACGGTATTTCCGCCTTCAACATCCTGGGGTCCTGCAGGGATGGCACTGTTGAGACCCACGGGATTGTCTTCGCTCTATTTGATCAGTTGCACTGTGCTCTCGGTATACTACTGATGCACTTCCCATAGGAGATTCCGTAATTGGATGGTTCTATGAGTTGTCATATCTCCTCATTCCGCACTTCTCGAAGCTGCTTCTCCGTCCAGTGGTTGGAATCAATCAAACAACCGCGACTTAGTATCAGCTCATTTGCTAGATAGTCTTTTCGCCACTAAAGGGGAACGTCAGATATTGACTGGCTCACCATATACCGTGCAGTGAGTTGCGTGATCTTGGAAGTGGCAGGATACTCTATTCGTTGATTCAGTATCAATAAGTCGAACTTGGTCACCAGCGTGATCAGTCTCCTGGCAGCATGGGATCTATAGGAGCAGATGCTGTCTACCAAAATGCCCAAACAACATATGGTTTTGAATATCAACTAGTCCCAGGGAGAGATGATGAAAACGGTTTCAACTCATTCCAGATTCCTGGTCTCGACATCAACCGGGACAACAATCTTTCTGACTTAAGAGCTGAACTAGTACTGCTATCATGGTTCTGCACTCTCTCACGGACACGGGAGAATAACGATGTCTCTTTCGATTGGGCGTATCATCGTTTGGCAATTGGCTATGAACCTGATCGCAACATCAAAATCTTTAAACCGGAGAGATTTATGAGGGATGTGAAAGAAACCATTGGTGTGATGGTTGCAAATCTCTCTCCTCGTCTCGGCTGCGACCACCCATGCTTTCCAAAGCACAAATCAACTCCTGTCTCTCTCATGCTAAGCACTCACTCCCATACTATTGATCATTTGGATGAGCAAGTAAGCAAAAGTTTCCCACCATTTTCTTCAACTGCTAACGCTACGGATAAAGGGTGTCCTTCAACTGGAGGTACGATTTTCTGGTGACAGCGTACAGATTCGTGCGCTATACCACAGTGAAGACATGCTGCAATACACAGTGATGAAGTACATCAATTCATTTGTTGACACCGTCAGACTTTGCATCTCAAGACCTGGCTCCACCGTCGAACAACTAATGCTCCCAACAGAGAGCGACTTCGACCAGATTTGGGGATGGAATCACACGCGTCCACCTTCTTATGACGTCTGTATGCACGACATAATATCCGAACAGGCTCGAAAGACTCCCAAAATGACAGCAATATCGTCGTGGGATGGTGGTTTAACGTATGAACAGATTGAGCAATACTCAACGACTTTAGCATACAGACTACATGACATCGGTGTCAAGCTTTCGGATTATGTTCTTGTTTGTTTTGAGAAATCATGCTGGACAATTGTCGGGATACTCGCTGTCATGAAAATAGGGGCTACCTTCGTGCTCATGGATCCAACCCTTCCACTTGCACGTCTTCAAAATATGGCGCATCAGGTTGATGGGAAAGCAATGGTGGCATCACGAAAACAGGAAGCGTTAGCAACATCGATCTTGCCATATGGAATTAAAGTCATCGTTGAAGCCGACACCTTTCTAGCTGGAGTCCTCGACATTGGAGTCCTTCCAGCTTTGGCAATGGTCCCAACCTCGACCATAATGTATATAATATTCACATCTGGAAGTACTGGAACGCCGAAAGGAGTCATGATATCTCACAAAACATACACCAGTAGTGCTATCCCGCGAGCCGAGGCTGTTGGATACACCGAAAGCTCAAGAGTTCTTGACTTTGCTTCTTATGCCTTTGATGTTAGCATTGACAGTATGCTGTTGACCCTCTCGCGAGGTGGATGCCTGTGCATTCCGTCGGATGAGGATCGAATGAATGATATTAACGGAGTTATCCGAAAAATGGCAGTCAACTATGCAGGCATAACTCCTTCGGTGGCTCGTATCTTGGATCCTGATGTTATTGCATCACTTAGCTGTCTTGGGCTGGGAGGAGAAGCAGCAACAGCACGAGATGTCAACCACTGGGGCAAAAGCACAAGAATCGTTATCGGCTACGGCCCATGTGAGTGCACTATTGGCTGCACAATCAATAGTAGCGCAGCTACTGGCAGAGACTATATCTCCATCGGAAAAGGCAATGGAGCTGCGATCTGGATTACGTGCCCAAATGACCACGAAGTACTTATGCCTGTCGGCGCTGTCGGAGAGCTCATCGTGGACGGTCCGATTGTCGGTCAGGGATATCTGAACGATTCAGCCAAAACCGCCGCCTCATTCATTGAAGATCCACCATGGCTTACTTCAGGTCACAAGCAGTACAACGGACGCAGAGGACGTCTCTACAAGACTGGAGATCTTGGAAAATATGATCCAGATGGGTCTGGAGGAATCATATTTGTTGGAAGAAAAGACAGCCAAGTCAAACTTCGTGGGCAACGTGTCGAATTGGGCGAAATTGAGTACCAACTTAAGCTCCATTTACCACCAGAAATGAACGTGATTGTGGAAGTGATAACTCCGCTTGGATTTTCGGGACAACCTACTCTCATAGGCTTCATTGCTTCTCAATCAAAAAGCCGATCAGATGAGATTGAACTACAACGAGTGTCGCCAGAAGAAGGATTACGCAAAGCTCTCCTCGGTATTGATACAACATTGGCCAATGTCCTGCCGAGGTATATGATTCCAACTGCATTCATCTACGTCAACTTCATTCCCGTGTTAATTTCTGGCAAGACTGACCGCAAGCGGCTTCGAGAATTTGGAGGTACGATAGACATTCGACAGCTCGACGAAAATACCCCAACTGATCCCCTCCATCAGCCACTCAGTGAGGTAGAAGAACACCTAGCACAGGCATGGAGCCACGTTCTAAAGATTGACTACAAAGCTATTCGGACAGATGACAATTTCTTTGTCCTGGGTGGTGATTCCGTGGTGGCAATGAAGCTAGTTTCCCATTGTACATCTCAATCAATCTCCCTCACCGTCGCCAATGTCTTTCTTCATCCTACTCTCTCAACGATGGCAAGCACAGTTCGGACTCTCAGTATTCGCACGCAGACCGAAGTCCCACCCTTTTCCATGCTTTCCTCGGCTTCTGAAAGTGCTTGTGCTGAAGCATCGCAATCATGTAAACTTGAAGCATCAGCAATTGAAGACATTTACCCTTGCACTGCAACGCAGGAAGCGCTATTTACATTTTCTATCAAAGCTTCTAAGCCCTATATTGCCCAGCGGGTTGCGCGTATTCCAGATCACATCAGTACGGACGATTGGAAGGGAGCATGGGAGTCGGTGATTGCTGCAAGTGCAATTCTGCGAAGTCGTTTGGTCCAGCTCCAGCAACCCGGGCTTTTCCAGGTCGTGGTTCAAGAAAAGATTCAATGGAGACATAGGAGCGACCTTAACCAATACCTCGAAGACGATCAGAAGGAGGCGATTGGTCTCGGGCAAAGCCTTGTTCGATATGCTATCATTGATGAACCCACAAACAAGAATCGATATATGGTCTGGACTGTGCACCACGTTCTCTACGACGGATGGTCTGAATCTCTAACTTTGAAAATGGTCCACGAGGCCTTGAACGGCGGTAGTACTGATCCCGGGGCTCAAATGAGAGATTTCGTCAACTATGTGAAAGCTACAGATGAAGGTGCTATTCAAACCTTCTGGCAACAGGAACTGGAGGGTGCAGTAGGGAATCAATTCCCAGAGCTCCCGTTCAGAGACTACTTGCCCACTCCGGACTCCGTACTCGAGCATCAATTCTCCCTCGAAGCAACAAAAGACAATGCATCACCCTTTACGACGGCAAGTTTGATTCGAGGCGCATGGGCGCTTGTCGCTTCGCAGTACATGGGAAGCGATGATGTGGTATTTGGCGAGACTCTCACTGGCCGCGACATACAGCTTGTGGGAGTTGAAAGCATCCAAGGGCCATTGATAGCAACCATTCCGATCCGTACTCATGTTGATCGCAGTGTTTCAGGACAGTCATATCTTCAAACTGTACAGCAAGACATGATGGCTCGCATCCCATATCAACATTATGGAATGCAAAATATCAGGAAGGTCAGCCCTGATGCGTTATATGCGTGTGAAGCCCGTACTGGTCTTGTGATTCAGCCTGAACCAGAATATGAAGCTAGTGAGCTTGGATTTGATAAAGGGGATGTTGTACGTGAAGCTCTGCATTTCAATCCATACCCGCTCATGATAGCGATTGGTATCCGAAAATGCACTATCAGAGTCTGCGCAAGCTTTGACAGCAGTCTGATTGAGGTCCCCCAAATGCGACGGATCCTTATCCAACTGGAAGCAACATGTCACAGCCTCAATCAAGGAATGTCAAAGCCTATAGGTGAAATCTCATGCATTCCAACGACGGAACTGGACCAGATCTGGCACTGGAATCAGACTCCGCCGATGGCTTTGGACCAGCCATTGCCGCGGCTGCGAGCGCCTGGAGACATAAAAGCAGGATCTAGGTATCCTCCTGCCATTGTTTCCTGGGTCTGTGATCCAAGGAATCCATCGTTGCTCTCGCCAATTGGCTGCATCGGCGAACTGTGGCTTGAGGGAGCTCTTCTTCCTGACAATGGCGTTGAGGCCCCAAATTGGCTTGTTGCCGGGAGCTCTACTTATGCTGGTAGAACAGGCAAATTACATGCGACTGGGGATCTGGTGCGACTGGAAGGGAGTGGCCAACTGACTTTCATTGGGCGAAAAGAGACTGTCGCCCCAATTCGAGGCCACGCTGTTGATCTTGCAAGACTTGGTTCTTGTATCATCAAACATCTTCCGGATTCCGCCCGCGCCGCGGCCGCGGTGGTTCCATTAACCCTTGAAAATGACGGAAGCGACCCAAACGATAAATTGGTTATTTTTATCGAGCACCAATCTTCTGAGCATTCTTCAGAGGCTGATATCAGGACGAACTACAGAGTATCTGAGTCGGAATGCTTTGATGTAACAGTCTGGGGCTCGATAGATTTTGGCCTTGCTTCGGCACTTAAAGATGTCCACAAAGCAGTTCGAGACACTCTGCCACCGTCCATGGTCCCCTACACTTATCTTGCCATAAGTAAACTTCCTCTTGGAGTAGGGAAGTTCATTCCAACCCTACAAAATCGACTAAACTTAAGTATTCCGCCGATTGTGCTCACTCAGCTTCGAGAACACCTGGAGGAGGCATGGGCAATAAGCTCGAAATCAGCGGTCCTGACCCAAGCACAGAATACTGTCCGGGCTTCATGGGCAACTATCCTCGGAATGGAGGAGGAAAAGATTGATGTCGATGACAACTTTTTCCGCCTGGGTGGTGACTCTGTCCTGGCTATGAGATTGGTTTCAAACCTCCGTGCTCAAGGGTACATTTTGTCTGTGGCCGATATCTTCCAGAACATGCGCCTTCGCGACACTGCTGCAGTGCTGAAGGAGGAAACATCTCCAAAAGCTATTCAGGCTTACGAAGCATTCTCCACAATCAGCCACGTAAACGTGAAGTCGCTTCTTGAAGTTATCAGACCTCAACTTGAAAATGCTGATTGGTCTGTTCAAGATCTCCTTCCCGTCACCAGTTCTCAAGCTCTAGACATCAGGGCAACAATCCAGCAACCGCGAACCTCCGTGCAATATACAATGTTATTCTTTAACGAGGAGATTGACAGAGATTGTTTGCTTCACGCATGTGATGAATTGGTCAAGTCTCACGAGATCCTTCGCACAGTCTTTGCCGAGCACGACTCGAAATTCTATCAAGTTGTCTTACAGCATCTTGATGTCTTTATTCAAACTTACCGAACCGACAGAGATCTTGAGGAATATGTCAAGGATCATTGCATGGCGGACTCGAAATCGAACTTCCAACTAGGATCCTCTTTCCTCAGATTCATATATGTGGAGGGCCGAGATGGATGCAAGTGCCTCGTCATGGGCTTGTCGCACGCCCAATATGATGGCAGCTCCTTACCCAGACTGTTGCGCGACTTGGAGAGACTTTACATTGGAAACCCCCTTACCGAAATCAAACCGTTCTCAGCGTACATTGCTCAAACACGCGACAGTGTCCTTGAATCAAAGGCGCTCAGCTACTGGCGCAATCTTCTGGACTGCTCTTCAATGTCTGTCCTTAGCGGAGGCTCGGGGCAGGCTGCAGATAGATCAATATTCCTGGAGACCTCGGTGGAGGTTTCTCAACGCCCATCTAACATCACAGTAGCGACCTTACTCGCTGCTTCATGGGCGCTGACATTGGCTCGTCTTCTTAAAGTCTTAGATGTGCTGTTCGGTACCATTACTACTGGACATAACATTGATGCGGGGGACATTGAGGGCGTTATGGGCCCATGTTATCAATTTACTCCCGTCAGGGTGCCCTTCCAGCCCGAGTGGACCGCGGGAGACCTGTTTGGCTTTGTCCAGGGGCAGATCGCCGAGTCTGCGGCCTACGACTTCATCGGTTTCGAGAAGATATTCAAGCAATGCACAAAGTGGCCATCACAGAGCGGATTCTACAACTCTATCGTTCATCATCAAGACTTCGAAGACTTTGACAGCATGCCTTTTGCTGGGACAAGTTGCAACGTGGATGTCTTGAATCCACATGGTGATGCTAGCCATCCGTTGAAGATTGCCTCGTTTGTTCGAGAGGGCAGGACGCATGTGGGCATAGTTGGCAGCGAGAGGGAGCCAGCGTTCATACAAGCGACTTTGGATCAGCTCATTGCGACTATTGAGGAACTTATTACTTTGCCAACCCAAGATCCTTTACTTGAGCGCAGCGAAATCAGAGAGTGGAGTGATGTGCCTTAGATATCTAGAATACAATGGTCTTATTGATACATAGCTTACACACAAACCGTAACTTTGGTATATTTCATATCGTCTAGGTAGATTACACGACCCCCAAATACGATGAATACGCTGCGAAAAGCGCAATACCGCTAGTGTATGTTCTGGCAGGGGAGACCCAATCGGCTGCTGGTCGGAGATGCACCCCTGTTTTTGGCGACCGGACTACGATAAGATTTGATAGACAATTCTCATCTTATCATCGATCCACGGGGCTTTGATCCACCATGAAGCAGGGCACGTTCAAGCTCCATTAATAGGAAGCTTAGCAATACTTGGAATGCCCATTTCCCTTTTTTGACCGTTCAATTCGCCTCCGACACATTTTCTTCGGCTAAGGGAAAAACAAATTACGGCTCCACGATTTCTTGAAATCTTGGAAGTTGATTGGATCTTATCTTATCAGATGAAAATTTTCTTGCATAGTGCTCCGCTGTCTGCTTCTCCTGTACGGGGATTATCCTAGTATTTTCCTAGAAAGGTCGGTTTTTGCACAAGGCAAGTGACTCTAACAACCACTGTCTTGGCCAAATGTCTTGCACAAGCTTCTAAACTGCCCGCGTGGACCTTGTGAAAGGATATTCAAGCGAGCCCTTTCGCAGACGTGCTTCCGATTTTCGCATCGGTTCGCACGGCGTGCTCGTCTGCAGGTCTGCGCCGCTTTGGCGGCACTGAGCGAGTTACAGGTGATTGATCGTCGATCGAGAGAACAATTAGGAAAGGAGGAGCAGTCTCAGACGAGCAAACATCAAGAAGCGAGGCAACCACAATCTGGCCTCAGGGCCATGATCGGTCGAAGTTTGCTTACCGGTGGTCCATCAAGATCTATGTGAAGACACTAATCATGCATTGTTGTAAATCTAGAAGTCAATGCTGCACGCGGCTCCGAACCCAGCAAACTCGAGTCAAAAAACGTTTTTGGGTACTATCCTCGCCCGGTTCCTTAGTGTACAACTTCGTCATACATATTTTACAGTCCATTAGCGAAAACAATGTCATCTGAGAAAGTGGTTGAGAATACTACGTAGAGGTGGTAGAGCCATGTGCGCCCAATCTAGCTTATTGGAATCCAATTACACACTAGTTCCTAGAATTCTTAGACGATAGAACTGTGAATACCATGACATAGTTTGCACAATTTTCTAACTGTTGTGTTGTTCAGTCCTTGGTTCACTCATTTCCCAGTGGATCTCTGTTCTTTGGTAATAACGGTTTTGTTGGTGACTATTCACTGAGCCTTTGATTCAGCGTGGACAGGCCACAGAATGTCTTCCACAACAATCCCAACAGCGCAGGCCTACAATATGGTTTGCATTGGGTTTGGGGCTTCTGCACTATCTCTGGCCATTGCTCTCAAAGAGAGGCATGCACTTGGCGGTACCATCTTTCTTGAACAGCAACCTCAACTTAGCTGGAAACCATGTCACAGTCTTATATCTGCACGCATGAAGACATCATTCTTGAACGACTTGGTGACGTCGGAGAACCCCCGTTCCAAGTTCACCTTCATCAGCTACCTCCATTCAACCAATCAATTGGTCGTCTACACAAATTCTGGAAGGATTACGCCTTCCCGGGCCAAGTTCGCAGACTACTTGAGGTGGTGTACAAAGCAATTTGCACAGGATATCTCGTTTGGGAAGAGAGTAGTTCGGGTAACTCCAGTTCAACCTCAAGGTGAGCTGGTGGAAAGTTGGAATGTTCTATTCGAGGATGTTTCGAGTGGCCAAAGAACCACGGTTACGACTCGTCAGGTCGTATGCGCGGCTGGACTACAACAAAAGCTCTCCAATGCATTGTCGAGCTCCTCTGTTCGGACAAATGTAGTCCACTCTTCGGATGCCCTAGAAGCAATAGCGACTGTGATGAAAGGCAGAAAGGCAAACCGCCGGTTTGCTGTTGTCGGGGATGGAAACCAAGCAGCTGAAGTCTTCAACCATTTGCATGGAATTCATGGTGATCATGAAGTGCATTGGTTCACACAACAATCAAGCTTCAGAGGAGGCAATGAAACTTCATTGTAAGTATCTCTTTTCAACGCTTCACAGTTTGAAGACTAATTTCGTCAATTCAAAGCGGGATTGGCGAAATGTCTAGTTCAAATGGCGTCCCACATGAGTTCAGGGGGAAAACAATTACGGGGCAGGAGACTGAAAAGCCTCTTCCTCGTCAGCTACTGACAGACATATATGAGTTCCTGTATGATCAGAGTGTTAAACAGCCAGACCCGGCAAAGTGTAGATTTCAGGTCAGGTATAGTACTGACATTCTCGATTGCAAACCCCAAAACGAGGGTAGGGTCGAAATGATGGTCCAGGAAGGAGGAAACCGCAGCCCCAAATCTTATACCGATGTCTATGATCTTATCATCTCGGCGACTGGGTATGGCACCAGTGAACACCAAAGGATTTTGAAACCACTGAGGAATCTCATTGATGGACAAAGGATTACCGTTGGGATAGACTACCAGGTGAATTTCCGGTCGAGCTTAAAGAAGAGGAGCACTGGTGTCTGGCTTTTACATTCGCCCATCGACACAGACGAGGTAAGGAGTAAGTTAGATCTCGAGGTACTCTATGCTAATTGCAATACACAGATCGACGACTCTATGTACCAGATTCTCGCTCAGCGCAGTGCACGTGTAGCGCAGTCACTACTACTCCAACGGAAGTTTTCTGAAGAAGAGACACTGGACGAGGATAGACTAGCTCGACTTTAGGCTACCAATTACTGTCAAAATAGAATGCTCATTTACAATTTTAATACACGGCAACAACTAGTCTAGGCGATAAGTGATCTTTTCATGTATCAAGCAATCCAAATACTCATGTTTCTGAATTCCATATCTCCATCACTGGCCAGGAAGTCTCAGACTTAGAGTCCCGTGGGACTTATGGTACAAAATACTAAGTAAAACCATCTATGTATCTTAAAGAATTTTCAACATTCATCAGAACCTTCACATGATCATAATCTGGCTTTCTGTGTGATCACGAGCTGTTCCGCCCGCTTCGCCAGTTCAAACTTCCTAACTTTTCCACTACCTGTCAATGGAATTACGCCTGGAATGCCATTTTCACCGAGCCAGAAAATATGTGCAGGAGCTTTGTGGCGGCCAAGTGTCACTCTAACCCACTCGCGTATGTTTTCATCGCTTAAGGTAGAGCTGTGTTCAGTCGTGGAATCCTTAGCACGCTGTAAGAAAGCAGCGACAACTTCACCGTATCGACTGTGCTTAACTCCAACCACGATGGCTCGGTTGATTTCTTTGTGCTGTATTAATCGCTCTTCAATTTCGAGTGGGTAAATATTCTCCCCACCTGGTATTATCAGTCGCAAGCCACGAATCACAGAATAGTATAGTGTCACTGAACTTACCTCGAATAATTATGTCCTTGAATCTCCCTGTGATAGTACATGTCATGTCTTTATTGATGATGGCTTCATCACCTGTTTTGAGCCAGAGCACTCCTGCATCATCGCGGACCATTACCTCGTTTGTCTTCTCTTCATTTCTCCAATAGCCGCGTTGTAGCTGATACCCAGCAATGCAAAGCTCTCCACGTTGGCCGATAGAAAGAGTTCTCCCCTCTCGATCGATAACTTTCGCATGTGCGTAGGGCATGACACGACCAACAGTGTTCATTTTAGTTTCTATGGAGTCGTCATGGAAGGCATTGAAGCATGTTGGGGATGCTTCCGTGAGGCCTAGCAATTGGTCAATATATTGAGTCTCCCTGGCACATCCTGCAAACCTAACTTACCGTAACTACTAACGAACTCGGTCATTCCAAGGTGGTTTACCATGAGTTCCATCAAATGTCTGGGAATAGGCGCTCCAGCGATCATGCCGGTTCTTAATCTACTGCAGTCGAAGTCTTCCGGCCAAGGTAGACTGAAGATAGAATCAAACATAGCAGGAACGCCATGCAGAGCCGTGCATTTTTCTTCTGAGATAGTTCGAAGACATGCACCTGCGTCAAAAGTCTCCGTCGGATAGATAACTTTTGCTCCGTGAGTGACGCAAGCTAGGAGGCCTATGACCAGGCCGAAGCAATGAAAGAGCGGTGGTGGACAACAAAGCACGTCGTCCTCTGTCAATGCAAGCCGCTGACCAATAAACCTGCTGTTGTTTACTAGGGAACTGTGGCAAATGTTAGCAAAGCACGAGCCTCAGTTATAAACCGCTTACTGGTGGGTCAGCATCGCTGCCTTGGGGTGACCCGTTGTACCACTAGTGAACTGAAGGTTGCATACATCGTAAGTTCCGACTTGTGCTGTAGCCGCCGTAAGTTTGTCGTCTGGAATTCTGGCACCAAGCTCGACCAGATTTTTATATAAATCGAGGCGTTCCGAATGGCCTCGCAGCAGCACGGGTTCATACATAGATCCCGGACCTTTGCCCAAACGTGCTAAAAGTGGTCGATTGTCGTGGAGGCCTATTCTTGAAGTTGTAAATAGCATCTTGCATTCTAAAATTTCGTCAGTATTTTACTAATCATGTCTATAAAGAGAGCGCTCGGTACCTGTAAACTCCAATGCATACATTGCTTCCGCCGCGGTGTAAGTGTTGTTGAGAATTACTAGAATGGCACCTATCCTCATGCAAGCGAAGAATATTGACACATACTGCTCACAATTCCCTGCCATAACCGCAACTCTGTCACCTGGTCTGATTCCTTTTTCAAGCATGCCCTTCGCAAGATGGACGCTTTCTTGTCTCAAGAAGTCGTACGTCCATCTTGCTCCGGTCCAAGGGATCACCACGCACTCTCTGGACCCGTAGCGAATGCATTGGAAGTCGAGCAGTTCACTGAGAGTCAGATCGAGCAAAGGAACGCTAGAACTTCCATGAACAATAGCAGGTGTTCTTTCAGGGGCGATCAAGCCACCCGAGTCAATTTCTAAAGACATGATGACGGATGTGGTGTCTTCCTCAGACTGAATTTCAAGAACAAAGAACCAAAACACTCTCTGAGGCAATGGTGTGCAATGGCAGTGACGTATTTGGGATCTATATCCTCGACATATCGTGAACCTCAACTGTCTCTGTGCTAATATTGGCAAGGCTACCCAAATCACCTCGAAAGTCCTCGTGCACTCCTTACAGCCGAACTCGGCTCTCGAGGCACGAGGTGGTCCCTCGTCAGGATTTGACACTATTTAGCAAGACTCCAGTCCAAGTCAGGACACAGCTCTGCTCCCTAGACCAGGCATAAGGTGGGTATGGATGGATCTGCTGAAGCCAAGTGTCTGGTGTCTTTGAGCTGCAGGATGACACCCATCTTGGAGCATTGCGATGATCAGCTAGGAAATGCGAGTTCCAGCGTACGCCACTGTTCCCCTGCAAACCCCATCCACTTCTGGCTGGGTGACAAGAAAAGCATATCCCACACTGTCATGACGAGCACGTAATCTTTGGGCCGAGCTTGTGGCTGTTGGCCCCTGGCCCTGCGTTAGCACTCTTCGCATGATGGAAACATCTAGTGCGTGGGTGGGTACCTGGCAATCGAAAACCTGTTACACGTATAATACCTACGAAAGTTTTAATACACGGTATTTCATCGTAGCTGTTTTCAAAAACTTTTGCATTGCCGCCTTCCGTAAGTCCGTATTATGGTATGGTTTCCATCCAGGGAATGCAGCTGGCTTGGACCAACTGTTCCAGAACCAGCGGTTTTTATTAATCATTGTTCTCGTGCAAAGAAAAGAAACTGCACCAAGCAATTTGTCCTTTGCTTGGACTTCGGCACTCGCTCGGACACATTGAAAGCACCTGCTCCGGCATGATACACGCCCGAATCAATCTTCCCAGGAATACAGGGAACTAACATTTAATCTTGAGAGAGTGAAATTTTATAACATTTCTCCCTATCACTTCATGGGGTTGCACTTACCCAAATAGTTGCCCTTAAGTAATGTTAAAGCATGCTGCTGTGAGTTCAGGGTAATTGAATTGCCCACCTCCATACTGAATAGGCTTTTGGGCTTTCAGGGTGCCAAAATGGCTTTCCAATTGTCTCGGATATGCTTGAATGTTAACAAACTAGCCCCATGGGAATGAGAATTAGTGTCCCAAGGCTCGACTTAGAGATAACATCTGATCACTCCGCTAGCGTTTGATGCATGACGTTCAGCCTGTAGCTCTCGGACCTCTCCATCAATTCCTCATGGGACCCTTTATCCAGACATTTGCCGTCCTGAATCATGAAGATGACATCGGCATTCCGGATCGTACGGAGTCTATGCGCAATTGCAATTACGGTGATTCCTTTCGCGGCTTTCTCGAGTCCATCCTGTAGCAGCTTCTCGGATTCAGCATCCAACGCACTAGTTGGTTCATCCAGAATGAGGAGTCTGGGCTTTCGAACGAGTGCTCGAGCGATTGATAGTCTTTGCTTCTGGCCTCCCGAGAATTGATTGCCATTGGGCCCACAGAGAGTGGCATACCCATCTGGCAAGCCTTCAATGGTGTCGTGAATGTTGGCAAGCTTACAGGCTTCTTTGATCTCATCCAGTGTAACATCTTGTCCTGGTATAGCTCCAAGCCCAATGTTGAACTCGATACTTCCTTCGAAAAGGACACTTTCTTGTGGTACTAAGGCTATTGAGTCTCGGAATGTGACATCTCGGTTTTTGGTGATATCAGCGCCATCAATCAAGATAGACCCAGAACTGACTGAATACAGCCGTTCAATCAATGATATGATTGTGGATTTGCCGGCCCCACTCGGACCAACGAGGGCACAGAACTTGCCAGGCTGGATGTCGAGGCTGAAGCCCTTGAGGACTTCAACATCCGGGCGAGCAGGATAGGAAAAGTAGACATTTCGAAGTTGCACACTAGAAGCTCCAATGGACGACTGATATGACGGCTTTGCTTCTGCTGTCACTTCAAGATCTTCCTCACGGGGTGAGGCTGAAGCTGGAAGATTGCGTACTCGACCTTGCATCTTATCCGATCCTATCTCAATCAGACTCAATATCCTGGCCATTGCCGCTTTTGCACTTGAGAGCTCTGGTGCAAGAGCAAACATTTGGCTCCAGAGTAAGGCGCTGACAAGCAGGGAAAACACCACAATCAGGAAGTGTACCTGAGTATAAGTGCCTGCTATAATCTGTTTGGCACCCCACCAATATGCCAGAGCATTTACCAGATTGCCTAACAGGTAAGTCATTGCTTGCCACAAGCTTGCCTGAAGGCTGATATTGAAAGTTTCCTTGCGGGGGCCTTTGAGTGAGCGCCGGTAAGTCCGCAACGTCTCTTCCTCTAAGGAGAGTGAAGCTATCGTCTTAATGGACGTAATTGCCTCAACACCGATATCAACTGATCTGGTGTACGCGTTCTCATGTCGCTCCTCAAATTTGCCAAGCACTCGAAGTTCCATGAGGCCAGCTCCTAATAGAAGTGGAACGAGTGAAAGGCACACCAAGGCAATTTTCCAGGCGATAATGTGAGTCAAGATAATTGCTGCAATAAGGTTCACCGTAATTGAAAATATTGTCCCAATAACAGAGCCACTCAATCCGGCCAAGGCACTGCCATCCCTGGTAATGTACGACAGGAGTAAGGCGGGCGTTCGTCCTTCAGATTGATGCCAATGGAGGTCTTGCTCAAAGAGCGAGCGAAATGAAAGTACCCGAACTGCATAGACGATCTTCTCGGAAACCCAACCAAATCCAGACCAGCTGACGACATTCGCAAAGAATTCAATGATTGCGAGCGCGAAGAACATCAATCCGAAGAAGCTACCTTGAGACCGAATGCTTTCTTCGCTTTTGCAGGGATTAAGGCTCCCAACAGTATTTCCGAAGATGACAGCTTCCCCAGAGAATGAGCCACCAACGATGCTGGCTCCAAGAAGAGCAACCGCTATCGTTAACAGATGTGGTTTCAACGCAGGGATGTATCCACGCAGCACAGACCAAAATGAATTGGAAGGCGTCGGTAGTTCGTCTTGGTCTTCCGTATCATCAGAAATTACCTTTTGGCTTGATCGAAAATCCGACTTTTCAGGGTCTCCGAAGTCATTGTTCGACAGGCTACTGCCCTCTGTATCCTCTTCGATTGGCAAGGCCGAAGAAGTCTTCTCATCTCCTTTCTGTGAGCCCACCTCTTTATCCTTTAGCGAGGAGGCCAGCAGGCCTTGTAACTTGACCAATTCAGCATACGCCCCATTCTTATTCATCAGTGTCTGATGATCTCCTTCTTCGACAACAAGTCCTTTGTGTAGGACAATGATATTGTCCGCGCTGGTGATAGTTGCCAGGCGATGAGCAATTGTGACAACTGTTCTACCAGTAGCGATATTTGAGATTGCTCGTTGGATGCGCTGTTCACTACTTGAATCCAACGCTGCCGTGGCTTCGTCTAAGATGAGAACCTTAGGGTCCTTGATAATAGCTCTTGCAAGGGCTACTCGTTGCTTTTGACCACCGCTGATCAGACGCCCACTGGACCCTACAGACGTCCCGTACCCGTATTGAAGCGCACTGATAAAGTTATCAGCGTCTGCCAGTGCAGCTGCCTTTTGCACCATAGTAACAATCTCAACCATTTCGGGGCCCATTTTCTCTGCCGCCACTAGAAGAACCTCACCAGCTCTGACCTGCCCTGCTAAAATTTCAAGATCGCCGCTAAGAAGTGTAGAAATCAGGTGAGAATGGCTCAGATTGCTTGTGTTAATCAAGCCATGTGCAATGTTTTCTAAGATCGAGCGGTCGAGAAGTGAAGCCTCCTGCTGTACGAGGCTAAGAAAACCTCTCAAATCATGGACGTTTACATCCCGAAGATTGTGCCCATCGAAATAAATGTCTCCATGTATAGGATCATATAGTCTTGTGAGCAATCCTGTGATGGTCGACTTGCCGCTTCCAGAGAGGCCGACAATGGCTGTGTGCTTATTCGGAGGAATTTGGAGGTCGACATGATCAAGAACTACAACATCTGGTCTTGACGGATATGTGAATGAAACGTCCTTAAACTCGAATCCACCTGTTGCATGCAAAAGGCGTTTTCCTGAAGTACTGGTGCCGTCAATACTGGGTTCGCGATGTAAATCCTGGCGCAGCTTCTCATAAGACGCGACAGCAGCGCCAAATAAGTGCAGAAAAGGTGCAACCTGGCTTAAAGTCAGAGTAGCTGTTTCGCATCAGTTTTTGTTCTATGGAATAGATTCAGGAGTACTTTACCTTCAATCAGGATGAAGATGACCGTAAACGTTGCTCCAACAGTGGCACCCTGTGCATCATCGCGCACGGCGTCCGCAATTTGTTGGCTTCCTTGCCAAAATGCCAAACCGTTCGCGGAATACGCAATAAAATATAAGAATCCAGACTGCACGCCAACGGCTGTAGCCTTTTTCAAGCCTTCGTACTCTGAAGATTGCAGTGCTTTGGAAAATTTCTCTTCCAACCGAACGTTTGCGCCGAATGCCTGCACAACAACGATGTTTGACAGTGCCTCTGAAGCGATCGATGCAGCAGTAGCCGCATAATCTGACATGAGTGCAGAGTATTTCTCGATGTAGTGGCTTCCAACGAAAGACATCAAGAAATAAGCCGGGATCAACGAGATGAGCATTGCCGCGAGCTCGTAATCCTTGATGAAAGCCACAATATATGCTGTGACGAAAAACGAGACACTTGAGAGGCAGATACCGACTTTTTCGCCAGTGCCTGATCGTATCGCTTGAATATCGCCATTGAGACGAGATGAAACCTCCCCTGGAGGAAGATTATCAAAATATGATGGCTCCTGCCGGAGCAGGTTCCGGAGATAGACCTCTCGCAGCCTTTGTGCCAGTCGAGCGCCATGCAAGCTCCAGCAGGAGAGATGAAGATAGATAGTAACGAATTGCGCAATAGCTAAATACAGAATCAACAGGATTTTGTCGTTGATACTCTCTTGATAGCTCGACTCAGAGTCTGAACTGTCTCCCGAGCTGCATGTCGCCGCATTGAAATCGTCAAGGAGCTGACCAAATATAATTCCAATCAATGGAAACGGGATTCCAGATGCTATCGCACATAGAATTCCAAGTAACAGCGTCCAAACCTCAACTCTAGATGGACTGCCTGCCAGAAGGAGGCGAGGATAGCGCACAAGGCTTTGGGTGAACTTCATGCTTGCCCAAGGTCGATGAGATTCCGTCCAGCCTTTTGGTTATCGGTTTCAATCTGTGGTTTTCCTCTATCTGGGTATCTGAGTGACAGTCTCTATCACGGACGTTTAGGCCTGTCTCCGCCTGCTGATGTCGGTATCGTTTGACAATCTGCTGCAGCATCACCCCTGCAAAGATTTTTCAACACTGGTAATGAGCCACGCCACACGATTGCGGGTTTAAAGAGCCCGTCCGATGCTAGGAACTCATCGCTCGCAAGGATAATTGCCGTTGCAGACCTCAACTCCACCAGCGAAATTCGGTGAGAATCAAGTCCTCGCCAATATTGGACGGTACTGTCATGTATCGTATTCACACCGTGCCCGACCCGCCAGGGATGATCAAAGAGGAAAGGGATGGATACCTGGCCGATGTCGGTCTCATCCATCCTCCATGAGAAAAATTACAAGCTCTTCTTGGCATTGAGGGGCCTTCGCTGCAGGAGTTATTTCTTCTGTCATTACAACGGAAACACAATCCTCTATGTCCATCTTTCTAGAACTCGGTACTCTCCAAGCTCAGGCTTGGCTCTTGCTCATGCCAATAGCTCCTCCCACGTCTCCTTGGATAAGGAATTCGACTGGGCAGGCTATGCAAGCCCTCCAGAGTCTAAGCAATCTGGAGCTGCCTTCATGGAAGGCAAAAATGTGGATCAGAGCCTGCGAGAACCTGCGAATTGCTCTGATGGCATTATACAGCGACTTTCTACGTGTAAGTTGCTGCTTGAATACATCACCTCACATTTTGTTCTTGACGGTGTGATGGACCTGCCTCGTGTGAAGTATTATTGGTCCCTTGTTATTTATTAGGGTATTTAGGCTAGCATCCGCCACATTCGGCGGTGGCCACGGCGGCAGTGTCAATAGATGAAAGGATTGTTGAATCGTTGTACAGAGTATGAAAGGCTAGCAAACTCCTTGGCCTGGGGCGGGGCTCTTGGTCTACGCCCACAGTAAGTGCATCGCTGGCCTGACAGCTTCCCTGAGCCGCCCTCGTTGCAATGTGCATATTCTGATTTGCATCGCGCTTGTGGGGGCTGTATCAGAGAAGTGGCCAAACTTCGCATCAAAGCGGCTCCGGCGAAATCTACGGTTCTCGAGGGAGAGTAGCCATGGCACTATGACACATGCACATCGAGTGGCTGGAGACAATGATATTTTGGATGAAGGGTTTGGCAATACTCGAATTCCATCATTCCTCTTTAGATCTCATGAAGTAGGTTGGCTCGAAAACGTTGGTTCTCCCTGGATAAGTCGAAGCTCGGATATAACTACTATTTTTACATCCTCCACTCTGGAAAAAGGTTGTCATTATTATTATACTGTTCTGGATTTGGAGCCGAAGCAGTGATCACCACAGACATACGATTTTTGGGTTTTTTGTTCATGAAGTAGGGAGAGAGAAAAGGGAATTGCACCCCGATCCACCAATTAATAGCACACATATTTGGCGTGGTTTTGAGCCATAGTGCTGTTGGCATTTAGGGCTCTAGCACGTTTTCAAGTGCAAGGTCAAGGAGAATGCCGTTATAGCACCGATTCCGATGACCATCGACGCAGTGAGGTCCTCGAGATCACCGGGTGCTAGTCCCATTTGTTCGACAGAAGATGAAATATTCTTGAAGCTCAGGCCAATCATCAGTTGCCGTAGCAGTAGTACTGTAATCTGCAGCACACGAGTCACACTTTCTCACCGCCTGCATGAATTCTGAATCAGTTGGACAGAGAATTTGTGCGACCTTTCCGGTGTCTTGGGCGATGATATTAGCCGAGTTGAAGACCGTATAACACTCTGCTGGAGCAATGCCTAGAACCGTTTGTCGTTTGGCGAGCCGTGCAAGTGGATTCCACCTTAATCCTCGGGGCATTCTAGGTGTATGAGAATGAGAAGGAGCAGGTGTACTCCAATCAACCCATCCGCTTTTGGTGGTTGTGGGAGACGGTGGAAGGCAGACTGGCTGGCCAAAGATATCAAAAATATCAAAAGTGAGACCGAAAAACTCCGGGTTAAGATTGAAGAATCCCGGATTCGGCTCATACCATGCACAATCGGCGTGTGTTGGATTTGGGTAATCTCCGGCAAAGTCTTCTGGTACGGTCCTTTCTGGAAGAGGTTGGCACTCTTTCGGAGCACACACATAACTGCTTGCTGGAGGATTCTGCTCAAAGTTGCAATCGACCTGTGGTGGAGTACAAATAGTACCAGGCGGGCAACCCCAGAGGTAGTTGCTTGGCAAAGGATGCGGGGGAGTGTACGTTGGATTGACGATCCTTGAAGTACATGTGACCAGCCCGTTCAGTGGAGTAGTTGGACACGTAGTAATAGTTGTTGCTGGACCAGCAATGCTCGAAATCACAGTAGTAGTGACAGTGTCAGTAACAGTGTCAACATCAATGTGAGTGATTGTCTGCTGGTCAAAAATAGTGGTGGGATTGACAATGGTTGTTGGCTGGACAATTGTGGTTGGTTGGACCTGTACCTGGGTAGTCGTATCTGTGCTGTAGACTATATTCGTAGACCAGACCGTTTTCTCCACAGTCTTTTCATAATAAGTAGTGGAGACTGAATACAATGTTGTCGTTATAGGTACACAAGAGCTTTTGCTGTCCCAACCTCCATCACCTGCACGAGCCAAAGTAAAATAGACAACGGAGGCAAGGCTGCACGGGATAAATTTCCTGATCCCCATGTTGAGTTTTGCAAGGCACAACGAATGACTGCTATATAGAATCCAGATCTCTGGAGTGAAAGAGGAATGGAATGACAGGAACTAGAAACGAGGGAAACCCTGATGCTGATATAAGGCCATCAAGTGCTTTCTGCCCACCAGCCTTGACAAATTTTCCATCTAGATCACCTTAGTTCTGCCTACACAGCGGCATTCCGAATCGATGCTACAATGAGGAGCAATCGTCTGCAGGAAAAACGCCTGCTGGTCATTTGTGCCATCCACAGAGTCAGGCGCTATGATATTGGACCGGCGCGGCCTATCCCCCAGCCTCCTAGCAGGGTTCCTTGAACAGGCGTCCAACGCCACAATTTGGAACTCCGTACCTCGTATGTATACTCCATAGAGGAGGTTTTTGTTGACCACACTAGCGAGGAGATGGCAACAGATCTCAACAATGACATATTCAGCTGCCAACAAGCACTTCTACTTTTGGCCTGTCACTTGCATGACGAAGCCCGCTCATTGTCACATATGCTGCTAATGGTGCATGAGAACTGCCCCAACTTCTATTGTGGGCAACTGCAGGCAGGGTGGCATGGCAGTGGGGGCGATTCTAGCTAGATGCTGCAGCTGGTTCAAGCCCATGTGAGGTTGCAAGCCAAAAGTGCCCAACAGAGCCTCACATTTCCACACCAATTTCAGAGCATAGGACGATACTAGTTAGAAGCAAGCTGACTACGGAGTAGACCATACCTAACTTTTCATGGTAAGATAATGGAACCTGGGTAAGGATTGGCTGTTTCTGGGTGACTGACGGACTTTTAGGTCGCAGGACATTGCCCTTGGGGTTGTGGGTCTAATTGAGGCTCAAGTGGACAAGCAAAAAGCAATTTCTAAGCGACAACGGGAGGAGGGCGCAGGCCTTTGTGAAGAGGGATGTGATACTGTTATAGTGTGTACAGAGTACAGTAGCGTCGTTAGTCTGATGGAGTGATTGGTTGCGCCCGAATCCCGGGCTTTTGCAGCCTGGAACATCGACGCATCTTCCAAGGAAAGTATGAGTTACGATGCACAACGTGTTCAGCGCACAGTCTATGCTTCGGCATCTGTGAGGAACTGTCCCTAATGACGAGACCATTGGTTTGGTTTCATCGTCACGACGAATTCAAGCAAAGTTGTTCTCGAGGATCTACAGAAGGTGTTAAACCACTCGAAGCCGTGTTACTCATCATTTGGGGCGATCGCACCGTTGCAGTGTTTTCAAGGGTACACTAAGTCATGTTGCTTCCAGCTGTAACTGGTAAAAGCCGCTGCAAAGCCTACCCGAACATGTTCTTTTAGTACCCAACTCTTGCATTACAGCCAGCCCTCGTCTATTGGGCTATACAAAACAGAAGGCGGTGGAAGAAGCCGTAGATCCGGAAGCCATGCGGGGTTCACAGACAACACACCAGCTACTCGTAAGCAGTCCATGCTATTGCCGGGTGGGTGCCGGCCCCCCGGCGTGCCGCTCCAACATTAGAAAGTGGCTGTTTTTGGTCTCAGCCTGATGCTCCATTCAACGCATTCACGTCTCTGGATTGCGAGTGTCTACCAAATTAAGCTCTAGCCCATCAAGGCGAATTCGTTTCTGATAAAATCCTCTAATAACAGTGCTCACAAAAATGAGAAACTTAGAACCACAGATCAGAAAAACATAGTAGTAAGGCTGTGTTCTGGGCTTCATTGCCGCTTGCTGCGCCAGGAAATTTAGTAGGAAACCAAAGTGTCCAGCGAGCGAGCACTATAAGCGGCCTGAGCTTGCATAAGGACTGTCAGGCGAATTTGTCTAGGATACATAGTATTGGCGCAGCTTCATGGTCTCGCATTAGCCTCGCTGTTCCGTCGCCCGCACTCCGTTTCTGTGTTCCACCTTGGCAATTGCCCCATCAAATAGTAGTTCGTACTCCGTGCAGTATCTGTCGTTCGATGGCGGTGACTTGACGGGCAGATCCCCCCAGAAGAGATGAACCACTTCCAGAGGGGTCCAAGACCCAAAACATCCGACGCATCTTGCAAGCGAAGCCTGTGAAGCCATTTACATACCGCTCCTACAGGCCTAGAAGCGCCCCAAGACATTGCATACCTCCAGCAATGTGCTTTCTGATGATGCCAGCACAGTACATTACCATCTCCTAGACTTCCATATTTTTCTGTTATAAAATGCATGAAATCAAGGAAGGACAGGATACTCTGACTGCCTGAACCAAAATAAAGCTTCTCACACTGCGCCACCGGTCAAGGCAAGCGCTGGCTTGTTCAGCCTGATCCCAAGTCTGTGGCAATTCTACCTCTTTATGGAGCTGGCTTCAATAGATAGAACTTTGGGGTCCAATCAAACGGTACAAGTCATATGATCGCGTACGAAGTTCCCGTGTGTTCGCTTCTTGAAAATGGTTATAATCGGCGATCTCCTGGGCAGTGTAGCATCCTTTGATGCAGCCAACCGCTAGATATCATCCTTGTCTCAAACAGTAGAGTTCTAAGGCGAGGTGATTTTAACTGGTAGGAGATAACGAGGATATCCTCGTATTGCGGGAAGAAGCGCCTTTTGCTGGTGCATCTGGTCAATTCGTGCCGCGAACTGGCCCCATAGCATTGATGCTATTCCTTCTTTTCATCTCCCAGCCACGAGGGACTCTGCCCTCTGCCGGTTGTTGGTGGTAGTGGCGGAGAACTGTACCTATATCCTGAGGCGTGGAAGGTATCGGTCGCTTCACTGATTGTGCCGGTGTCTTTTTTTTTTTTTTGGAACTCTTCGTCGCCGGCCGCACATCACGCAGTGACAATGCTTGCTTCACAGAGAATATGGCGGACTTTTCTGCTCCTCGTACCACTTATCACTTGCGACTACACTTCTCGCGATTTATGTGGCTGGAATAGGCCAAGAGTTGCCCTGGTACGGGATCACATTTACGTGGAGGGAGGCATGTTATCAATTGGGGAGAATGGAAGTTGTGACAAACGTGCCACACCCACATCTTCTACCGGATTCCTCTTCAATCTCAGCCTTCACGAGCCGTTCGATATATCAAAAGAAGATAACCCGGCTTCATTTGAGTCCATATCTGAGGGAGCAATAAAATATTTCTATTTTGATGGCTATATGTTTGCAGACTATGACGAATTTTATGCCTGGGGGTAATCGATTTATTTATCTTCTATGGAACAAATCTTACTGACCGATCAATTAGCGGTATGCCCGTTATCGCCGGTGATCACGTCTGGATTTTCACGGTCAGCAACCCTTTATATGACAAACCTGACGGTGCCAACTACGAACTCGGACAGCCCAATACGGGATACGCCCCCGAGAGCGAGAACTTCCTTCCTCGAACAAACGGTGCTGGAGCAAATGCCCCTTCTGAGAATCTCGGCTTCTACTTGGGTGGAATGTGGAATGCAAATGGCGCTACATATACCTCTACTGATTACCCTACGAATCGATCTACCGATCTGATCAAGGTCAACACTGTGAATCAGGGACATGCAGACTGGCAAATCTATCCTTTCGATGAGTCGATCGTACCGTGGAGAGCTGAAGGTGGTCTTGTCTGGCTACCTACTTCATCGCAGGGCGTACTCGTTGTCATCGGTGGTGTGACAGCGCCCGAAGACCTCGGCTTCATTGGAAATGAGACAGATGAATCAACTTCTCTGAACTTCCTAAAGGAATTCCCGGTCTATGACATTGGTTCCAATACTTGGGCAATGCAAGCTATGGACTCATCATCCCCATTTCCAGACAAACCGCTAGCACAATTTTGCACGGTCGTAGCTTCCACCGCGGACGGGTCTCATCACGACATCTTCGTGTATGGTGGCGGGAATGGAGAAATCGGCGTGCCAACGGGTGACGTCTGGGTGCTGAGTGTCCCATCGTTTACCTGGATCAAAGCTGAAAGCAATGACCGGTTACCTGGTGATCGGCCCGGTATTCCAAGATTGGGACATGTCTGTACTTCACCTTATCCAAATCAGATGATTGTGATTGGCGGCACGAGTACTGGTGGCAGTCCACTGAAGGCAAACCAATCTATCGACGTGTATAACTTGAACAGCCTCAATTGGACGGGAGCTTATGATCCTGACAGCCATGAAGATTACAAGCCTCACCAGAACATCTTGGATGTTATCTCTAAGAAGCCAAAAGCAGACAATATATCTCCACAGGTGGGGGATTGGTTTGACCAGAAGTACAATATGGACAAGATCAGATTCTATGGGCCTTATGCCCAGCAAGTATCAGAACCACCACCGGCCAGCAACAACACTGGGCAGGGAAATGCCACTGCTCCAACTCCTCCGACTCCTCCAGTGGATGAACATCAGTCAAACAGACACTGGGTGATTCCAGTCGCTGTGGCGGTTCCAATTGGATCGGTTGCAGTGCTCATCGGACTTCTTCTCCTGCTTTTGCGTCGTAAGCGGCGCCTTGAACGTCAAGATCGGGAAAGAGAGACAAGTGAGGATAATACAAACCGCTGGATTGTGCCATGGATATGGGCCATACATCCACAGCACAAAGAAGCTGGATCAGATACTGTGACCGAAGTTGAGCAAGTGCCAAAGTCGCCACCTAAGTCCCCACCACCTCAAGAGCTGCCGGCGTCACAAAGAGACGGATACTTTACACCAAGTGACACAGGTGTTAGCAGCAATCAACGCTGGTCTTCGACAACGCCTGCGCGATCTCCTCTTGGGGAATATACCGGTCCAGTAGAGGGGCCGGACAACCCAATCCATGAAATTGAAGGCCGGCACCAACATCTTGCTTCCGACGAGATCAACTATGATCCGAAGAATATGGCTGCGCATCCACCGAGTATCGTCAGCGGGCGGCATCGTGGATACTCCGGTGATGCTTTACCAGGCTCTCCTGATACGTATCATCTTTCAGGGCCGCTCGAGACTAATGCTCCCATTACTACCAATTCGTCACGAGCGCTCGTGGTATTCCCGGAAGGTGAATATGCCCATCAAACCGGGTTCGGTCCACTTGATCACGCAGTGTCACCGCTGGTCAGCAGACAAAATCAACCACCGCGACACCGCCATCATAATTCAAGTGTGAGCAGCGGAATGTCATTGCCGTCTCCAGACCTCGAACAATCTCCTCGCACGATGCCTAGAGTCTCAAGAAGCCTCTCCGGGGAACACGATTCGACTTCTCCTGGCAGTGATTTCCAGGAGAATGGTCAAGGGAACCAAACATATTGATGAGGGAATTGAGATTTTCCGTTTTGCGAACGAACAAAATAATCTTGTGCCATAACCTTCACTCCATCCACAGCTCGCCATTGTCGATGTCGTCTGAGTTTTCAAAATTCGGTCATTACTGAAACAGCAAACAACCCGAACATAGTTTGAACGCATTCTACCGCTCGATCAGATATTGGACTGGGACTAGTAGTAACAATAATAATTCTGTTGTTAATCTTTTCCTTAATCTTGCCTGGAGCCATGACCCTGATGCTTGCAACTCTGCTCATCGGTCCTTGGGCCTCCATAAAGTACGTGGGCGTCAAATTTTCATCAATGTGGTTTCCACGCCGTGGCCAACGAGGACCAAAATTCTTGTCTCGGTTGGTCCCGCCGCTAAAACAATAGAGTACTGAATGTATGTGGCTGTGCAGAGGATAGGTAGGATATATTGTCTATATATCTCTATCTCATAGAGTTTGGGCCTTCGTCTAGCTGATAATAGAGGGGGCTAGACACAAACCAAAAATAAGGCCCTATTTTCGAACACTAGAATCCCGGTGTCCGATCATCAGGTGGGAGATTATTTTCATCTGCGAACCACATCCTATTCTTGATCTTGCCAATACCAGAAATTTCGACTTCTACCACATCGCGGTGTTTCAGCCACGGAGAAGGCTTCATGAACGCCGCCACACCATCGGGTGTGCCTGTCATAATGATTGTTCCTGGGCGTAGCGTGATACCACGGCTTAGATGCCTTACCAATGTTGCCACGTCAAATATCATACTCGCTGTTGTTGAGTCTTGTCTACGTTCCCCGTTCACGTACGCTGAGATCCTCAGTGACGAGGGGTCTCTCAGAACTTCCGTGGAAACGATGACAGGTCCAAGTGGGGCGAACTTATCCATGGATTTCCCATAGCCATGCTGCCCGCTCGAGCGCGTCTTATCTTGCCAGTATCTTGAAGAAACATCATTGCCAGCGGAATAGCCAAGCACATAATCCAAAGGATCTTCTGACGTTGAGATGTTCTTGCACTCTTTTCCAATAATTACACAAAGCTCAGCCTAGGAGATAATCAGTCATTTCCACCAACATCCAACATGACTTTGCAGATCGAACCTCATAGTCGAGCTGCCAGGCTTCCTTATCAACCGGAATATCCTGGTAAGGATCCGCTAATGCATCTAGAGCAGACGCACCCGTCAATTACAGTGTCCTGTTACACGCCAGGGCACCATTGCATCTTCTTACCAGGGTATTTCACGAATAGAATAGGAAAAGGCGGCAGTTTGAGCTGCAGATAGACTGATCATTATCTTGAATGCGAGAGACAATGAACAACTTACATCGCCTTCATCAGCATGCGCTTTATAGTTCAGGCCAACCCCGTGGATGATCGGTGTACTGGCTAACGGGCTCAATATCTGCAGTTTGCTTAGCATTACTGGGGGAGGGAGTTTTGATACCTTGTTTTTTTTACCTTGGCAACAGTGGCTGATTTGTTGGAAAGAGAAAAACCAGGATCCCACGGAGCATTTCCTGAAAATACTTTGAAAGTTTTATGCAAGAAGTCACTTTCCGAACCCGGCGCGCCGGCTTCGCCATAATAGATTTCACCATTCTCATCTTCAAATCGTAGGAGGTATTGAAACTTCGCCATAGCCCAAGATTTACTTCATGCGCATCCTTCCGAGGATGCACAATTCGAATGAGCGCTGCATCTAAGGCGTTCTTATATGCGGCCATCGCGGATCAAAACAATGGGCCTCTTTGCAGGGTACAACAGCAACACCATAAGACTAACGCTTTCTTGGACCTCCGGCAAAGACTAAATGATGCTTTGGGAGCGCATTTCCCGGAGTTGATATTTTATGCCGACAGGCAGAACCGTCCAATCGGTGGTCGGTTGGAGCTCACCCGATTGGCACGAAAGCAACGAGCAACAGAACCAGGCGTGAACTTGCACCCCTTCGCATAAAATTTCCAGTAGTTTAGATAGATCAAAGGGGGGCTTTCTCAACATGAGAAACCGATCTCGGACCGCAGACGATCATGCAACTATGTGGCGCTTCCTTTGCAATCGGAGAACGGCATATCAGGTTTCCCTCCGCAACCAGACCTGAGAACGTAAGGGTTCAAATGGGAGTCGTCTGCTGGCTTTTATATCTTGTTGCCCAGCCTGGTAGATTTTCCGCTGCAAAGATATCTTGAGACGCAGCCAAAATCCAGGTCCAGAAAGTCTGTCCCTCCACCTAGCAAGCAATTTCATTCGACATGGCTGAAACAATTAGCCCATACAAGCTCGCTCACGTTGTCTTACGAACGACACAATTTGATAAGATGCTTGACTTCTACAAAGTCTTTCTAGGTGCCAAAGTTGCCTTCAGCAACGGGGAATTAGGCCTCCTTCGATATGATGACGAGCATCACCGTATCGCAATTGCGGGAATACCTGGTACAACACCCAAAGAGCCCGCTTCTGCCGGGCTGTGGCATGTCGCGTTCACGTTCAGATCCCTACAAGAACTATTGGAAGCATATTCGCAGAGAAAGTCACATGGCATTCTCCCCGGCTGGTGTGTCAACCACGGTCCGACCACCAGTATGTACTATTTTGACCCCGATGGCAACCAGATTGAGACACAGATCGACAATCTCGATCCTGAAGCGGCAGATAAGTACATGCAGTCTCATAGCTATCAAGAGAATCCCATTGGAGTCAACTTCGACCCCGAGGACCTTATTGCCATGCTTGCCAAGGGGGTAGACCCAGAAGTAATCAAAAAGAGGATTGACATTGGTCCGAAGGACTTCCACGATATCCCGGCAGAAATATTACCGTCTGCTAAGAGCTGATCAAGCGTTCATACAATGGCAGAGACAAATAAGTGACATAGACTCGTGGAGGAGCAGCACCAAGGCCTGTAGCGTCGGATTGTAATGGTCGAATCTGAAAAGATCTTAAATTTTACGTATCTAAATTCGAAAATTGAGCTCAGGCCAATCCATCCTACATCTAAGAAGCAACTATCCTCTAAGGCCACTTCGAAATACGGGTGATTAAAACGCATGCGATAGCAGTTCCAGGGCTTCTGTGAACATGACTGAATCAGATATACTAGCCCGCAGCATATCTCCTCGCATCACAAAGGCTTTCTAAAAGCATTCAAGGCTTCTGGGGATGTGACACAACTCATTCGAACTTAAAGCCATGTTTTTTCATGAGCGTCCCGACGGAGCAAAATCCAATGACCGAGAGGCTCGGCGTTCTCGGGGGCCGGGAATCGAGATTTCAGTTTATGACTATAAAGATGGCTTCTATTGACTCCTGCTCTAATGATGTCTCTTCATCAAAAGACTGCTCGGAACAACGCTCTTCTCATCATAATGGCTGAGAATAATAGTCCACACGTTGCGTGGCCAAGTGTCATGAGGGGTGCAAGGACACAAGCTATCATTGAAGAGTTCTTCCGTGCAGCGGATGATCCTACAAGACATGGAAGTGTCTCATTCAGCAATTGTTTCTTACCAACAGGAGAACTGGTCGCCAGAGGACACACTTGTAAAGGTCGTGACGGTATGTTGAATCGAATGGGCTTTCACAATCTTCGCGGCGTTGCTAACACTGGCATCTTCTACAGAGCTTATCGCTTTCAGACAGGGAGCTTGGGATCCGATCAGCACCCGCAAACATGAGCTCGTGAAAGTGTATCTGTCTGATTCAAATGAGCGGGATATAGCCGTGCTAGGAAAAGTGACGTTTGGGCACAAGTCGGGGTCCAGTACAACTCAAGAATTTGCTGGAAATTTCATCATGGGAGACGATGAAGACGGTGCTCTTATACGGGAATATCGAGCATGGCTGGTAGGTCTTGTGATTGCACGTTTACTAGATCCCTCAACGCTGATCGGTGCTCTCTTTTAGGACTCAAAACCACTCGCGGATTTGATCGCAAATGCTCAATCAGTCTAACTCAGTGGAGCTGGACGACGAATCTTCCCCTATCCCACAAAACCTCACATGAGTACACAATTTCTGTTCATATCCACTCTCAAATATTTATGTCGAGCGAATGATATGACCTGATATAACCGAGTAAAAAAAACCATGGTCGTACCACATGCCAACGACATCACCTACCTAACTTTTGAGGTTGAAATCTCGTTGTTGTATGCGTAACATGTTGGGAACCGGATCTCCTGGCAGCACTATTAAGTCCTGTTACTTTAAAATACTGTTGACATGGATCATACGAACACCAGTTGGGCGTGCACAATCCGCATAAATACTAAGATACTAGGTATCCTGCCAATGCAAACGTAAACATTGAAGGCGTCTTATCACTGGTACAACGAAAGATAATTGCTATACCAGATACTTGTAAATTAGCTGTGAAGGAGTCTAATTCGTAGTCTTCTCGTGCTAGAAACACAACCCTAGACAGGCCATGGTTTTCAACAACAGGCTGACTCGTCGTGAGAAGGAAATTTCTTGGGGCCCTCTTTCTCAGATCCCTGAGACCACGGATGCATGCGGGATAACCGAGGTCGAACCTGGGGCCCCGGAGTTAACATGCCGCTACCGAGAAAGGCGACTTTAGCCCCTTAAAGACCCCGAGCTTTGGGGGCTTGGCTCCAAGACATCACTCACCATCTCGGTGTCAGAGATCTTTCAATAATTACTGTGCTGGTATTAGGAAGCGTGCTTAGAGTGTGTCTCCATGAAGAATGCATGAATCTAAGACTCTTGTGGCTTGCATATCCTGTCGGGAAAAGAAGATCAAATGTTTGTAACAACTCGCCTGATCAAGATTTCTGCATACTGATCTGATTGAGGTCGTGGAGGCTGTCCTTGTGAGAAATGTGTGGTATGTGCGAGCTCTCATTAAACTTGCTCTGTCAGCTACTCATTTCAAGGTCAGTCAACCGGCAAGGAGTGCATTTTTGCCTCCACGAGGTTCTCCCGGCGTCGCGCCCAGAGCGACCGCACAGCAGTCCTAGAGCATCGATTAGCAGAAATGGAGGCTCTCCTAAGCTCACGAACTGCACTCCAAGCAGGTAATTGTGATTCAACACTGGCAGCGGGAAATGTCGTCAGGTCGGATTTTGAGGCGAGTAGGAACCAGGGCTTTGCGGCGGCTGAAATTTCGCAGGATGGTAGCATGCTAGTTGATGATATCTGTTTCCCACAAGCAACGGAGAAAGACAACTACAATATCCACGACAGTCAAGGTTTAGATGCCACGTGTGAGCCCGATAAGCACCCGTCGAAAAGTCGGTCTACAGATCACGCTTCAGGCAAAGAGCTATTCCACCAGTTTCCCGGCAACAGCAAAATTAGTGGCTCGTGGGGCGAAATCCCTGGAAGCAGCTCGAGCTCTGGATTGGACGAAGAAGAACAAATTGTAATCTCCCCACAAAGTGTATGTCAAGAATGGAGACCTTCTTCTAAATCTAAGCTGACTTCAGTGACAGAGCAATTGGGAGCATTTAGGTGAGTGACAATTTTGGAATTCTGGTCCATAGCCTCACACGAAAAAAGGGCCGACTTCGTGGATTACTATCTGCTCACAGCCGGGACTTCACTGGGTTGCGGAGAGGTCAGGGACGAACGATTTTGCCTGCAGTGCGAAGGGGCTTTTATTGAGCTGGTCCCAGCGCTTGAAGTTTGACTGGGCAAGAAACCGAGAGAAGGCCCCTGACCTTGACTACGAAACTGCTTGGGCATACACAAAGGGTAATCAATCTGTGGAAATGTGGAATGAGACTTCTAATTTGCTGTACAGCATACTTTGAAGACTCTTTTGAAGCCTTCTACGGAGTGGTGTACCGGCCCGAATTTGAAACCCGCCTCGTCCAGCATTTCGAAAGAGGCACCTCGGACGATGATGCATCCTGGTATGCTTTGAGGAATGTCGTCTACGCGACTGGTTGTCGTACATTTTTAGCAAAACAGAATTTGCTTTCCTGGGCAGAGATTCAGCGACGGTCCTGGCCATTCTTTGAGAACTCCTTGTCTGTTTACGTTGAATTACTTTATACTCCTACAGGACTTTCAGCCGTTCGAGCATTAGCAGCAATGGTGCGGTAATTGTTCATCGCGATATGAAATCTTGGTCCTTCTGACATTTCACAGAATCTGCACCTTGAAGGGGCAGGAAATCCAGCTCTAGAATCCATGATGTGTATCAGCGCTGTAAGACTAGCACAGACGAAAGGTCTACACCGCCAACCAGCTAGCAGCTGGGGCTTGCCTCAAGACGAAGTACTACATCGAAATTGGCTGTTCTGGGCCATATACGTCCATGAGAAACAGGTAACCCACCGTTCTGGCCGTCCATCAGTGAGTTTCTCGTAACTGAGCCTGTGAGATTATGAGCTGATAAGTCTTGATTAGACAATCGATGATGATAATATCAGTTGCCAAGTTCCGTCGAGCATTGTTCCCGGGAGCACCATTGATCGCGGATTTTTGACTTCGATGATTAATCATGCACAAATATCGGCCCGAATTTATAGGAAGCTCTTGACCGTGTCTAGCTTTCGTCAAGCACCCATGACTTTCATTGAAACAATGGCCGAGCTTAGCCTGCAGCTGGAGCTTTGGAAAGACTCGTTGTCCCCTGCGCTCAGACCGGGAACACCAATTTCCATTGCAGAATTTCCATCCACACGAGACCTGAACAAAGTCATGTATCTACAGTTTGCTTACTACGGTAGTCTGACAGCTATCCACACAATTTTCTACTTTCCGTGGATTTCCGTCATATGCGGAATTAATGCCCATGACACAGCTCACAGCTCTCAGATTGCTAGCAGCAGCAAGATAGTGGCGGAGACAGCCAGAAACATCATTCAAGCCACAAGGTTCATGCGCGTAGATGCAGCTTCACCACAATGGTATAGGTAAATGCAAATTTTGTTTCGAATACTGCTAAATTCTCTTGGTACAGGCTTGTGTTCTACTTTCCTATGGTCGGTTTGATCAACCTATTTCTCTATATCTTGAAACACCCGTCACTACCATCGGCACCCTCAGATGTGGCGTTCCTGGACATTGCTGTAGGCCACTTCGGGCACCTGGAAGTTCTTACATCGTCAGAGCTCAGGTACCCATTTGCAAGAGAGGTTGCAAGGTTGGCCTACACTACCGTTAAGAATCACAATAGGACCAGTATGGGCTCGACCAATCCAAAAACGCCAGCGAATCACTCTTTACGGGCCCCGGAATTTGATGCTAGCGAAGTCAATTTCGCTGATGAGGTGCGTAAGCTCGCAATATGTCCCCTAGATATTATCACTAATGCTGTTATGAGCCGCAGGAGGGCGATCTTGACTTTAATGCTCTTGTGGCAGATGGATTTAGCATTTTCGGGACAGATGATATCCCGATTGAGGGGGACATGGTATATTTCCCACCTTGATCGCAAGAGAATTTAGACCAAAAGCTGTACAAAATGACCATGTGTCCGTGCTTTCGTGGCCTCTACGTATGTAGAAAACTGTAGGTTCTTATGTGGACGTCCACCTCTCACTAGACTAGCCTCACTCTGTGGCATACCAAGATAGGTCCGGATCCACTTTTCTGTAAACGTGTTGTGAAATTGACACCTCCCTCGGCGAGTAGGAACTATATGTTCGGCTGCAAGCACCGAGGTTCGAGGATCGGATCAATGGAAGCTTACAGATGCGGTGACCCAAACAGAGTATCTATTAGCATCGGAAAGGAGAAGCATGATCAGACAGGATCGTGTTGGAGAATATGGGCTTTATGACGATGTGAAGCAACACCGGCAACTGATCTTGAGACTACGAACATCCAAGGACATCAGCCATTCGGGTTTTGCTGTGCTCCGGCCGTTGTGGAGAGTCTAACGATGTACCGTGTTTCGGCCCGAGTAGCCGGAGGCTTTAGCCCGCAAGCAACTCACCCTACGGAGTACGCAGAGGCATTACTCTGAAACCTATTTTCCCCCATAGAGAGACTTCGGGCCTACAGAAACATGCCTATTACCAATTGATAGTTTTGTCAGCATAACTCCATGCATCAAGTTGGGAAGCCTTGGCGCACAAGGTCCGGGATACCTCTATGTAAATTAATTCAGTGGGTGGTTCGCATGGCTATAACTTGGGATATGGCGGAGTATCTGATGTGCCCCATACTCAGTCGCTTCTCTCACTCCATATTTGTAAAAAAAGGACGTTCAACTGACAAAAGCCACATAGCAAGGCAAATGTCGGTGAATGGTATCAAACACACGGTGCAGGGCAGTCCTGCTCCCATTTTCTCCCCTCAGCATGTCAGTGTCGTGTGCATTGGCGCCGGGGTATCTGGGATCGCGCTAGCCATCGAAATGCATCAGAAGCTACAGAATTTTGATCTCTGTATCTTTGAGAAGAACTCGGATATCGGTATTCCTAGCCTCCAAGTATCAACTCCCATGATGAAAGTCTCGCTGACCTAATGCGAAGGTGGAACCTGGCTGGAGAATCGATACCCAGGATGTGCTTGTGTGTGCTAAATCATAAGCTCATTTGCAGGACTGATGTTGGATAGGTGATGTTCCTGCGCATGCGTATACTTACACATTTGAGCCAAACCCGGAATACTCTCAATAGTAGGGTTATTCATCTCGTGTGCAAGACCAACAACTAACTGGCTACTTAGTTACGTTGGGTCTGAAGAGATCCACCAATATCTTACTAAAGTGGTTGAAAAGTACGGTGTTCGCAAATACATCCGCTTCAATCACAAGCTTGTGTCTGCCGTTTGGTCCAACGAAAGAGGTCAGTGGGACCTAGAGTTGGAGGCTGCTTCCAACGACGGATCTCGACGCCCGCAAATCGTAAAGAGATCATCCAACTTCCTCATCAATGCGAGCGGGTTCTTGAATAATTGGAAATGGCCCGAAGTTCCTGGGCTGCATGATTTCGCTGGACCTTTAATACATTCAGCGGATTGGCAGAAAGACCAGGAGTTGGCAAAGAAGACGGTGGCCGTGATCGGTGCTGGATCATCGGGGATCCAGATTGTCCCTGCCTTGCAACCGAAGGTGGGTAAGCTGTATGCCTTCATCAGGTCCCCTACATGGATCCCCCCCTCTCAAGGCTTTGTCGATCCGATTAATGGTGGTCATGATCCAACAAACTTAATCTACACCGACGAAGACAAGAAGAGGTTTCGAGAGGATCCGAAGTATTTTCTCGAATACCGCAAAACTATCGAGAGTAATCTAAATCGCATTATCGATATGTTTTTCAAGGACAGTCCCAGGCAGGCAGGAGCAAGGCAGGAATTTGCCAAAATTATGAGAGCTCGCCTCGGGGGCAATGAGGCTATCGCTTCAAAGCTGATTCCGCAACACTCAGTTGGCTGCAGACGTTTAACACCGGGTCAAGGGTTTTTGGAGGCCCTGATCGAGCGAAACGTTGAGGTTGTCACATCTGAAATTCAGCGTATTGAAGCTGAGGGATTGGTCACGGCTGACGGTAAGCTACACAAAGTGGACGCTATCATATGTGCGACTGGGTTCGACACTAGTTGTCGTCCACGTTTCCGTCTTGTCGGCGATGAAGGTATCATTTTGAATGAGTTGTGGGATAAATCAGATTGCATTGAAGCATACCTGGCCATGGCCGTTCCAGGCTTCTCCAATTATCTCAGTGAGTATCCAGTGCTGTCTGAACGCAATCCGGAATCTCAAATTAACAAATCACTCAGTGTTCATCGGCCCCAATGCGCCGATCTCCAATGGCACCTTGATTCCTGTCATTGAGAGGCAAGCTTCGTATATGTCATCAATGATCCGAAAGTATCAGCGACAGCACATCAAGTCTTTCTCACCATTGGCCCGTGCAACAAGACTTTTAAATCAAAGACATCAACAGCGGCTGCAACGATTTGTCTGGACGGATAGTTGTAAGAGCTGGTACAAAAATGGCCAGAGGGAGGGCAAAGTGATTGGGCCTTGGCCAGGGAGTAGCTTACATTATTTCGAAGCAATATCTGAGCCAAAATTCGAAGACTGGTGGTATAGTTACTGGGAATCGAAGGGCGACTCAGGCATTGAGCCACCAGGCTCAGGCATGTGGGAATATCTCGGAAACGGATACACTATGCTAGAAGCAGAGGATGAAAAATCGGGCGGAAAAGGGGATCTGGCGTGGTATCTTGGGTAGTTTATAAGATGTGCGGGGGTGCAAGGTGTGACAGACTGAGAACAGCATCCTGGCACTTCTGCGAGACCATTTGCGGCATATCTCCCAAGATGGGGAGATCTCCGTGCCAGGGCAATGAGCTTACGACGGCCTCGTAGATGGCAAGAAACATGAATTGGGCATTTATTGCGCAAGGCAGACTTCGTGTGGACAAGAAGTGAACAGCAATTAGCTGTTGCCAGAAAGTCGCGGAAATGAAAGAGCGCCGTCAAGCCAAGTGCTACTTCTTGGAGTACTTTAAAAGACGATTACCTTTCATAAGATTGTTGAATTAGATTTTTAGCAAAGGGCCATGCCGTTCATGTGGTCATCAAAGTATTGAGACTCCGCCGGATCACGGAAAATGAAAAGGAGTCTACAACTTCTCTTTAGGGGAGACGACCAAGATCCGTCTGGGATCAGGTTGTAGAGAAATGATACCTCCGCCGAAAAGGGTTGAGGGACAAGAGTGCGAGTCTGCAAGGGACCTGTTTTCGGACTTTTGAACCTAGCGGGTTTCAAGTGTTGGTCAAACACGGATATGATTTCCCAGCCACAGGCAACTGAACAGGATGCCGAGGGCGGCAAGGCCCTCCACTTACGAGTACATAGGCATGCGACACAGGCCTTGGATGCACCCACATCGTTCACCTCGTACCTGGATATTTAGTTCAATACATTCATGGTTACTGCTCGTGGATATGAGGTAGCCTTCCGTTGTCAGGTCCTACGAGCACATATGTCAGCAGACGTCATGCCTCCCTTCTAACCTCCACAACGCCTTACTCTATCTACTGAAGAACGGTGTCTCATTGGGAAGCGGATTCAAGACACAGAAGGAGAAACTTGGAAATAATCGGGTACAAGAACGGTGGTAGTAAAAACGAGAAATCAAAAACTCGTATGGTTTGCCTCAGTACTCAAGGCGTCTCGTTCCTGGCTGTGGCATTCTGCAAGTATGTACAAGATAGATAGGCAGATTCCACAAAGCCATTAAAGGCTCTAATTAAAGGCCAGGGGTGTGCGCCGGCATAAATAGCGCCAAGCCTTGGCATTACCGGGCTATGTGGACCACATCAAGCCGGCATAATGTCATATTAAGTGTTCCTGGCTTTGGACATCTGAATCGACTATCTGAATGTTGAGGTTCCTGCACACCGTTACAAGCGATGAAGATAGCGCTCACCCACCATTCCGGTACAACATAAGGTTAGTTTTTCTCACCAAGCGCGATCCTCCCGCGTGCTTGTTCGCCGGACCCGCCCAGGCGGCTTGATGTCTTGGCACCGCTGGACGCGCACACCAATGCCCGCACAGCCCGGACAACACCAATAGCATCCGTTCACAAGCCAATGCTGCAAGCCCGATGACGTTTACAAACCCCAGCCGGTTTCCCGTTTCTTAGGACGCCATGGCCTAAATCGTGGCAGGACATGATCCCTGCATATGCGAGCAACACCTGCCTCGCCAGGCCGTCTCCAGATTTCCTTGTCGTCGTTTTGTATTACTATCATTTCTCGTTTTCATCAATCACTTCTATCAATAGTGGTCAGCACCTTCGTTTTACGTTCCATTGTTCATTCGTTTGAGTTGGTTGATAGACACACAGGGTTAATGGGTGTATCATTCTTAATTGGCTGAAATCACATTCAGCGGGCAAACGACGTCTACGACATTGCAAAAAACAACAAAATTTGGAGACGCGTTCCCAAGGAGCTAGGCGGGCTAGGGAAGCTGCAGGCCGGCAACATAGAGGCCATTCTCAGGACGGTTGGAAAGCTTCAGGTTTGGGTCAGTAGGTGCTTTGAGGGTCAACGCAGCGTCTGGGCAAGAACAGCGAATGTGAGAGCCCGGCAGGACCAGGAAAAGCAGCAAACGAATAGAAGCAAGGACAAGGAACTAACGAAAATGATCCATTTATTATGGTTCGCCGTCCTCAGCACAACCATTGTCCTCAGAATAACACCAGCCCTCGCACAGGAGGAAACCCCACCTCCTGCTGCCGAAACACCACCACCACCTGTCATCGATACACCACCCCCTGCTGTCGACCCAAATTCAGAACAGCCCCCACCGCCCGCGGAAGTGACCGGCGAACCGGTCCCCGAGGATGGAGGTCAACATGATGTCACGGACGAGGGCGAGTACTACAACGTGATTCCACACCTCCCCGAGGATTGCGACGATGTCAGGATCTTCAGTGCCCGGGGGTCGGACGAGCCTTACCCAGGTCGTGGAGGTGCAATGTTGGGGGTGATGTGTTCGTTGTTCGAATCGAACGGCGTCTCATGCGACTATGAGGACGTTGTCTACCCTGCAAACATTTCGTACTCTGGGATTTTCTGCCAATCGGCAAACATGGGCGCCTTCGCTGGCCAGTCTCAAATGACTGAATACGTTCAACGCTGTCCGGATTCGAAGATTGTCCTAGCCGGCTACTCTCAGGGGGGAGGTGTTGTCGGCGATATCTTGGGCGGTGGCGGCGGATTTCTCTTTGGCTGTAATCAGCCCTTCAACCCGCCGTTATATAGAAACACCACCCCTGGCTCAAGCGGTAAGTCTCCTCACCTGCACTCAGAACCACCTACTGACACGTTATAGTTGCCGCCGCTGTAACATTTGGCGCGCCTCGCTTTACCGCCAATGAATCGTACAACATCGGACATGGATCGACCTACAACGGCGTGCTGGAACGCCGGGGGCAACAACTCTCCGACCTGAACCAGTACGATGACATAATTGCCATGTGGTGCAACGCGGGCGACCCTGTGTGTGCCGTGGGCAGCGAGCCCGTCAATATCACTGCCCACTGGAGTTACTATGACGAGTACACTGAAGTCGCGTCCCGTTGGGTTGTGGCTACCGTCCTGGGTCACACTGAAGTTCGGCTTGATTTGGATCTTGACGGACAGGACGAGAGTGTTGTCTTGACAGGATCCAATTCATCCGATTCTTCGAATGACAGCAAAAGTAGTGGTGGCGATGAGGATAGCGCACTGGGTTTGAGGAGCTCACTTTGTGGTGGCATTGGCGTGTCAGCGCTCGTCACCTTAGTCACATCGGGCCTGGTCTCTATATTCTAAAACTAATGAAAGCAGTGTTGCCTTTTTGATCCGTTTTAGTTTTTCCTTTTTCATCTACCCGTTTCAGGCTCTCAGCATATCGGCTACGTCTAGCAGTGCCGTCTTTTGCATTTTGCAGTTGCTGTTCCGAGAAAGCTGGAACTTCAAGAAATTCTATCAGCTCCTGTGGAAGAACCAACAGCCATGCGGCGACCCCTGAGTATCCTTGGAACATCCACGTTGGTGGTAAAAGTAGCTTAGTGCACCAAAAGCGCAATCGTTTCTTCTTGCACTAATCGGTGAAGAGACCAGCCGCTAGTCATTAGCTCTTCCTAGGTGGACTTCCCATGCACTTTGTATCAAGATAAAGAACTAGATTGGACTAATAACTCATTCTCTCACAGCTGTCTGGTGAGTCCTCCTGATCTTTGCTTTCTACTCTCTATAACATCATATACGCATGGTAAGAAACGAAGATAACGCACTGCGTGCAGGCCCGACTCACGAGAACCTCTGCTTGAATATCAAATCCGGAGACATGCTATACCGAAGGCTGGATTTCCCGCGAACAAGGTACATATACCTTCCATATTCTGTATAGCAGGTCCATGATTAGCTCTGAAGGCGCGAATTATCACAGTGGTAGTCGAGCTGTTGAACGCTTAGTAGGACTGAACCTTTTGTCGGAGATAGGCGGACCATGTTTAGAATCCTTAGATAGGAGATCAGCGAACAGTTGCGGTCACGAGTCACGACTGTCACTGACACACGCTGGACGAGAGAATCCTTGTTGAAGTATGATAGCCCGTTTGAACATTCATCCGTCACCGTTACGAGCGTTCAACGAGACGAGGTGACGAATGATATGAAGACTCCCCGCATTGGGGAGGGCTTATAGCCTTAAAAGATACTCCATAGTTGGAGAACCAATGTATCTAAGTTGATCCCCACGGAGGAATACCTGACGAGTAGATTCTTGCAATCAGAGATAGTGTAAAGTTAACAAGTTCATTGACCACTTACCTCGTTTAACGCCCTGCTGAGGGCACGACCTTCCCAATATATCGATGATCGGTACTCGGCAGTTGGCCCGACGCTTCAAGGAACACTATTTGGAGACGAATTGTTGATAGCAAGATTGCCAGCAAGGGTTGTAGGGGGTGGCGAGTGATGGTCAAATATGGCCTCAACTTCCATACCTTTGGCTTTTGTCCTCAAGGTCATCGACCACGTACATCATGGGGAACGATATCGAAGCACAAGCCAGCACCACAGCTCGTGCTGAGAGCCTGGACGAGAAAACCATCGCGTCCTCCAAAGATGTCGACGAGGCATTACAGTTTCTTCATGCCAATGCGGCCACCGCTCACCTTACCGACATCGATGAGAAGAAGCTGATGCGCAAGGTCGACTGGATGATGATGCCGCTGATGTTTGCGGTTTACTATCTGCAGTACACGGACAAGACATTGCGTATGTTCACTCACGCTCCGGCTGGTCATTCTTGCCCATCTCACCCGCTGAATAGTCTCATCTGCCGCGGTGATGGGTGTCATCGAAGACACTCACATGCCTGACAATGGGTTTTCCCATCTCGCCATGGCATTCTACGTTTCTTTCCTCTTCTGTGAGCCGCTACAGTCGTTTTGCATTCAACATTTCCCCACCGCCAAATACTTGGGGTGCAATGGTAAGATTCGAGATGTTGATGGAGACTCAATGTCATTTCTAACCACTCAGTTAGTTATCCTTTGGGGCACCGTGGTGACCCTCAACGCTGCGTGTCATAGCTTTGCACCTGTCGTAGCTCTTCGTGTTCTGCTTGGCATATTGGAAGCATCCGCCGCTCCCAGGTACGTGAAAATTTGGTTCCCTCGCGTCTTCTTCATCCAGCACTGACTCTGCTAGCCTTATCATCCTCACATCCATGTGGTATAAGCGGGAGGAGCAAGTCACACGAATGGGCATCTGGTATCAGGGTACATCAGTCGCACCTGCAGTGTCCAGCCTTGTCTCCTATGGCTTCCTCCATTACACAAATGATCACCCAAACCTGCGATTCAAGTCATGGCAGATCCTCTTTCTGATGTGGGGATTGATCACCATTGTTGCGGGAATTCTCGTCTTTGTGTTCCTTCCAGATAATCCCATGAAAAGCCGACTGTCCAATGATGAAAAACTCTTTATCATTGAGCGTGTTCGAGGCAACCAGACTGGAATCGAGAACAAAAAGCTCAAGGGTAACCAAGTCAAGGAGGTTCTACTGGACGTGAAAACGTGGCTCTTGAGTCTCGTTGTCATCACCACCAATGTTCCGAACGGCGCAGTTAGCTCTTTCTCCAACATTATCATCTCGAAGTACGAAATTAACGGCACTATCACTATTCATTACACAAACTGACGTGTTGCAGCTTCGGCTACGATGATTACACCACACTACTGCTCAATCTGCCGGGATGTGTAGTCAGTTTCGTTTCCGTGGGACTAGGAACATATTTGGCTGGAAAGTTCAACGCTAGAGGCCCGATAGTTACTATTCTCATCATACCGACGCTCATAGGTGGGGCGCTGATGGCATGGTTGCCTCCTGATAACAAGCCCGGGCTGCTGGCCGGCAACTACATGACAAATACTGTTGGCTCAAGTAAGTGTCAAGATGAAGATATATAAGACAAGCAGCTAACAGCAGAAGCTCTCCCCATGCTTTACAGCTGGATCACTGCGAACCGTAAGTGTTTGCTCCCATAAGGGATGTTGTCTGCCGTACTTACCAAAAACACAGACGGCGGCCATACCAAAAAGGTCACCATGAACGCCATCGTGTTGATGTCATTCTGCTTGGGCAACATAATAGGACCTGAAACATTCCAAGACAAGGATGCACCGCAGTACATCCCAGCCAAGATGACTATTGTCATTATTCTCGCGTTCGGCATAGTATTCACGATACTTCTCGACTGGCTCTACATCCGGGAAAACAACAAGAGGGAAAGGGAAGGGCACCAAGAGTTGCCGCCCGACTTCGAATTTCTTGATCTCACAGATAAAGAAAATCGGAATTTCCGATACGTACTTTGAGGCACGTGGCAGGGATGGAAGCCGCTGTTGTTTGACGCTTCCCCAAGAGCAGTTGTGGATATGGTGAAAATGATATTGAGCAATCTAGTTTTGCATGTGGAGTGATAACGAGCATGGCTGGGACTCTAAGTCGATGTTGCAGAAGCTAACTGGTTTGCTTTTGGTTCTTTTTGGACAAACCCTGATAGTTGATCTCCCATCGTCAAGGCCTGTCGCCTACTTCGAGCGCTTTCGGAGCCTCATCTTTTGATGATGATCTAATGATCTAACCTATTGTGTCATCCAGTAGCTTTGAAACCAGGCTAAAGATCAACGCCCAAGTGGCGGAGGCGCAGAGTGCAGGTCACAAATGGCCACCAGCAAGTTGGGTCACGGAAGAAGTGCGGAGGGAGTGCTGTTAGATATGAACGTAGATATCTTATGAGAAACCAGGGTCGCATCGGACGATGCAACAATTCGCAAGTATTTGTATATGATTCATAGGTCAAAGCGGCTTTTTCGGGAAAACTAAATTCATTTCGTAGATTGAAGAGGGCAATTTTATGTAAAATGACCAGTCATCGTGCTGGGTATGCTTCAAATTGCCCTCCCGAGTTCTTTCTTACTACCCATCTGTCTAGAGCCATTGCGGTAATCATCAATTGCGAAAAGAATGCTTTATTACCAAGTGAAGCTTTCCTCGTTGAGAGCGATATTTGCGTCTGGAAGGCGAGCGCGGACAGCCGCGCGGACCTCGTCGGCCAAGGCACCTGGTCCACAAACGCTTACTATGGTGGCACCGATGCGTAGTGGGATTGCTTCATCAAGAATTGCAGTGGGTTGGACTCTGCCCTGAATAATCTGCATTGTGGGCTTTGCTCTGCTGGTGTTGATCGGAACGGAGGGCTTGCTCGCGTATACCCGAATAGAGAGAACTTCACGACGGCCTTCCATAGCAAGGATCTCGGTCATCCAGGGCTTCACCCACTCCATGGCGTCGACGTCGCGGATGGACCAGACTAGGACGATCTTCCGTGTCGCGACTGTCTGGGCCTTGGCGCCCAAAAGTAGATGTCGGATCTGGACGAGATGATGGGTGATGCCACCGCCACCAGCAAACATGATGACAGTGCCGTAGGAGACCATGGAATCGTGGCCAGCATAAGGTCCTTCGAGGAAGCCGCGAAGGAAGAGCTTGTTGTTGTGCGACTGTCGAGCTAGCTCATGGAGCTTCTTGGTCATTCCCGAGCGGGCACAAATGATAAGTGAAACGCGAGTTGCAGCCTTGGATGCCACCAGCTTGGTACTTGTTTGCCCCTCAAGATCTACAGGGCCCGAGTTTGTGGGCTCGGTGGTAACCGGAGGGCCAGCCTCCACGTTGGTCCACGCCACCGAGAAAGGATGAGACATCCAAAGAGAAATAGCTGGTATGTAGGCGTACACATGGCTACCAGGTCTGATGGTGACATGACGCGGTAGTTGGAATGTTACCCTACATGCCATAGCTGGCAGCGCTTCAACAACCAATGCAGTTCTGCCTCCAAAGCGAGAGTAGTTGAGATACACAATCCGTCCAATTCGCCAGACTCTCTCAATTAGCCAGAAGATGACCACTGTGAGAATGAAGGGGAAAGCCGGAAGCATCTTGGAGCACAAGTGGACATATACTCCCAAGAACGCAGCAAAGCCCAAAACTTGGTGCAGATGCAGGAAGGTCTCGTAAAAAGCGTGGCGAATTGGGGAGAGCGAGTGAAGGACAAGGATGACGATAGAGATGAGTGCAATCAGGCCAAACTGGAGGAATCTGCTATTGACGAAGATCGCAAGAGTCGCGTCCTCTCCTCTCGCCATGATGTAGGCGGTCATCCATGCGGCGAAATGGATCAGAGACTCTACAGCAACAATCCTTCCAATCCATCGATGGAACAAATTGTAAGTGTCGAAGCTGACCCGTAAGAGCGGGATTGCAGGATTGTTCCGGCCTGCAAGGACGACAAGCGGAATCATGTTGACAGTTGCCAATATTCCACTCCTACCCCGAAGTTCAGCATAGAGCTTTCCCTTCTCGCTGGTCTTCCAATCCAGCATGACGCAGTAAATAAGTTGACTCAGAGCGTACACGAACAGGAGCATGAAATGGATTCGTCCGGGGATTGTGCCATAGTTGACAACACTGGAGATTTGGAGTTCTCGGTTGTGTCTCTTGTGGAGAAGTGGTGCGTAGATCAAGTTCTTCTTCAGCCATGACCAGAGAGGGAAGTGGTCTAGAGTATAGTAGGTCTGCTGTACAGCTGTCGCAGTCATGCAGTAAATGGTCCGAATGTAAGCGACAAATAGTTCAGCCAGGCGGAGGGCAAAGATGGTCCCGACCGTGAGGAAAATGGTCACCCACATCATTTTGACAAGTTTGGAATCCATTTCGATGTTAACGCCATGGAGACCAGTGAAATACGGTGGAGGTGTCGTCCCATTGAAGGCAGCAGCAGCAGTTAAATTTGCTCCCGGCGGAAGCTTGCCAGCTTTGAAGACCAGATTTCCGTCGGCCGAATCCCGTGGAACGTGGGACAAGTACGGCACAAAAGAGTTCGACATCGCGGCAAGGCTTGGAAGATGAGTAGTTGCGTCCAGCACAACTGATGTTGGAATCTGTGGCATTGTGAGATCTTTACTGTTTGATATCCAGTTTTGGTCTGCCTAGGATGAGTGTAGTATGCAGCTATGCGTGCGGTAGTGACCAAAGAATCCCTGCCACGCACGTGCCGAGTACCTCGATTCCGCTTATTATGGTCGTGTCGGATCTGCAGGAGGAAGGATGTTCTTTCTTTTGCTTCATACGGACCAACAATCAAGCAGCTACGAAAGAGTTTTTGAGGTTCAAAGATCAAGTGTCTAAGGAAAACGAGAATCAGAGCAACAAAAAAAACAAAAAGCAACCAGAAAACAATGTGCGTAGATGTAGAAGTACCAAGGCCTGTGAAAAGGCGTTGAATAAAGCCTCGAATAAAGAAGTATCACTTGAACCGGATGGCACACATGATTCGTCATGGTGGCTCAGACAAGGCACCACTTACTGTTATTGAGCATCAGTGCAGTAGCATGTACTTACGGATAGACGGTTGCTCGGGTTATTGAGGCTTATTGGGGGTTATTGACCACCCTTGGATGTCTAATGAGATTTGATTCGTTTTAATTGATGGACGAGGTTTGAATAAGGCTGCACTTGGCGGCCTTCTGGAGTAAGGATTTTCCGAGAGCCGATCAGCAAAACAGTACTCGTACTCACCACTACTGGTGGCCTTTCAGGTGAACACTTCAACTGCGCGCCTCTTCTTATGGTCACCGAAAGCAGACCAATCGCATGGTGAGGTGTTTCACTGTCGAAGACTTGGGCGAATCTGCTCGCTTTTGCAAACAAAGGCGTCCGTCAGTTCTACGTGGAACAAACTCGATTCACCTCCTCAATTCCTTGAGATTTCAAATGACACTTGTTTCGCACTCTTGGCGTCTTTCCAATCACCACACGTGACCAGGTCGCATTCCCGATGTACTCTACTCGTAGAATTGCTTTCCAGAGCCAACATTCTTTATTGCCTTTGTCCTGAATCAATGGTCTGAACAAGTAAACCTCAACACCGCTCACTGTATCTCCCTCTGTTCCTCTGTCCTTCTTTACCGACCCATCCAACCGCCATCGACCGTCAACACCTCCCCACTGACGTACTGGCACGCATTGCCCGCCAAATACACGATCGCACCCTTGAAATCCTCAGGCTTGCCCCATCGACCCGCCGGTATCCTCTCGAGAATCTGCCTTGCCCTCGTCTCATTCGCAATGAGAGCCTCGTTCATGTCCGTATCGATGTATCCTGGTGCGATCGCGTTGACTTGGATGCCCTTGCCCGCCCATTCATTGCTCAGTGCCTTGGTCAGTTGTGCCACTCCGCCCTTGGAAGCCGCGTACGCCGGGACCGTGATGCCCCCTTGAAACGTGAGAAGAGATGCTACGTTGATGATATTGCCTCGCGTGCCCGATGTAGGTGCCGGCTTGGACAAGAGATACGCGCCGAAGTCTCGACACAACGTGAAGATTGTTGTAAGGTTGACTTGTAGCACCGTATTCCAGTCGTCGATGGGGAATTGGTGTGCTGGATGTCGCTTCTGGATTCCCGCGCAAGTAAGCAGGATATGCATGTTGTGACCAGCCTCAACGAGGCTTGGGATCAGTTTCCCCACCGACGACTGGTCTGATAGATCTGCGGTGACGATATTGACTGTTCGCCCAAGCGCCCTGATCTGGTCGTGAGTTTTCTTGTTGCTTTCGTCTCTCTGCGGTGTGCATTAGTGTTTCTCATCCGCTACGATCTGTACTTGTGATTCCAAGCTTTCTTTTTGGGATGTCACATTTCCTTCGAGTGACGCTCACCTGAACAAGAACGATGTCTGCTCCCGCCTCTGCTAGTGCAATTGCCATGACGGCCCCGATGCCTCTTGTTCCTCCTGTAATCACAGCAGTCCTCCCGGCTAAGGAGAATAGATTAACCAGAGCCTCCATCTTCGACTTGCTTTTATAGCGCCACGAAAAGGTCAGTGGCTGGATATTCTATCGCCAATGAGAATAGAAAAAGGGAATGTGGAAGTCTCTCACTAGAAGGATAGTTTATGCCAAGATTCTCCCGCCACAAGTGATAATGTACGGAAAGATGGACGTCTTTGTCACTGCGGATGAACCCTCTTGCGTCCAGGAAAAGCAATTGGCGGCGAAGCCACCGATGCGGCCTGCAGATGTGGTAAGGGCAACGCAACACCCCGCGGGATGCCGGCTATTGGAGTGTGCTTTAAGCAGAACATTGAGTTCGGGAGAGCAGTCGCCGATGAGGGGAACGATCGCGCTGTAGGTTGCCCCTTGTTGGAGATGGGGGCACCATCACATGTAATAGCAAATACTCGACTATTTAGTAGTTTCCGGCCCGCGTAAGAGGGAAGGACTCCCAATACTCAATACGAAGGACAACTATCTATTGGATTGAAGATTGGCGGCTGATCGCTTGTGCACAACCAACCGACCAAACTCCTTTCTTTCGATGGTGCAAATCTTACTCGACGATCTCAAAGCTCGGAAAATCCCGATTCAAGGATTCGACTCTGATATTCCCACTAATCAGTCCACTCCCCAGAAGCCAGCTGTCGATCATCACATCGACCTTGTAGCTCAATCCCACAATCAATTTGTTTTGAAATCCTCGCACCAGGCATCTTGCTGATCCGTCGTAGCGTTGTTGACCCATGCTGAATATTCACTGCAATGAAGAAGTTGTGATCTGCTGAAGCCTCTCCAACTCTGGTAAAGTCTTTCGGATTCAAGGACTAAGGTAGCGAGCTCCTCGAGGCTACATACTTCCAGCTGGTATTGGGCTGTCACCGCCCGAATAGACTGCTCAGTGATGCGTATAACTGGCCTGTTCGTGACTGAGAAGGAAATCGGTTTCACCGGCTCCACATTTGACAGGGCGAGAGTATGAGGGGTGATATTTGCGAGTTGGAAAGTAATGATGAAAGGTTCGGTCCCAAACTTGGAGAAATTATTCGAGGAATCCGTGATGCCCATGACGATTCTTGGGCGGTGAGTGTTGCTCACAGGTGATAGATTGCGGGATAGAGAGCCAGGATCATCGACTACAGGGATAACCAATCCACCATAACCACTTCTCCCAAGCTGCGGATAACTGTTCGGTAGCATATCGACACCAGGCCGGTCACCCGCTGTCGCCTGGGGCTCGTCTGCGGTGTAGGTGTGATAGAGCAAAGTCACAATCGTGAAGAAGACTGAGCTGCCGACAAAGGCAGTTGTGACAATATTGCCCGCCATTGTGCCATCTGCTGATCTGAAAGGATGATGCCGATCTGAAAAGAACCCTGGAGAATGGATTTGGCTTCATAGCGATACATTGAGTAGTGAAGGAAATCTCTGTTCGGGTGCATCGCTGCGGAAGCATCTGAACTACCCGAGTCGTTGCTGCCTCCTTGCAAGAGCTTAATCAAAGACAGCAGTCGTGCACTCATTCCGTCGCTCTCTTCCATACGGATGATCTCGCCTTGTGCAATGGCCAGTGGTAAATTCGTCTCATTCTTCAGATCGATAGCGATGAAGAAGGACTCTTTGCGAGATTTGGAGCACTTGGTGTGTGACAGCGCGAAACTTACAGATAGTCTTCCCTGGGGGGAGGAGTGGCTCGACGCTGTCAGGGTATTTTTATATACTTGATAGCCCGAGAGTGGGCCCGGCATGGTTGCAAAGTGAGCCCGGCTTTGTGGGGCGGAGGACGGTTCATGGGTGAATCTATTGATGCCTGGTGGGGCCGCTGGTTGGGGATTCATGGTCGTCAACGCGTTGGTGATCAGTCTGACTTGGTTGAAGGACTGTAGCTTGAGTCTTCAGGTGCTTGAGTGTGACGGCAGGTCGTTAAATCAGGGGACTTTAATATATCCACAGTAAACGTACCTGTAGCTCTCGCAGGAGCTGCCTGTTGAAGACGAATCCCATTCACACAATGGCTAAAACTGCCTCTCGGCCGCACTGCCTCGACAGTTGACCTTTTCGCTAAATGTGGTAGCGCAGCCCTATTCCCAACTTAAACATAGATCTTGTGGCCGTCAACCCGCAACCTGTGCTGTATCCGTGGTAGCATCTAGGGGGAAACACATGCCACCGAATCGAAAACAATTCGAGAGGTACAAACTCAGAGTCGCGGAGAGCCGATCTACCAATCGTCGTTTTGAAGTAGTTCATTTCGTCTCTCCTGAATCTCTCTTTATTCATAAGACTACGGGACCTGTCGCTGCCCTCCAAAGCCTGGCTTCGTCGAGTTCGATGACAAGCGACAGAACGAGTCAAGAGGCATCCTTTGCAAATACCAGGTGCCCATTTCTGCCCTCATAGGACTAGCCATGGCCCCAAGTAGCCAGAGCAGTAGCTAAATCTTCCCCCTTAAGCCCGCGAATGTACATACCTCAATTCACAAACCGATCATACTCCGCCTGTTCCTCATCACGCCTGTTCAAGATTTTGATAGCCGATATGTATCGCTGCTGGTGGATGATACGATTGCCTTGGCTGTCTCTCTTCCAGGTGCGGTCGAGCCACGCGTTAGCACTGGTAACGGTGCGTCCAGCGCAAGGAATGACTTTCTCAGGCATATAGCGACCGACAGTGACATAGTTCAATTCGTCAACCAGCTTCGCCATGTCAGGTAGCGCGCCAACGGCATATTCATCCTTCTTATTAGCGTACCGATATTGCAGATAGCGCTCTTCACCCTTTTTCCAGTATTTGTCGGTGCCTGTCGGCACAGGGATGTTTGGCAGGGGTCCACGCACTCGAGCCAGGTCGGCCCGCCAGTGATTCAGTGCACGCAGGTGGTCCGGGTTGTCGATGTCGAACTCTTCAGCTCCTGGGAATGTATAACGGCGCGTTCCAACAGTTTCCTTGATGCGGAAGTCTAGAAGATCATGGCTAAAGTTTTGTTTCGTGACCGTGTTCGCTGCTTGGAGAGCTTGTTGGTATTCGGTGCTGTTTTGACTTGCACGAGCGGCTTCGTCCTCCTTGTATTGTGCGATTGCATCGTTCACGTTCCACTTGTTCTCTTCCAAATACCAAGCTGCCTCCTGTACACAGGATCTCTCTGGCATCTCGACTAGTAGAGCCTCGAGACGACGTTCCCCTTCTGCGTCAAGCTGAGCAGTCCTCAGGCCGAAACGCAAGAACTTTTTCAAGGGTACGCGCCCGAGAAGGCCGTGAAACCATGTTTTGGAACTTGGCTCGGTGCTAGTCAGAGGCAGGGGGTGGGTTGAGGCCAAGGGCGCAGCAGAATCGATTGATGTGTCTGCCAATCCGTTATCACAAGCAGGGAGTTTGCTTTCAGTCCCGGCTTCAAGAGACCAACTGCTTGGGCTGAAATCGATTGGTGTGTCAAATAATTGTAGGAAACCTGCGGCAGCTTCAAGCTCCTCTGGAGTGTAATCGTTCGAGGATCGGTTGGATTCCATGGTTAACAAGTTTCACCGCTGAGCATTTGAGTGTTTTTTTCGATTGTTTGTGGTAATGCGTGAGGGCCGCTTGTCTCAAGGCGGAATGGATGCTTGAAGTTTTATGCAGATAGGCCTAGAGTTGTTTGGCCGTGCGAGGCCAAAGAAGTGAATGTCCAAACAAGTTACACCTTTCACAGATCTGCTAGGCCACTGAGGCAGTCGACTGCCCGGGCTGACCTTCACGCAAGGCTGTGTCACTCTAGAATGGCAATAACAGCAATCGGCGCCAAGTGCCTCATACCTTAAGTGTCTATCGGTGTGAATCGCTAGACAAAGATCGGTTGATATTAGCTGAATGAATTTATTGTTTCATTTCGACACGACAAGGCCTGCGAAACAGGCACGGCGAAGATAGTATGGATACGTTGCTGCACAACAACATGTATCTCATCCATCCCAGAGACCAAATGCACGAGCCGCAGCCACAAAGACATTGCGATTGAGGTGTCAAGCGGACGCAAACAGTGGTCTACTCCCAGATCTCCTCGGTCTGGAAAGTGCCAATTTTGGATGGCTTTTCACCACCTTCCATACTTTGCTTGTGCATGGATGGAGGGGTTCCCATCAAGTCTAGGCCCAGCTTCTTCCGCAAAATGGGCGTGTTTAAGAGTTGTTACAGCTCGGCTTGGTGTATGGACGTTGACAGTTTCCTCAAATCCACTGGACTCGTCACCCTCTAGAAGATCTCTGCTCCGTCGCAACGCACTTTCGAATATGACCTCTCCGTTCAGACTTTGTAGGAAACTAACCTCAAACCTTGTTGCGGAGGTGAAAAAAAAGGGCACACGTCCATCAGTATGTTTTGCTGCAGGTAGCCACGAGCCAGAGAATCTAGTAGAGAGAGTTGAGACCAGTTGATTGGAATGCATCTCATGGTTCAGGGTGATTTGTCCCCTGATAGGTCCTAGATTAGGCTGGTACCACACATATACAATGGGTCGTTTCTGGTTGGTGACAACAGCAAGGACGTGAGGCATGGTAGGATGCCAGAGCACATTCTTGACTGGGTGTCGGAAAATAATGACCGTATGAGGTTCAGACTGGCGCGGTTTCCAGATCCACAACATCTTAGTGAAGCCTTGCAGGGACGTGGCGATCATGGTTTGGTCTGCATTAATCTCAATCATGTTTGTCGAGTGTGAGCTTGGGCCTTCAGATTCTGGGATTGCAGAGAAAGATGCCTTTTGGCGTAAGAAAATGGACGAGAAGCTGGAAGTTAAGCCCTTTTGTATCTCTTCTTGCCAGACAAAGGTTTTGTCCCCATCAATTGTGTCAGGATGAACAAAAAGTGCGACTTGTCGAGCACCCATGCTTGATGGCACCAGGTTTCGGAGAAGCAACTGCCGTTGTCCATCCAGAACTCCCTGAATAGTTTCGCCACAAGATGTGTTGATCCACTTCAGGCAGGTCGTACCAACGCCCTCAACATTCATCGGTAGTCGAACCAGGTTCATGCTTGTCGAATTGATGTCCAATTGCTTCAAGGAATGGCCCTGGGCCGTATAGAAGAGGACGCTGACACCATAAGTAGAGGAGTCGCATACCGCCAACAGGGGTTGACCGCCTGGACACCACATAATGCCTTGTGCGTCTGACGTGTGAGAATCGAACGTCTGCCGAATTAGCGCTCCGGTTGAAGACCGCTCGAACACGGATATTTTGTCTTGCCCTTTGTCTCTTCGAAGTAGTGCAAATCTATTCGTGTCCGGTGCCTGAGCAAATGATGTCGAGTCAGGATGCTTGATATGTGAGATCTCATCGCGTTGTGGTCTTGTCAAATTGAGTAACATGGCACTGGCACTGTGTTCAAACATGAGAAGTGCGTGGCGGTGGTCGAAAACGAACTCCAGGAGAGTCAGATTTCCAAAATGTCCTCCAAGCTCGTAGTCCGCAAGGATGTTTGACTTAGATCCGTCGTCTTCTCCAAAGCCAGGCGTCATGCTTGGGACCCGAAGATCTGTGCTCAAGGCAATGACCCTCCTTCCGTTGGACAATAGGAGCCAGGTTGTACCGAAATCTGCCTCGGATGTGGTTGTCGATCTGGTATCATCGTCGAGCATGACCTCCGGAGACCACCGAATGATATGACAATTCCGGAGAAAGGGTCTCGCTTGGATAGGGAGTTTCAGCCTCGTGATTGCCGTGTCACCATGGACAATATCTTTTAGGTCCACCAAGTGGATCTGCTGGTCGGGGGCGATAACAGCCAAAGTCTTGCCGTCTGGGGAGATCGCTGGTCTCTGTAGGGCTAAGCAGTTGTCAGTACGTGGATCTGAGGATAGGCGTGGAAGGGGTGGTCATACACTTGCCCAAGTTTGAACTGGCTATGATCGCCATTCAGCCCGGGTGGCTCCGACCAAGAACTCTGTCTTTGGAGGGGAAAGGGTCCAGAAGAGGTTCTGCTGATAATCTCTGTGTATATATATAAACACATACTCGACTGGAGAACAACCCCGCATCAGAACGCGTCCTAGGGCAGACCCCAGGAGCGCGTTGTTACGGAGGAGCGTGCGCGAACGCGGTGTCACGGGACTTTTAGTCTTCCCATGTGCCGAGATTTAAGGAAGAACCGGGGGTCGTCCCGATTTAGGGAGTCGGTAAACCTTCCCTTTTCGGTAGGTGCCGCTGCCACTAGGGCTAACTCTGCTAAGACCTCACCAGCTGCATGCCTTCCCAGGCTATTGTCGGGCCGACCAAATTAATGATCCTTGCCACTGTCCCCTTCCATTCACCACCAGGACCCTAAAGGTCCGAAGCTTGAAGCTATGAGTGAATAGAAGAATATTGAACATTGCTTAGCTACCTCCTCATGTGTGGCAGGTATGTTGATACCAATATGGATCCTATGACAACCTATATCAATCAACCATCTTTGTTAGGTTTTAAAGATAACCAACGAATCAGAATGTTCTAGAGCAAGTTCATTGAATCCTATCAATTGACTAATCGCCTTGTCACTGGATCGCGAGGGGTCAGAATTTGATGCGAAGCCCGACTCTGGAGGGGTGAAGCCATTGTACTAGGTGCGATACTTAAAGCGTACCTAGGTAACACACCACGGGTGCTTTGTGTTGTTCGTGGATGATTAATATTCGCCTGGTTGCTCACGACGGCCTCGTACAAAACCCAGCTTGTATTTGTCCACACCACAAGAGCTCAACGCAAGGGGTGATCATTAATAATGCATCTGTGGCGGTCTCGTACGAGCCATCGTCGACCACGATGGTTTGTCAAAGGCATCGCACTGGAGACCAGTGCCAGTCACGGAAGTATGGCTCTCTAAGCTGAATTGCTGCTATATAAATCCTGCGATCATCCCCAAGAGCTTGCAATCCTGACCCTCAACCGTTCCATTCCTCTATTCGCTTTCTCAAAATCAATCCACTCCCTGGAACCACTTTGCATCAAAATGGCGTCTTCCCAAGCAGGTTTGAAAACAATAGTTTTCATCGGAGGTACCGGCGCGCAAGGCAGAGCGGTACTCCAGTATCTCTCCGCGCTGAATGAATACCGAATCTTGGTTCTTACTCGTTTCTTGACCGGCCAGCCAGCGAAAGAGCTCTCCAAACTTTCCAACGTTGAGCTCGTCGAGACTCAAGCTCCTTCTGGCTATGACCTCGACGCATTTCTTACCGCGGCAAAGCAGTCCGACTACGCCTTCATCAACACTGATGGCTTCGCTGTAGGAGAGATTGCTGAGACATACTGGGGCATCCGACTCTTTGAGGTCGCAAGACAAGCAGGCGTCAAGCATTTCGTCTACAGCGGGCTGGATTCTCTCGCTAGAGAGCCATTGTACGAAGCTGACAAGCACTATGTTGGTCATTACATGGGCAAGGCAAGGGTGCAAGGTACACTCCTTCATCATTTCCATTCCACGCTTGACCTCTACGTCTCTCAGAGCCAATCTGCTGACCAAGCAACTTGCAGAGTTCCTGCGGGCTCAACCAACCTCGCCCATGAAATGGACGATCATCACCTCTGGCCCGTATATCGAAATGCTCCATGAATTCCTCCAACCATCTCCGCCAACAGAAGCCAACCCAAGGCTGGAGTTCAGCTTGCCGCTAGGCAGCGGTTCAGTTCCATTCATCCACCTTGACGACTTCGGACGGTACCTCGCGTGGACGCTATCCCACCCCAACGAATCCACCGGCCTCACCCTCGGCATCGCAATCGCACACATCTCGGGACCCGAGCTCGCTGCCGCATACACGAGCGCGACCGGCCGACCCGCTGCGTACACCGACGAGCCCATCGCAGAATGGCTGGCATCCCACTTCTCGGAGCTCCCATCCGGCGCAGACACCAAGGTCGGCGCCCAAAATACCACCGACCAGAACACGCTCACGCTCACTTTCGGGGAGAACTTCACCAACTGGTGGAATCTCTACCGCGCATCGGCGCGCAACGAGGGCTTGATCAAGCGCGACTACGCGCTTCTCGACAGCATCCTGCCGGACAGAGTGCGAAGTGCAGAGGAGTGGTTCCGGAAGGTCGAGTACGACGGGGCCAGGAAGCAATTGTTTTGGAATGCAAAAGCGAGAGGCGGGAACGAAGACTGATTGCTTAGGGGCTTTGGTAGAGAATGAAGAGGGGCTGTGTTGATGATACTGAAGTGGCATCCTTCCATGTTTGTACACCCTTCGTTCACATTGCACTTTATATGATCAACGATGAACCATGGTCTGCCAAATAATTGGATGTCTTTTTGAATTTCACCCTTCCTTGGAGATCCAGGAGCGAAACCATAGACAGACGTAGCTCAGCGTCGCAATTTCATAGGAGCATCGCATTGCATATTAGCCGAATCAAGGTTCAAAAGACTAAATGTACGGGCAAGAAACCAAGCTCCGCGTTATAGACAGACGTAGAAAATCACATCGGCAACCTGTAGTAGGCTGGTAAGCGCGGGCCACAAGCCGCGAACGAAAACAAAGCAGCCAAGGGTGGAAAAGAGAGGTTTGGGATCGGCAAAATATATCTCAGAAGGTTACTTACTTGGCCGCTGGATCTATCGGGTGGCTGTGGAATCAGTTCGTTGTTGCAGGAGGAATTCAATTGCCTTCCGTGTTCTCGTTCATCGGGTCACTCCTCTTAAAGTCTATCGCTTCTCACTACATTGGCAGCTATGCTTCACCTTGCCCTCTCTTTTGTTCCAAGGGTAAGGCCCATTCTTCTGTTCTTGCGTGTCCGTCGCTGTGTTTGCTCGTTGGATGAATGAATTCCTGGCACCCGTTGCTCCCTTTTTCTACTCCGTGTGGAATGCTAAAGGTATGACAGAACCATCCTCCAATGTGTTGTGTGACGCAAATTGCCCATTCTATTTCCTAGGCTTATCGAATTTTTACATTCATAGTGTCTCCATTGGCATGGTGCAGGTATGCTCGCTGCTATGTTTTGGCGCTCGGCTTTAGCGTGATGATGATATGCATCAAGTCTGAGATTCTGGTCGGATCCTGGAGGTCTATAAGTTGACCTTGGCGTCGAGTCTCAGGGGTACAACTGTACGGGGAAGTGGACGATTTACCTCGCACTTTCCTGCTTGATTGGACTTGACCCAAAGACGCATCAACGTTCAGCAGAGAGATTTAGAATGGCTCGACTGAGTCCGTTGACAACCGTCGAGAATTCGGCTCGAGTTAAACCTCAGATGCTCCCTCAATCAATCGGAGGATTAGAATCCTTCGTCAATCTGTCCGGACCACTGTGCGGGGACCTCCAACCCAGCGATTGGCTTATCGAGGTTCTCACCACACTGGAATTTCCAGTTCTTGGGTACGAAGCTGTCCGCAACCCGTTTGAACGCTTCAAATGTGCAGATTGTCTCATCACCCTCGTAGTTGTTGCCTGGCTTCGCACAAGCTGGGATCTTCATGACTTTATCGTTGTATCGAACCCTCACGTAATAGGGATTTAGTCGGGATTTCTGGGAGTCGCTGAGAGTGTGATGTAGAGCACGAGAAATGAGGTCCTTGGGCTGCAGGGAGGCACTGAGAGCAGATTTCCCATCGGAGGCGGCCTCGGGATTATTAGGTGACGGGGAACGAAGACCAAGGAACGATGCTATCGCACCTGGCTTGGTAGCAGCTTGATCGCCCTTGGGTTCTGTTGATGAAGGGGCGGTATGGGTGATGAAATCAGCATCTGGTTCTGAATTTGCAGAGGCAGAAGTTGGATCAGGTCGACGGAATAGCTCAAACGCAATATGGCTGGTATATGGAGGCCATTTCTCATCGTGGAAAGCACCGAGGCCAGTCAACACACCAGCCAGCGTCGTATCGTGGCATCCTGACATGGCGAAACGAATACCCTTCTCGCCACCACGACCTTCGCCGAGTCGGCCATTCTCACCACCAATTTCAGTGATGGAAAGGCCAGCGCCTTCGATCTTGGAGGTCATGCGTTCCACGACATCACCGACCAGGGACCCTATCCCCAGCATGCGATACTCGCGGTTTTCATTGTATCCAGAGAACCACTCCTCAACGGCAATGCGATCAATGATTGCCCTGGACTTCTCATCATAGAACTCCCTGGGAAGCCGAGTCTCCCGGCCGTGGGCTAATGTCGCATTGACAGTGTCCATTACTCCTGACAGTCTCGGGTGGGAGTCGACGGCAACCTTCTTGTCTGAGTTTTCAGGCATCCACTTTCCGATCAACTTGGTCACGTATGCCAGGTCATCAGAGTCGTTCCAACGGTCGGCTGTCCGCTGAGCAAAGGCACGAGAAAGTTGAGCAAAGCGTCTGCAGTTGCCATCATTAGGAAACAGCGTCTCGTCTGCAACGGTCCGAGTGACGATTGTTGGGGGAGGGAAGGCGGCAGTACGTGCGGTCAATGGGTACATGCCCCAGAAAGCCTGTTGGACGGATTCGAGCGCGCGAGGCAGAGGTGTGGCGCGCAGGTAGATCAGGTCTGCATTGGCGATGAGCTGAGGCATGAACTTGAGCTGGTCGACATATAGATTGCGTAGACGACGGCCGAGTTCGTAGGTGGTTTCTCTTCCTTTGTCGGTGAGTTCGCCCAGTTGACTGCGAGAACGGTGCCGTCAGGTTGTGTCAATCCTGACGGAGAACAAAAAAGCCATACCATATGCCATCAACTTCACCTTCGGGCCCAGCAGCAATTACGGGACCGTCATCATTCCCAAATCTTTCCAGCCTCCTCCTCCATTGTAGGGAGTTCCATTGTGACACATCTTGGGGGGTCATAGCGACAGAGCGGAGACGTTGGGCGGCATTGCAATACGGCCAGTACGGTGGCAAGCCAGCCTGTGTATGCTGTTAACAATTGAGTACCCATTTGCCATCGGGGAAACATACATTGCCAAAACGGGCGGAGACAGGGGCTCGTTCACCATGTCGAAGCAGTACCTGAACGAGGCGCAGTTCAAGGCCCTTAGGATAAAGTTTGTCGAGCTCGTCTTGCGAGTAGGGTGGGCGGGGCTCTAGAGTGCTCATCTTGTCGTTGTAGAGTGGTAGTAGAATGAGAGGCTAGGAAGTAAGAGGAAAGGAGATGCCATAGAACGAGAAGGACTCGTAAGAGGAGGGCAGGTGACTCCGTAGGTCTCGTAGTAGGAATGATGTTGGCGCAATCCGTCGAGTGCAATCCCAGTCCCAGTCCCGCGTTCACGATCTGTAGGCCATCGGCGTACGAGGCACCGAGGAGTCGAGGACAATATGGGCGATTTCACCGCATTAATTGGTGAGTCAGTGACTTACTGCATTTGGGTCGGGCCAAACACTACCTGGCATTAGCGCCTCGGATGTGTTGCCCGATCCGACAAGCCTCCATGCTTCTCAGCGGCCCGTACGAGTAGCGAGACTCCGTTACTGTAAGCATCTGCAACTGCATCACACCGCGCCGCCTATCCAGAGAGTAGACTTCTCCTGTACTAGCACTACTACTGCACTGATATTTCGGTATCAAGTATCAGCAAGGCCTCGTCCAGAAAGAACTTATTCGGGTATCTATTCCATATCTCGGTCTACATGGCCGGTATGATAGCCTCTAGGAGTAGTCAAAAGAAAGTGTTCAACGCTCATCGCACCACATGCCTGCTATCAAATGTTGTTCAAATGCGCAAATCATTCATTTGCTTCTGTGCGCCTTGTGTCTCATCAATTGGACTCCCAGCACGTTGAGCTTGTTCATGCAATTCTGCGGAACCACCGGTCCCATGCACGGCAATGTTCGCTGTTGACGAGTCTTGTCGCTGGACGTAGCTCTGGGTTGTTGGATAACCGCCCGGTCTCTGCTGATCAGACGGCGGTGATGGTGTGTTGTGGCTCCTATCAAAGAGTGCATGTGGTCTGCGCACTGGTTGCGTATCCTCTCCATAAGCACCATCTGCAAACGGATTCTCAGACACCCCATAAGCTGTCGTTGAAACGACTGGAGGCTCCGAGAATCCTTGCGACAATGGACGAGCCCGATCGGGTACTGGCGGCGGTGCAGAGGGTGCGGTGTATCCAGCCGAAGGAGGTGGCCCCGGTGGAGCGGCATAAGCACTCGCGTAATCAAAGCTACTGGTTGGGGTGTGGACAGCTTGGCTTTTGACTGCTCCACGAGCAGCGGGTGGAGGCCCTGGTGGGGGAGAAAAGCGTTCTTCATTCCGCATAGGACTGACCGGACTCGGGATTTGCGTCGGTTGTCTAGGTGGCGAAACCGAGTATGGGCCTTGATTGGGTGAGGTCGGACTATTGTAGACATTTTGGCCCAAGTTATGTTGAGGCATTGACAATGGATTGATCGGTGTCTCGTTCTGTGGGCTTGGTGTCCCTAGCCCGGTTGACTTTCTTGCTTGTAGGATTGACCGTTGATGCTTAGACATGGCAATATTTAGTTGGTCATTTGTTTCAATCAACGTGAGCATAGTGTCTGGGTCCGGGGCTGGGTTCTGCGCGTTCAAGAATCCTTGGATGCTCCGTTGTGCACCCTTGGCCCGTTCCCCAAACTCTCGGACCAGATCATTTGCAAGGAGTTCAGATTGTGGTGTTGACTGCACGGTCTGAACCAGGAGTCGGGCCGTGGTCTTGGCTTCTTCTATCCGTGAGACAAGCTCATCTGGAGGAGGTAAGACGTCTCTTCTCCGTGTGGACTGTTGTCGGCCCGGATGGAAGGTGGGCGGAACACGATGTTGCTGTTGTTGGTGTTCAGTTTGATGATCAGTGCTAACAGCTTCCAAAGAACTCCAACCTACCGAATAGCGTAGAGTGTTTCGCTTTCCCTTCTCTTTCCGCCACATCTCCATCAGCGGGTTTAGAGTGTCGTTCCCAGGAAGCTTCTCCACTTCAAAGTAGTCCAGAGTTTCGCGAAGGATCTGTTGTACGCTGGTGTCTTTCCCGTCGCGCAGTAGCTCTTTCACCGTAGCCACGAACTTGACATCAAAGTTTTGAGTGAAGACGTGCGCAGGATTGTCCGTCAGAATGCGCGTTAACATGATGGCGTTGTATTGAGCAAAGCCTCTACTATAATGGTCTTTGGACAGATATCTTCGAATGGTGGCTGCGGCGTCTTTTGCAGCAGTTGGACTCGACTCGGCCGCATCAACAATCGTAGGCAGATGGAGGTATTCTTCACCAGAATTTGGAGCATTCGGCGCGCCGGATTCGCAGAAGGCAGTCTGCGAAGCAGTGAGCTTCGACACAATGAACGGAGATCTACAGCACGTACCACCTCACGGACGACGATGGCTTCCGGTGCATCACCCTGGGGTAAGACAGGTGGTATGCTGCCATTTCGCTCAGGACCTGAGGTGGCATGTTAGCCTCGGGCTTGTGCCCAATACAGATTCGGTGCGCATACTGCCAGACTTCTTGTTGATGGTCTTGAGTAACTTCTTCATGATAACTGTCTATAATTCTGGTGATCGCTCCACTAGGGAAGGTAACTGGCGACAAAGCACAGTTGAGGGACCAAAGGACTGTTTCACCGCAGTATGGGGAGAAGTGGTCTGGTGGAAGGTTCAACAGAGTGGGGAGGGAGAGATTCGATGCAGGGAAGCGGAATCTCCGGTCGGGGAATAAAGCACAGCGAGCCAGGGTCGGGGACCGGGTACGAAGATCGAGGTCTAGCAATAATAATGACGGACGATGAGGCGAGCGGAGTTATGGGTATCTTTTATGCGAGGAGGGATTTATGTTTGCGTTGACCAAACTTGATGGCGCGTCCCGGGCGTCTTGTGATGCGCATCAAGTTCTTGGCAGAGGCAAGCCGCGTCAATCAGAGGCATGATGCCACTTTAACCCTCACCATGCGGTGGCCTTACTATTTACGATCTAGCTCGCAAGGGCTTCCCTCAGAGCGGCAACCCCAATGGCTGCGCTTGGCGTGAGCAATCCATAACTACTACTCGTAGTTCTTCACGTCTGGGCAGCCACCGCCACAGCCTCGACTGCTAAACCTTCCTAGACGTTGTTTGCAACGACCACTCCAATCAATCCCTCCACAGTCGTCATGTCAACCGCTGGCAGCGTCAGCTCTTAGGTAGATACTGCTTCAGAGAGTTGGGCAACAAGCTCCGAGGCTGCCCGTTCCAACACTTTCGGTGCTGTAATCTCTACGAGAGTTTGCTCATCATCCAACACGCCTTCTTCTGTCACTGCGTCGTCATCCGCCGTAATCCTACCACGACCTTGGTCGTAATTTTTGGTTTCCATCTCCTCCGTTGGGCTCCCATTCTGTGATTTGATTTCGGGCGATTGCTGGACTGGTTCACTCCTGGCAATTTGTTCACATGGTCCGCTCTGCTTTGCCTCTAAAGCGACTCCGATTCTATTCGACAGTGATTCCTCGCTATTATCGGGAAAGGGCTCTTGTAGACTGGGATTTGGCTCACCTTTATGTAATGACAATGTAGACGCAACCCACTTTTGAAGGTCCGACGATGGCGGTAGAAATGGGCGCCCTTGTTCTGACTCAGTTAGAACTGCATCAGACTCTAAGGCTGTTCCACGGGGCGGCGGTATCTCCGATGGCGACGAAATACCCTTGTCGGCAATTGCTCCTTGTACCAGTACTTCTTCGCGTCCATTCCTGCTATTGGGCGTATGTCCTGTGCTCGAAGTTGAGATCATCTGGGATACCTGGACAGAGTTTTCTGAGCCCTCTAACGCGAGCGCTGCCCTCGAGGACACAACACTAATCGGCCAGTTGTGAGTTTCCTTCACCAGGGTTTCGCTCACGTTCGGGACTCCAAATTGGAACAATGGTGGTTTGGCGATTTGCAACTGGGTGCTCTCTGGCTGATGTGGCTGGGTAATCTTTGGCAATGCCCTAAAATTGAATACTTGATTTCCCGTGATATCATTTTGGATTGTTGACACCGATTTTCCTTTGAAAACTGGTTCCATTGTGGATAAACCTCCAAACTGAAAAGTAGACTCCCTCGTCAAGTGCGAGGGGAGTGCTGGTGGTACTTGCACCTTGAAGGGCGATATTGTCTTACATGAAGATCCAAATTGGAAGAGTGTATCCTCTGTGGGTGATTGGCGCGTTTTCTCTGACTGCGGCTGCTGACTTACTGGCTCCGTCTTGGACAATTGCCAGGCTAGAATCCCAGCCTTATCAAAATTCAGCCCTGACGACCGCAATCCTTGGTCTAGTGCCGCATTCTTGTTTGGAGACACGGACTGAAACGCCAGCTCCGGAGACTCCGTCCTGGGGGATGCTATGGTAGGAAATGCTGCCTCGTCAAACAACGGTGATCTAACCCGTGATCGGTGTAACGGATCCACCGATGAACGAGAAGTGGGCGATGTCGATTCGGCCGAAGTCCGCTCATTTATGGATAGTGTGTCAAATTGGAATATTGAGGTTTCCCTCGTAGTATTGAGCAGCTGTAGAGCTGTGGCTGATGCTGATTTTTGCGGTAATGCATGTTGGAATGCCAATCCACCAGGCTGGAAGCTAGAGGGCATTGAAAACTTAGCCTCAGCCCCAGCCCCGGCCCCGGTCCCAGACCTGGATGATAGATCAATTTTGAAGCCAGCCTTCTCTGATGGAGCGTTGGATAACTGTGAAGGACTTAGAAGTGATTTGGTCTCGAATGATATCGTGGATGAGATTGGAGGCTTCCCGAATCGAAACATAGACGATGTTGGTGGAGCAGAATCTGTCTTTGGCGGAGGCCCGTATGAAAATAAAAGGCCCTCATATTGTGAACTAGTCGATTGCAACTTCGATGGAGCTGAGGGCTTGTTCGGCGACATTTCGAGCTGAAGCGAGGTCTTGCCGAATTGAAAGCTGGAAGGCGAGGGTGCTTTGTCCTCGATCTTCAATGGTGGTCCAAATTGGAACACTGACTCCTCGGATGGATCACTCAGTGAATGTGATTGACCGGACGGTGGCTCACGCTCTGAAAACGAGTCAAGTTGAAAGAAATTCTTTCCCGCGCCCATAGGCGAATTGGTGGTCGATTTGGATGTTTCAGCACGTAAACGAGACGTCGTCTGGGACGTTGGCTTCCCAGCGAACAGCGACTGGCTGGTGGATTGGCCGTTTGTCATTTCACTGGAACCTTCATTCAGCAGTGATTCTAGCGACGGCAAGGGTTTCTGTTCGGCCTGAACAGCTGGTATTTCTCTGAGTGGCGCGCTGGCCAGTTTCCTGGTCTGGACTTGTGATTGACTCGTCGGCAGACACTCCGGTTCCAACGTCAGCTTGATCAAGGGCTGCCGTTCAGCGACTTGCGATAACGCCACTTGAGTGAACGGTCCCTCGCTCATTACAAGAGAAGACCGAAGTCGCGACGACACTTTCTCAAGCTTCCTGGCAAGAAGGAATTCGCTGGACATATCAGACACCTTCTTGCCAAAAGGAGTTTGATCCTTAAGGTCATCTGTGTGATCCACATCCTGCACAGAGTTGAGGTCTGCGGAGTCGTCAACAAGTGTGGATTCATCAACGAAAGACATATCAATGTTTTTCAGCATGCTTGCAGCAGTAATCGCGTCTCCTTTCTCCTCCATCACGTTGATGATCTTCCTCCACTTCTCATCCAATGATCCGTCCTGGTTGTATGGTTGAGCTCTGATAATGAACTTAGCCCAGTCGCCCAACACTTGCTGTGCTTTGTCTTTGGTAACCTCAAACCATTCTCGGTGTTTTACCTGGCATTCCTCGGCCCTACATTTCACCTCCTGGCGCCACTCTTTGATCAATTCGAAATGGGTCAGTGTTTCGACACGCTGTGCGTACGGCACATCCAGGATCTCGAATAAAATCCTAGGCTCATATCCATGCATTGCCCAAGCCTTTCGACGGGCTTCGATCGTCACTGCTGTCCAACCAATTTTGACGTGGCCAGGAGAGCCATCTCGCTCGAATATGTACAGTGCTCCTGTCTCAAAATCGCGACGCTCTAAGGGACTGCTTAGCTTCGCCCACACAGAGTCTCTCGCTAGAGGGTCGCTGATATTTGGACAAAACTCAGACAGGGGTTGTTGGAGGATTGAAAGATTCGACATCTCGCCAATTATTGATGAAACGAAGTCATTTCCTTCCCTAGGGCGCATATCGTAGCGCTTTTGACCATCGGAGGGGGTCTGTGATACATCAATTCTTGAGGGCGAACCCGGAATATCACTCCAAGGAGGATCTGACAAGCTTCCAACCCCTTGGGGAAGAGGAAATGAAATATCACTGGAGGAAGAACAGTTGCCAGGCTGTGTTATTGTGAGGCTCGAAAAGAGGTCGTCAATGCCGGTGTCTTTTCCGGAAGCCATACTCTGTTGGGTGGCAGCGTGGCAACTTGTCTCATCAAACCACCGCTGGACCAGCGGAATGAGGAGGCCATCACGCTCCATGCTGGGTCGGTGGCGTGCGCTTTCATAAACACCACGTCTGCAGCAATTGTGCAAGACATAGTCCCTGAGTAGTCTAACGCGTTCGGTCTTGTCTGAGCATGAGAGAAAATTCTCGCGCAGCGCGAGTGCTTTTGTGTAGTCATCATCGTCGCAAGGCCACTTGCACCTTGTCGGAGGATTATACTTCGTGAAATAAATGCATCGCTTATTGAATGCGCCCAGATCCTGGAAAGAAACGAAGAACTCCACTCCAGGACTCGACGCCATCCTCAATGATAGCAGATATGTAGGAGTTGATCAGTCTCAGGGAGAGGTGGGTGGTCCATTCCCTGCGTATTTAACAATGCAGCAAATCTCCAAGGCACTGGTAGATGTTCTCAGGCTGCGCATCGTCCGTGCAAATGGCCCGCAGGCCTGCATCAAATCCGCACGCCGGGTGGCGTATCCCGTTGCAAATACTCAGGATCAGGGGGTGCGCATAAGTTATGAGCAAGCCACCTATTCGATTGTTGGGTGACGTGCATTTCAGGCCCCAAGGAACCCTTGCGAAAGCAGCTCAAATCTCAATGTGAGGCATACCTACACTTCACCAACGCTTGTAGGCATGGTTGCTAAAACTAACACAGCGTTATGCCCGACTTTTGCTACTGGTAGGTTCCATCGGGGCGATGAGGGAGAGCTTCGGTCCTCACATCACGATGAGGCTGAGCATTACTCCTCCTGCATCAGCATCAGTGTCGCTTGAACTCGAGCTTGTGCTTGTGCTTGTGCTTGTGCTTGTGCTGCCTGGGTGGCTGCCTGCCACCTAATTAGTAGAGGCTGCCTGGATGCCTGCCAGCATTGGGGTTGCCTCATAGCCTGAAACACTCTAGCAGGCAGCCAAGCAAGGCGGCTGCTGCCGAAGGGCTTAGACCGGCGATACCCCTTCCCCCTCTGAACTGCCAGCAGCGCCCGTGCATACATGAGATTAATACCTGACACCAGAGTACATACATAGGGTAGACTTGACGAGATCCTGCTACCAATCAAGGCAAGTGACCTCATCGTCCAATTCTTCCCCAGAAGAAAAACAGCCTGCCTACCTTCTCTCATGAAATGCATGGTGTAGCGCAGCACTACGACGCTCTCACTCATTGGGCAGCTATCTACCTAAGGTAATTTACTGATCAAAAAGCCTCCAAGGCTCGGACGTGGAACAGCTTGGCGCTACCAATAACAACACCCTTTCCAGTCGTTGCAGATGAGACTGATGTAGCTTTGAAAGACGACTCCTGGATCATCGGAGGACAGTCGAAAATGGCACGCCATAACTTGAATGGAAACCTCACAATTCCATATGATCGTACCCCACTCCTAAGTCTTCATTGTCGATCCTTGATGCAGCTTCACGGTCGCCTCGAGTCGGGGCCGCGGCGAGAAGTGGTCGTTTCGTCAATGGGCTGGAGCCGGACAGGTACTGGCAAAAGCTTCCATGATATTATTCGTTTCCTCCTCGGATTCTCGAGGGCTGCCTGCTTGAAATTGAAAAGGTGGGTATTAGTCAGCCGATTCCCCAGACTGTATAATGCCGGAATGTTATGCATATAGGGCACTCGCACTATTAATATTGGTCCGCCGTTCGGCCGTTATGCCGCTCTGTACACTCTTCCCTTGTTTTCAATGTTGTCTGAAGAGATATCTACAGCATCCCATCAAATGGGTTAAGCTGTCTCACCATGTTGAAACAGAAAGTCTTCTTGGTTGGAGCAACAGGCGAAACAGGAGGGAGCATTCTTCAAGCTCTGGACGAAGATGGCTCCTTTGTAAGATCTCGATCATTCATGTCCCGTTTTGAGACATAGTACATCTCGAACGTAGCCCTCCTGAAATTGAGAACTGGAGTGAGTTTGACAGTCTTCTCATTAGGAAATTACCTGCTTTATTCGCACTGCTTCGGCCGGAAAACCATCTGTTCAACACCTCAAAGATAAAGGGTTGAAGGTCGTGCATGGGGATCTAACGGATCCACCCGAGAAGCTCGCTGGCCTGCTCAAAGATATCGATACCGTGATCCTCACGATATTTGCCTTCGATGTCGGCATTGAAGCGAATATCATTCAAGCCGCCAGCATGGCGGCGGTCAAGCGCTTTGTGCTCTGTGACTTCGGGACACCTTGCCCCCGTGGAATCATGCCTCTGCGCGATCGCAAGGAGGCCGTACATGACCTAATGTTTGCCCAAAAACTGGGCTTCACCATAATCGACGTGGGATACTGGTACGAGATAAGCTTCCCTCGTGTACCAAGCGGCAAGTTCGACTATGCGGCCGTAATCGCACGGAACCAGGTTGTTGAAGGCGGAACAGCGCCTAATATGCTCATAGCAAAGAAAGATATCGGGGGCATCACTGTTGAGATCATCAAAGATGAGCGCACGCTGAACAAGAAAGTATTCGTCTGCGGGGATGTTCTCAACCAGAACGAGATAACAGCCATTATAGAGGAAAAGACTGGAGAGAAGTTGGACCTTACCACGGTATCTTATGACCCCGCTAGACTGATCAATGGAGAACTTATGAAGCATAGGAATCAGCAGAATATGTGCGAAGAGCTCTCGCAGAAACGAAAAAAGCGGCAGAGGGAGATCCTACTAACTTACCAAACAAGTACCGGCTGTCCAATGCTTCGTACAACTTTTCAAAGTATATAAGAGGTGACAACACTCCTGAGAATGCGGAGTACCCGGGGTATATTGATGGACGAAAGTTGTATCCAAACTTCGTCTTTCAGAAATTCTCCGAGTTTGTTGACGACTTGGCTGCCGGCAAGGTGGCGAGGGTTTATCCGCACCTGACGCTGTAAAACAGGTCATCTCAGTAGTTTAGAGCTCGCAGACAGCTATCGATAGATCAAGCTGGCAGTCGATAGGACTGCTGCCCACTTTCACCGTGTTTCCCTGCTGTTGGTTGGTTCCCTTCGTCATGTCGAGTTGCAATATCCAAAAGTCATTCGGATCTCTCCATAAACTGCGGAGCCTGGTGAAGATGCGATTTCGGTACGAAAAGCTTAATACATGACGAAGAAACTTTAACTCCGGCCGGACAGAGCACGCCATATAACTTAAATCTCAGGGACTAGTATAATACACATAGGTGTCGTAAGGGTGCTGCCAGTGTCGCTCCTTATTTCCACAAAATATTGCCGGAGTTAGTCCGGAGTTAAGTTCAAGTCCTCACGAATACGCTCTTGTAGTTCTACCGAGTCGATATTCCTTACCAACCACAGAGCAGCATTTCCTTGAAGTATTTATTGGGAGTGTTCCCGAAAACTTGGTCCGAAGTCTCGAGAACTTCCCCCATCCTGCTTGCCAAGATCCAAAGCTATCCAGCATGTCGAGCTCATTTGCAAACGAGAAGCCCGCGGGCTACAAGAATCATGTAGAGAACATCGCGGTCGTCGGCGCGGCTGGACGATCAGGAGGAGTCATTACAGACGCTTTGGTCCAAGGAGGAAAGCACAGGGTGACTGGCATAACTCGGCCGGGCAGCACCAGTGAAATGCCAGCTGGCCTGCACAGTGTCAAGAAAGTCGATTACGACAGTCACAGCTCACTGGTTGAGGCGCTGAGAGGACAAGACGTCTTGATAATAACACTGCCTGTCATGGCACCCAGGGAAACCCATACCAAGCTGATTGACGCTGCCGTCGAAGCAGGAGTCAGCTGGATCATGCCCAATGAATGGGGTGTTGACGTGTCGAAGGTTGAGATGGGTACCGATGTCCTTGTCCGTTCGGGCATCGTCGCCATCAGAGAATATATCGAGAAAACCGGCGGCGGAAAGACTGCGTGGATGGGCCTCTGCACCGGATTCTGGTATGAATTCAGCTTGGCAGGCACCGAGGCTCGATACGGCTTTGACTTTGACAAGAAGGAGCTTACCTTGTATGATGAAGGTACCACCAAGATTAACACCTCCACTTGGCCGCAGGTCGGACGAGCCGTGGCCAGTCTCCTTTCACTGAAGATACTTCCAGAAAGCAAGGACGATGCGAGCCCTAGCTTGAGCCAATTCAAGAATAAGCCGGTGTATGTTTCGTCCTTCTTTGTCAGCCAACGGGATATGTTCGAATCTGTGCTTCGGGTGATGGGTGATAGCGAGAAGGATTGGAAGGTCACTTACGAGGATGTAGCTGCACGCTTCAAGCGTGGGCAAGAAATCTTCAAGCAAGGACAGACCGTCGGATTTGGTATCCTGTTATATGCGCGACTGTTCTACAAGGACGGGGCTGGAGACATTAATGCTCTGCTCGCCAATAAGGCGCTCGGACTCCCGGAGGAGGACTTTGACAGGGCGACGAAGGTTGGCGTCGAGATGGCAATTGCAGGCAACACAAACGCTATTCATTAATTCCATGTTACAAAGGTGCCGGTATGGATCTCAACAAGCATCTCAACTCGTGTTTGGGATAATAAAATGGTCGGTCGGTCGGCTTATTCGAAAGTGACCAGCTTCTTTCGTGTTTCATGATCGTCCTCTCCATCGAGCAGCAGATGGGGATGACGCTTCTTCCTCCGGAATGTTATTTCAACCATTGAGTAGTCTTCCTTCACGAAGAAGATCCAGCTTTCCGACCAGCGAGCTTCTCGTGGGATTAGCTGGGCAAGGTCAACGTCATCTGGGAGTGACTGCCGGTCATCATGTACATAGCCTGCGAGTTCTTCCTCGAAGATCATTCGTTCACGCGAAATAATTTCGATCAATTTGCTGTCCCAGTGGCCCTCCTTCCTAGGATGTGAGAGGAGGCGGACCAGCCGCCTGCGGATACCCGGATGACGACAGAGGCACCCGGTGAGAAAAAGGGGTTGGATGATACCGGTCTCAATGGATATTGTAGGGAGGTTCGGAAGTAGGTCCTCGCAAAATCCTACGAGTGCCAAGAAGTCAGGCACCAAGACGTCAAAGAACATCTCATCGCCAAGATTGAAAGATGCCTTTACGCAAATACAGAGGGTAAGATGGTGTAGTCTCAACAAGGTTGACTTGCTCGCAAGAGGAGATTGACCGGAAGACAGTATGCGGAAAGAGCTTTTGTCAAATGCATCCTTCCACTTCTCCACGTCTTCTAGGAGGCTGCTTCGTTCACTTCGAAAGACTAGCTCATCGGTCGGAAGGTCATATTTCTTTGAGCCCAGCTCATTGATGGCAGCGAACAAGCGGTAGCACTTGTTTAGTAGAAGAAGCAGATACCGCCAAGCATCATCAAAATTAGTGAATGAGGCCGGGATTTCGAGTCGAGGACTGCCGTCAAGATTCGTATCAGCCACCAGCTTGAAGTGCGGTTTTAGACTACCAAAGTTGACTGATTGAATGTCCATCATAGCGAAGGAGTATTTGATCTCGTCCATCGCCGATGTAACCACTGGCGGCAGGCTAAGTGGAACATGACTGTCACTTGAACTGCTATCATTCAGGTCTTTGACAATGCGGCGGCCGTGGGTGAGGTGTAACAAGGCTTCTCCGTACCGGCCCTCGATCATGTCAAAAGTCAACAGCACAAGGCAGACGATTAACACGATCTCGGGGCATTCAGGACTCGGCACTGCTATTCGCCTTCTCAAGTAACTTAGTGCTTTCTGATAGTGGAGATGAATACTGGTAGCCAGGCTCGAAGTCACAGGAATCATGCCAGATTTCGCGGACTGTCTGTCACAGTAGGCTTTATGGGCGCCTGCAACTGCAAGAGCCGCATGAAGGATAGCAGGTTCACTGTGACAGGCCGACATTATAGTCCGCGTCCAGAATTGACTCAGATGATGACTTGCCATATCTTGCACCGTGTACCTTCGGCAGAAGTCATACGCCCTATAGTCTGAGGGTGGAAGGTCCACGAGCGACTGAAGGGTTCGGTAAAACTGAACTGTATCGGATGGCCTGATATCATGATGTCCCACCTGGAATGGAAATAATTGGTTCCTCGAATGCGGTTTCCTTGAAGATAGCTCGATCGAATACCCCGCACAGATAAATTTGGCCCTTGTGCACCTCAGACAAGATGGTTTTGTCTCGTCACATTTGACCTTCCGAACCTTACAAGTTTGGCAACCCGTCCGCACTAGCCGTCTGGTCAGTGAGTGTGCAGATTCATCATGCTTGTGGCTGCAAGCATGGTTACGGACCTTTCCGAGGCGCCATTCGAGTGTCCAACTGGTAGCCTTGCCTCGCCAAAAAACCTCAGACATAGAAACAAAGCAATTCGGAGGGGTAGTGAGACTAGTATGAGGTATCAATGGCAGTTGCAGATTCTGCATGAGATCGTGCCGTTGCAAATGCTACATGATATTCCACAATAACATTCGAACCGTCAGTCGTTGACCGTGAAAGAACCAAGGACGTCAAAGTGACCACCAAGTTCCTGATCTCGATTGCTCAGCCACGCTACTTTCACCTACCCGTCTTTCGCTAGTTAATTACTTCAGTAAGCTAATGGTACGACGGTCTGGAAGTTGTTCTGGGGCTCGGCTGTGTGGCTATGCCTAAAACCCACATCGCGTGGATGCTACCAAGTCGCGCTACTCCATATCAAGGCAGATACCTTCGACCTTCCTCGAAAGAAATTGACGCGTCAATGCACTTCAGCCCAGATGAACTTCAGAGCAAACATTTTGTGCTGGCAATCTATTAGTATTTTGCAGAGCCTACGTCGACTAGGAAGATTGGAGAACACCGAGGGAAACCGAAAGAGTTTCTGATACCCATCATGAATCAACTGCACACCCGCATCTTTCAACCAGAACTATGCATCTCTTCTCAAAAATGTTGTTCGCAAGGCAGGTGCAAGTACAGCCGTCGCCTTCCCAGTCCCATCGATATCAATGATGAACTCATCCAGGCCAAATCCGCCGTACTTGAAAGTATCAACAGCAGCCCAATTAGTACTGCATTCATTGAGCAGCCCGTATTTCGATGGAGAGACTGGTGGAGACCGCAGGTATTGAGGGATTGCGCGAAATGTAAGTTGCCCGTCATCATCATTAAGGTTCATGTATTGTAGTGTTGCACCATCTTCGGCCAGCAATTCTAAGACGTTGGTGCCTTTATACGTGAGCTCGGCAATCTGCAATCCCTTGTAACCAGGGACTACTTCTAGTGAGATTGAAGAGTTCCCTCCGTTGGCGACAGCGTAATACCCTGCGAGGTTGGCGATGGCAGCTGCTCGAGCAGCTGCTTCGGCTGCAGGAATCCATGTTGCTAGGGCGAGATTGGAAAGCGCTGCAAGAGCTGCTGTTCCACTGGCTTGTACGTCCGGCGATGCGACAAGAATGGTAAATCCAATATCGTGATCCGGGGACAGAAAAATCCAAGAACTGTAGCCACCAAGTCCACCGTTTTTGGAGTAGATGTCTACAACCCGAGTTTTGTTTGAGCCGAGCGAGATGGGAACATCCATGCGAAGTGTTTCCCACGGCATCCCAACCACGTAACCTGGGTCGCTCGTCAAGGAAGTCGACTTGAGCCACTCTCGTGTGAGGGCTGGAGGGAGCAGCGATGAGCGGAGCACTGAACGGCCCAGGGACGATAGGTCGCCAAGCGACATGACTTGACCTCCGGCACTGTAATTGCGCTTAGTATCGGTATGAGCAGGTATAATATGTTGAAAGTTAGCTCACGCCGAGAAATCTCCGATATCTTCATCGAATCTGTGAGCACCTGGCGGATTGACAACCATGGCATTTGCGTCATTGATAGGCGGGGTCCAGAAGCTTCGTTTCAGATCGAGCGGCTTCGCTATATCTGATTTGAAAGAATCTGAGATCGCTTCGCCAGTGATGTTTTCGAACGCCATGCCCAAGAGCTGGAACGCTTCGTTGGAGTAAATTGGCGTGTCCCAAGATGCCGCAACAGGGGTTTGTGCCTCGATGAATCGCAAAAACTCTACTTCGTATTAGTTCAAGCTCCTTACTATCTCATTGCCAACTGCGCTCACCTGCGGGTGTACATGGCTTCTCTCCTGGTCCTCCACAGTTTGGGATTTCCGATGCATTGAGTTTAGGTAGGCCGACCTCTGTGACGCCAGGAATACGGGCGAGATCAGTGACTGCGTCTGCATTGAGTCAGAACATAGCTTCTCACAGTTATCAGTAGGATTTGGCAGCATACAATCTCGGGGCAAGCCACTCATCTGCCGGGCTAATGATCCCAGAGTAATCTGAGACCAGTTTATGCTGCGAACTGGCCCGTCGTCTCGCGCGTCCATCAATTCTGGCACGAAGTTGACCACTGGTTCGGACCAGTATTTACTTCCCAACTTAGCCATGAAAGTGTAAACCGTCAGGACTTTCCCAACGCTCCCTATGCGATACAAGGTTTCCGCATTTAGCTGTCCACCGATCAAACCTTCTTGAACCAGATGCCCAGATCCAGCATGGTGGTACTCGCTCAAAAAGTCTCCTGTTTGTGCTGAGAAAACTCCAATCGAGGCGGAAATATTCACCACGTTGAAACGGCCCCATGATGTGGTGCCATTGACGAATGATTCATCAAGGATATCGTTGAAGGCAGCTTGAGTTTCTTGAATGACAGGGGATGCAGTGATGTTTGCGGGCATAGGATATATCGGTCCAAGGAGAGAACAGTCGCTAAGTTCCATCTGCTGGGAGGAGACATGACCAAGGAAGAGTAATGCGACAGCCGTCGCTTTTTTGAGAAAGATACTGAGCATGGTTTCAAGAGACCTACCGAGATGAGATGTAATTGTTGACCTAGTGCTAACAGCTCTCAGAGAGCCCTTTTATATCATTTTTAGTGGGGCAGCAGTTTTCTCGGAAAGCAGTCTATTCGTCGTCATCGTGGAGGCTTGGAATCGGCAAGCATTTTCAACTCTGCGCCAACAATGTCTTCGGGTCAAGCATTGGATTGTACTTGTAGTAACAGGTCCCAGGGCGAGTCTTTAGCTAGGCTGCTGCACCTCGCAATGTGACTTTCGGGAACGAGGCACGTCCACACTGCCACCTTGTCCAATAGAGTAGCCTTGTCATCCGAGCACCAGACGCAAAGAAATCTGGGGCAGGAGGACAAGCCCCAGATTCGGGGAAACAACAGACTGTTAATGAAAGTCGGTTGGGCATAGAGCCATGTGGCTTGGGGCGAAAGCGAATACGGTCACATTGCCGGCCTTGTGGACAGTCTTGCTTCTGGTAGACCATGTGTGGACGAGATTGTTGTCTGATATGCAGACTTCTAATGCTAGCCAATCAGCACCCTTACTTGTCCGAGCGCCAAGAGATGCAGCCTCATATTCGCCGACGACGGGGGCAGTCTCTTGACCCGGAATTTGAGAGGCATGACCAAGATGGCAAGATGTCGTTGGAGCACGATTACGAGCTTTACCACGACTGAAGCTGGCGAGGCTATATTTGAAATTGAACAGGTTGTTACCATTGCCGTAGGTGTAACGCAACTTATCGCCAAACAAATACATCTAACGCCTGGCTTGCTATGCATGACTGTTCATGAGATGTCTGGAGCTCATCTCTACACACTCAGCATACGGTCTTACTGATTCAACCTTTTTCTCCGCCAAACTTGCTACTCAGGCTATGCTTCCATGTCGGTGATCGTGGAAGACTCTCTGCAGTGTGTGGGGAGGTTTGGGACGTCTCCTCATGGTGGTTCTCTGCAATCGTATTCGAATTCATCACAGAGGGTGTAGATACGCTCCTGAACGGACTGACTGGGGCATTTGAAGCAAATAATCGTTCGCTGACACGACGGCCCAGCCCGCTCTTCGAGTCTGAATTGAAAGCTGCTCCCTGCACTCCACCTGATGAGGCTAGATGGTAATCGCGCCGTGGTCCATCTACTGGAGCCACTTCATCTGCAATGGCATCCTCGTAAGAGGGCGGAGGAGCTTCATCTGGGAAATCCGACGGTTGCTGGCTAGTATAAGTGCCAACAGGGGCTGGGTAAGAATTGATCTCGGTCAGTGGTGTTGTAGGGCCATGCAATGGAGTGCTAGGCATGGACGGGTCTGATGGGCTGTGCGTGGCTTTGCTTTCCTGAGGTCTCGGAAATAAGGCGGCTGGAATTGGTTGTGGCCGAGGATTATTCGCCATCAACTCTAACAGTTTTTGTGGGGGGGCAATTCCAGAGAAAACCGAAACAGGAAGTCTCAAAGGTAGAACCATGAGCTCCGGTCGAACACCGCCTGACATGCCGTGCGCTAGTCCAACCCGTACCTCTAACTCATAACTTCGAGCGAGATTGCAAGTTTCGAAGCTTGGAGCGACAGTGTTCGGGATCGGTAATGCCTCCCAGAGTCGCGAGGGCAGCTTCCACTCTTTCCGAGATTTGTCAACAGGGTTGCCCAGTGGCATGTTCATATTTGCTTGGGAGGTAAGCAGCCAGCTGCTGCTCTCAACTCGCTCCAGATCGTGGGCTCTGATCTGAGTATATCCGAAGAGCTCGATTTGAAACATGCTGAGAAAGACACTGGCGGAACTGTCGTTTAGCTTTTCGACTAGTATTCGTAAAGGAAGTGGTTCATTGCAGGTCACTATAGCAGGACTTGGTAGTCGCGCATCCACTTGAAATGCAGGAGGCTCTCCCTCAGCCGAATCGGGTATCGAAGACTTTTTGAAGGGGCTTTTCTTCTGAGCCTGTGCACCATATCGCTGAAATTGACGCTTCCGGCGGGCAAAGGTTTCCTCATGACTATCGGGCCCCCGAGGTGGTTCGATTGGCAAAAATTTGATATCAGTGACCTATTGCTGATTAATATGCTGAATTTATATTTACGGCATACCATACCGATCTTATATTCTCTTGAAAGAATTTAGGCTTCACGACAGTGGCCTTGACATAGTACTTGATCTCAGCTTCTCCAGGGAATCCAGTCAGAGATGGTGGCAGGGTTTTCTTGACATGTTTGGTGATGACCGGAGCAAATTGTAGATTGACCTGTCCAACCTTGATATCTTTCAAAGCATTGGGAGTATTCGTGCAATCGTTATTAAAAGGAAACTACGTTCCAATCAGTCGGTGTGTTGAGTACTGGGAGAGAATCCTTTACTTTGAACTTGAAAGGATATACATATTGCCCTGCGAGCAGAGTATGCCCAGTGGTACTTGTGGTCTTCTCTCTAAACTCAGCCGTTGGGAAGACCGTGAGGACTTTGTACAAAAGCTGGGGGCAACCGTGTGAGCGCAGGCCATATAATCATCATTTCCGCCTAACCTTGTGTAATTCTAGCTCCACTCTCTTCTTGTCCGACCGCTCATTTCCAGGAAACTTGGGTGCGGTGAGTCGAGTACGGCTCTCACCCTCGAGCTTGACCGTGATGGCAGAGATGGCGGTGTCATTGGGGAGGATGAGATAGACGGAGCCGGTCAAGAAATCGAGGTTGGTGTAGCACCTGTTTTCCGGCTCATCAAGGACGATACGGACCGACATGGACCTCGGATTGATCAGGCATCAGAACAACGGCAGATTTCCCAAGGGAAAGGGAAGAGCGCAGCGAGGGTATCGAGTACAGGCGAAACTATTTAAAGAACTGATTGCCTTCGTGGGGTCAATGGATGCAATGGAGCGCAGGACGCCTTGCAAGGCTGAAGCGAACAAGGGCCGGAGATGACGGGAACGACTTATGATGCTGGGGGCTCTTTGCGTCTCATATCTGCGCTCGATTGGGGCATGAGTCCGAATAATTAACCACTTCTTCGTTGTTTGGCCGAAGGAGGGCGGGTTTTAGCGGAATGCGCCAGGGTTAAAGTGGCAGCCTGAGGATTGCAGTTGAGACAAAGACCTGGAGACGAATGAAGTGAGGGGTCCGGTGCGGATCAACGTTGTTCCATATCGCCTCCACACTTTCGCCGATGATCGTCTATCAAGCCTTCTGCCCGAGGGAGATTGAAGAATGATTCATGTCTCCTGTGCGTCCATAATTTGGAAGGGTGCGGATTCCAAATAAACTGGATATTAAAAACATCAGAAAGAGAGATCGGGCCATGATGCAAGGCCCTGCTCTCGCCGCTCCCCATGCCCACCTTTATTGTCAATTCCACTACTACGCCACAACGTAAGGATTCCCTAACCACCAGGAAATCGCGGCAACCCATCAAACACACGAAGACCTTCTCGGGGTGTTGGACTTGCCGCGAGAGACACGTTAAGTGCGATGAAGGCAAGCCGAAATGCAATCGGTGCCAGAAGGCCGGCGTGCAATGCCAGGGTTATGGCATCAAACTCGTTTGGGTTGATCCTGACACCCAGGAAAGGGAGCAGAATATCAGACGCGCCATTGGCACACCAGCCATCTATAATAAAAGCTCAAGTTTCATGAGTATTGATGTGGAGGAGACCCTTGATGATCTGGAGCGGTTCTCAATCAGCGAAACAAGTGGTAGCCCAGACGCTCTGTCGTTGGGACCATTCTCCGTCTTCAACCTGAGTTCCGTCGACACGTCCAAACCTAAACCATCGCATACTGATGATGCTGCCTCTGGAAACGTGGAGAAACAATTTTCATTAGACCTTGAGACAGACGAGTTTGAAGACCAGAGTTCTGGAAACCCCCTCGAGGAGTTCGACGACGATATTGAAACGGTAATTTCATCCGCTTTTAAAGACGATCCTATGTCATCATCGCCCATAAATATTGCTGCTCTTGGTAGAAATTCAGGCCAGAGCCTTGTAAATTCAAGCTTGATGCGTTCAACACGTCCGCGGCTATATATTACTCGTCATCTCGACCTCCTTCCCCGACGGCAAGATCAACGAGAGCTAATTCATCACTGGACGAACTTCGTCTGTTGGCACCTACTGCCGGTAGACCAGCCATCTAACCCTTTCCGGTCAGTGTTCACCCCAATGGCACTGGAAGGTCTCCGTGCGCCATCGTCTTCCTCCAACGGCAGCATTGCGCTGTTCCATGCTTTGTGTTCGGCATCGGCATTCAGTCGCTCACAGCTACTCGATGGTGATACAAAAACGCTCACACTGGCCGCCAAACACTACCAGCTGGCTATCATGCATCTACGCCACAGCTTGAGCAATCTCACTGCATCATCTCCCCTGCTCCTTACCAGCACCGACGGCACCACTGTTCCCTCCACCACAGCCTCTGACTTGCAGCGCACCTCCATCCTCGCAACTATCACGATGTTCTCCGCAATGGACATGATCACAGGACGCTTCAGCGAATGGCGGACGCACCTGCAGGGCGGAGCCAGCTGGCTCGCGACTTTGAACAGCGCCGTGTGGCAACACGATCGGTCAAGCAGCATGGTATATCAGGGGTACCTGGCGATCGCAGCATTGTGCAACATCAACCTACCGTCAAACCTCGACATTGAGAACGAAGACCTTTTCCTCGGCGACCGTTACTACATGCTGGACCGATGCTTTGGGCTCACGCGGCCGATGCTGCGGCACATTGCCGTGATGAACTCGCTGGTTCGCAAGATTTCAGAGGCGGCCGCAGCAGGCCTAGAGCAAACAGCCGCCACGGCCGCGGGGCTGGACGAGCTGGAATCACAGCTCTACGAGCAAACGCCCGACACATTGGACCTGTCTGATCTCACGCCGACAGCGGCGGCGTTGACGCGACACCACGCCTACGTCTTCTACTACGCCAGCCTGATCTTCTTCGCCCGCGCGGTGCGCCGCCTTCGTCCAGAGTCAATTTATGTCCAAGCTTTGGTGGAGTGTGGGGTGCGGCAGTTGGAGGAGATCGAGCTCCTCGGTGGCGACGGCGTAGGCTGCACCCTCGTCTGGCCACCGCTCGTCGTTGCCAGTGAGTGTCTGAGCGAGGAGCTGCAAACCAGGATGCTTTCGTGGTATAAACTTAAGCGGAGGCATGGGTTCATGAATCTGGAAATCAGCAAGGACATTGCCAGGGAGCTGTGGCGGCGGCGGAAGGATTTAGAAGCCCAAGGCCTCGATGGCGTTGTCGACATACAGTGGCAAGATGTTTTGAAAGATTTGAATATGGACGTTGTACTGTTTTGATTGTGTACTTTGATAGTAGTTAGCAAAAAGGGACAATTTTGTTTGAAGAATTCTATACATGTCTTCATTGTAATCTATTTAAATATACTAATTTCGAACCTTTCTCGCTTATTGTAAATTGTTGAGGCGAGCTAGCCTAGTTATCCGGTGTCGCCGAAGGCTGTTGCACTCTATCCTCGAGATACTGAATCTGGATAGACAGATTGTGTCCAGATTCCATCTGGACACTGCGATCCGAACCCTGCTAGGTTGTTACCTAGCATGCAGCATATCACCAGGCGGCGCAGTATTCCTTGTGCTTCAGAGCCAAAGAACGCCAGGAAGGCCTTGACGGGAAACAAATGTGCACTCTCCACGTACGGGCTGAGTGGCAGAGGTGTTCCTGGGAATAGTATCTTGAATATATCACACCATGCGCCCCGAGCGTCTCGACCTATGGCTGTGCCATTCACGGCCGTCTGCTGTTCATGGGTCGTTTTCTTCTTCGAAGGTTGAATATACGCTATCACACGCCCCGCTCCGTGGAGAGGCGTACCTTTGGGCCGGTTCCTACATAGGGGCACAAGCTGTTGGAAACCCCTCATAAGACTAGCCAGCCCAACAGTTCATCGCCAGGAGAGGAGAGTCTTGAAGTCTTGAGGTACCGATATGACCCCGCGTGCCACAATCTCCAGCTTCCCTGCTAAGGGCTGGGACGTATACCCAATGCCTCTTGGTAGAATGCATTAGATTTCTTTGGTTGGGTGCCCTGGATCATTGGGTATGCTGATCATCATTGACTCACGAAACGGCCTCCGAACGACAGCCATACCGTGCAAGGATCTACATGTTTGACATGCAACTCCGAGGTTTGAGTGACAACGTCGCCATCGCGTGCAACATTAACAACCTGCACGTGAATGAATGATCATAGTCGAAGGGTAGGAGAGGAGGTCAACATGTAACGGACATGGGTAATGCCAGCCGACGTGCCGAAGTTCAGAGGATCAGTAAGCAGTGCTTCCGCTTATCTGGCACTCATCTGGGACCTAAGTTGCGCGATTCGTCCGGTTCGTCCATCCTGTTCATCCCAAACTCGCCGACGCAATGAGCCGGAAGCCAAAAAGCCAACTTACATCACCCATCCGAGATCAGCCACAGATCTTCCTCATGTGATGTGTTTTCTTCCCTCACCTCAGGTCCAGCGATTACACGCCACAAAGCGTTGTCCTTTCCAAGGCCTTGAGCCGTGAAAGCCAGCGTTTCGCTAATGCATGCCACCAGGGCGGTGGTGGGACATGGCCAGTAGTAAGTTTGCACAGGCCAACGTTCGCAAACGCCCAACCATTACGACTCACTCAAGAGACCCTCGTTTGGTGCAAGCTCTACCGGTTGTCAATCTTTTACGTGTAGATGCAGGGCCTGTAGGTTCCACCTGGAGGTACGAGTAGTTCCTGAGTTCTCGTTACAACCTCTTATGTTTCTTCCTGCTCTGAGGATGAGCCAGAGTTCAGCCACAGCAGGCCCCCATGCCCAAGGGGTCAGGTATCAATCGTTTACAGTGTTTGTTCTGTCAAAGAACTGCCAATATAATTCAGCTATTTGGACAAGTATTCAACTTGATACGCTTCTTCCTCTCTTGTCCTTGGAAAACCAGACTTGTCAGAATGCCACTCTTCAGCAATTACCCAGGTCTTGATGATATCTCATCACAGCTATCCATACCAGCTTTGGTATTCAGCATCACGACGCCGCTAATAGTCCTTGCCCGCTTCGTTGCTCGACTTACCAATCAAAATCATGCTGGCCCGGATGACTGGACCGTTCTGGCCTCTCTCATGTTTGCCGAAACGGTCTCAGTACAGATGATTCTCTGCTGTGCATGGGGTTTTGGCAAACACACCAAGGCCTTGCCTGTTGAGCTGGTGAAGCGGACCCTGGAAATGTACTATTTCGCCCAGATCTTCTACAAAGTCACCATTGGATTAACCAAGATCTCAATTTTGCTTCTGTACGTGCAAGTTTTCGGCGTATGGAAGTCCTTTAAATGTCTTTGTTACCTCATGATGGGCTTGGTATTTGCTTTCACCATCGCTTCGGTTACAGCCTCTGTGTTCCAATGCTCCCCAGTTAACTTTGCTTTCGGCAAGACTGCCATTGGAGGCCATGGTACCTGCATCGACATGACCAAATTTTGGTACGCAAACGCTGGGTTCAACATCAGCAGTGATGTTATGATCATCTTGCTCCCTATCATTCCAGTAAGAAGCTTGCCACTCCCTTTGAAAAGCAAGGTAGCTCTCTGTGGGGTGTTTGCAATCGGTGGCTTGTAAGTTTCCGTCCTTGCCCGCATTCATCGGCTTAAATCTCGAATGCAACGATATAGGCTGCCAGACCTTCAAATAGCTAATTCCATTTTACAGTGTATGCGTGACTTCCATCCTCCGCTTCACGACATTGAACGTGTCAACATCCCATAAAGACATTATGTGGCAGTCAATCGGCAGCAGCATGTGGACAGTGATCGAGTATAATCTAGGAATCACAGCAGCCTGTCTTCCAGCACTGCGCCGCCCTCTTGCTAGACTCTTCCCAGCTCTACTCGGCCGCACTTCCCACAGCTGGGACTCAAATCCTACTGTCGAACGAAACAACACAAACAACAGCTTCAGCACAGACAGCTCCGCAAGAAGATTTCAAAGATCTTCGGTCCACGCCGTGGGCCATCCAGACCACCTCAACGACAAAATGTCGCAGATATCCCGCGACGAACGGTATCGGAGTGGTATGCGTACTGAAACCTACGATTTTACCACAGATGGCCGCCGGTCCAGCGACAGATCGCACGAAGACATTTTACGAGGTTTTCCTCTCTGGGAAAATGGAATAATGAAAACTATAGAGAATGATATACATATTGAGCGTGACAGTGTCATTATAAGCAGTGATGCTGGTGATGGGGATGAGGCGAAGACGGCCGTCTCCCGATTTGTCTTCGATCCTGTTGCCTGGAGACCTTTGCCTAAAAAGAGCCAGGACCGACCTGATCCACCGCATTTCAGATGAGATTAATATAGCTGTCGTACCTACCCGTCTTGTTGTCTAGCTCCCACCGGCCGTGGTCGGCGCTGAGGGCACGAGTTAACATGATCGATGGTCATTGTATGAACACAAGTAACGCCAGGGTTTATGATTGGTGGATAATAGATGGGTAACGTCTTATGTACATACTATGCATTCTCATGCCAAGTGCATTTACGAAATCTCCCCATTCGAACAATTACTTAATGGCTTTCCAACCATCCCAATACCGCGTTATGGAACCTGTCGGGCTCCTGTATCTGCGGTGCGTATCCTAAGTCCGAAAATGCTACGTATGTGCAATTCTCACCGATAGCGTCTGCTGTCGCTCTGCCCAACGCCGTATAATTACCAAGCTTGGCTGCCACTGTAGGAGGACTCCACTGCTTCCCAATAGCGGTGTTATCCTTCTCGTCGATCATCAACAGTGTCGGCGTATTCGACAAGAGTGAGAACTCGTATGCTATGGGCTGAGTGATCACCATATCCGTGACAAGCGCCTGATCAAAGACATAGATCTCTGCCCGGCTGCCGTTGTACACCGCGAGCAACATGTTGACCCAGACGTCGTACGCCGGTGACCATGTGTTTACGTAGTAGGTGGCTTGCTCATACCCACGAATCGAGGTATAACTTGAAGCGCGCTCCGAGGTGTAGATGCTGTCGACTGATAGGTATGGCACGCCCTTGGCTTTCCAGTCCTCTAGTCCAATAGGGTTCACCAGTATCAGCCCTGTGACCATGTCCGGATACATGAGGGAAAATCGTGTTGCAAGCATGCCACCCATTGAGTGGCCCAGTACGTAGACAGAGGTGAGATTCAAGCTAGTGAGGATATTCTTGGTGTTCAGTGCGAACTGCTGCAGTGAAAATTGATATGCATCCGGCTTGTCAGACTTGCAGAATCCAATTTGGTCCGGTAGGACAACTCGGTATCCTTGGGCCAGGAGCACTTCAGCAGTGGCGTTCCATGTCGCTCCGCAGAAGTTTTTGCCATGGAGGAGCACAACCGTGCGCGGAGGACCAGAGTAGGATTTGTTTGCCATGGATGGAGGGTACACATCCATGTAAGCCTGGCAGAGGCTTTGATGCTGGGATTGTAGTTGAGCATATTGGATCGGATATGGGTACGTGTATACCATGCCCCCGGGCGTTGTGTTGGTAGCGGCTGGTCCTGTTGGACATTTCATCGCGAGCACTGTCGAGCAGCAGTAAGCTACAACCAGCCGGATGACGTCGGAGAGACGCATGTTTGCTTGGAAGGTTTTGTATCTGTCTGGGCTGTGATTTACGAACGTCGCTTCACTTTTAATCCACGAGCTGACAGGAATCCATGGGTAGAGCAATATCTCGGAAGTCTGTGATGATGGTCACCCATCATCACCTCGAGTTCGGCCCTAGCTCATGGCCGCTTAATGGAGCTTGTAGACTAGTTGCTTGCAGTGGACCACCCACGCTGTGGGGATACCGGCTATTGACAAAAAGCTAAGCACCTCATCGCGCCGCCTACGCCATTTTGACTTTAGCAACCTGGGATGGAGGGTCACACTCAACAAGGGTCCTTACTTGAAAGACCCCATGTTCCTTGTGCTCACAAGATATGGAGTTCCCCCGAAAACTTTCTTCCCTCCTCCAAGTACAGTACATAGCTGCTTGTCGCCCCTAAGATGGACGTGCGGCACCATTCCTCTGTCGGGCTCTCGGGGTGCAGGTTGAGGTGTATTGATTCAGTTTTCAATTTATTTCGGTTAACAAAACTACTGCCACGTAGCCTTCTTCTCCTATAAAGAACTACTATGTATCTCCATACTTTTCAAGTTCTTATTCCCTCATACCTGAAATTTAGAGGTGCGACCCTGGGGTGACAACGATGACGCCAATGGTAGCTGGGACGTACTCGACAATATGTTTCCCGAGTCGACTAGCTCCCCTCGACACCTCCTTATGCTCCCAGCCTTGCACTGATTGATTGGTATGTGAACTGATATATCGTCCAAAGTCTCTCAATTATAACACAAGCATTGTGAAAGTGGCCCCTGTGTCCTAACTTGCCCCTCTTGAACGGACCAAAAGTGGCAAGGCAATTTTGCGACACTTTCGAATTCCTGGTTTGAAGAAGTGGGAGTTATTTGGTAAATTTGCCTCTATGATAGGTCAATCTTCTTGACTATTTGATTGCCGACTCGAACGAGATTAAAGATATCGCAGGAGGCTACTCTCTCGATTGCGAAATCACATGATAGGACGCAGCAAGGCATACTGCCTCTCCATTTGCTCTAAGGGCTCTATAGGGAATCATACAGGGTGGACTTGAATTTATCCCCCTGTTCCAGCGTGGCTCGAATCTCCTCGTCCATATTCCCAAGAAATCTTTCTTCCGTCCATGTTGGCTGCCACCCTAGACGAAAAGGATTCACCGGAATGATGTCTCCACTGCAGGCCCAGTCAGATTCTTGTTGACTCCAGTATGGGAAGCCACTCACCTAGAAGTACCCATGGCTCGCACGTAGGAAGGTGGCCATCCGAGAGATTTTGCTGCCATTTCGTCGCTTGGCCAAATCGCCACGTTAGGCTCATTCACAAGCCCAAGTGCGTGTAACTCCTCAGCGAGACGCTGCATCACTTTCCACCAAGATGTTTTGTGAGCCATTGCGAAGTGATAGCCCTTATCACCGGTAGGTAGAGGCTCGTTGTTCAAGATTTTCTCCACTAGGAGCATATACAAACCCACAATGTCGGATACGTGTGTTGTCGCTGGAGTCTATCGAGAGTTTAGATCAGCCACCCAGGAAAGTTGGAGACATGACAAGGCTTAACTCACAGCATCTTTGTCGAATTTGTAAACGGTCTGGAGCTCAATGGAGGCTCTAATGAAGGATGGAATGGCAGAAGAAATATTTCGGAACTCTCCAGATCCTGTTCCGTCTGCTAGAAAATGAGTTTGTGCCCAGTCTTTTTAAAAGGACATCTTGCAATCAACTCACAAACGACAGGAACAACGACAATGAGGCTTGTAACTCCTTCCGCTTTCGCTAGATCTGTCACAAGTACGTTTGTCTTTTTTCAATCAGGCCCAGGAGTTATAAAGTACTTTTAATTTGAAAGAACGTACGTCTCGAACTGGATGGCCAGGAGCGAGTTGCTTTTCATTCTCATATAAGGGATCAGTGTCCTTGACCTCTCCAAATGGCCAGCCATTTTCCTTGGAGAAGACAGCAGTCACTGATGACTACTTCAAGTTTAGCGATCTTTGTCTTTGCTCGATCTCGAGAAATGAACTCACATGGATAAAATAGGCCTTTCCTGTCCCTAATTTGCGACGCTCGCCAAGAGCTTTGATCAGGTTAGCTGCAATCGCTGTTTCCATGGCACTCGCAATATGCACGACGACATCGACTGTCCCGCCATGAGTTTTTTTCCTTCAGATACTATTGGCGAGCTAGCCTACTATTATTGCTAATCACAGCTTGCTTCACGACTTCCTCATTCTTCAGATCAAGTTCGATGGCGTTGAACCCAAACTCTGATAGTCTTTGAGCTTGTTCGGCGGAGCGAACTGTGGCAGTGATATTTGCAGCTTTTATCAGACCATTCTCCTGGGAAATGACTTTCGTCAGGAGGGTCCCTCCACTGTGGTCTGGTTAGTTGAGGATCTCGGAACTTTGGTGTGACCTACATATATCCGCCTGCGCCAGTGATGAGGATATTTTTGGCCATGATGCGAGTTTGGAACCCAACTACCATCGAAGCCAGGGATCGCTTTACTATGTATTTATATTCTTTCATCATGTACGCACTGTTGCAGACACTGCAACAGTGTCATATAACGCGATAACATCTCTTGTTGGTGGTCGAGAAAAGAGTTGACCAATCAGATAACCAAGAACCATGGGTTGCGGGGCCACTCCAATTGATCGGAATTGCGCGCAAATCCGGTTTGTCAGCTGCACAGATATCCTCTATCACTGAGTTCGAGAACATTGGTTAATGCAACCCTTCTACTCACAACACCGCTCGAACATGGAATCCCGCGGACGGGACGGGAAAGAACGACCAGGCAGTCGCCTCACCATCCACCATCGCTCTGTGAGCTCAATCGATATCTGGTGCATTAATTCGAACTAACATGGAAGAACACAGTGCGACCAGTGTCGCGCTCGCAAAGTAAAGCCCGGTCCCTTCACAGATACCCATGGAGCTGAACTAAAGGAGTCAAAATTGACTAACTCATGGACCCTTACAGGTCGCCTGTGACAGAGCAGCACCTTGTTCAAATTGTATGTCAGCCAGGCTTGACTGCACCCATAGTCCATTGCCACCCAAGTCAACGCCTGCTAGACAGAGGGTGTTGATTTCAGCACAATAGTAAGCCCTCACCCTGTCATACGTCATCATTCGGCTGCCATGATCCAGTGGGTGCCCCGTTTCCCTAGTGCTGATTAGTCATCTCCGTAAGTGAACAAAAAATCGATGAGATTGTTAGTGGTCTTCATGATATCAAGCGGTTGCTCCAGGCCAATGGTACTGCATCAAAGGTCATCCAACCTGATAGTGCCTCCATCCATCATCTTGGACAGGACGGCCCACTAAAGCCAGTGCCTGTTGATCGGCTTGTCTCCACGTCTGACGTTGCACTTGGTCAATGGGATACTTCCACCCATATTGTCGATTTCGTTAAAGCCGTTGTGAAGGACGGCAGCTCAAATTACCTCAATCTTGAATTGACTGAAGTCCTGTCATCATTAGATACAATTGTCCAGTCCGTTGGACGTCCACTTGTGGGCCAGGTATTGGACTGCGGCGCCGTTGCCGAATACAAAGCTCAAATACAACCCTCTCTACCTCCAATGAAAGCAGCTATAGAGGCGCTACGATGGGCAAAAGGCTGGTAATCGTGGGTCTCTTCTACAACATAACGCTGACATACTTCGCAGAGCACCGGAAACACAGTATACTTGCCCATATATCTCGAATACTCCCCATAGAAAAGTTTACCGATATCTGTCAAAAAGTGTACTTTGCTGTTGACAGCTACAGTGAGCTCGAATTCATTCTAGCGAATGGCTACTTGTCATATACATTTTTCGCGTACTTTCTTGCAACACAACTTGGCGTATACAAAGAATACAGCAATCTATGCTGGAATAATCTCGTCAACGCTTTCGCACGGCTTCCGCTGATGCTTCCAGCATCAATACACGCAATTGCTGTATTGGCACTTGGGGTAAGCACTTAAGCGCGGTTCAAGCAGCCTCAATCCCCTAGCTGATGCATACAACAGACCTTCAACGCTATTGAAAACTCCAAGATGTCGCTGGCCTGGAGCTTCATCTCATATGCTTCAAATCTCTGCATAACTCTTGGCTATCATCGTGCGCCCACTGACAAGGGAAACAGCCAAGCTCAGCAAACTGAACAGGAAAGCCTCTTTTGGGTGGTGTATAATATGGACAAAGGGCTTTCGCTACGACTTGGTCGGTCTTCTAACCTTCGTGATCGTGATATCACGCTGAAGGCTGATCCAAATGAGCTTCGTCGTACCCGCCTAGCAAGGATCCAGGGTAAATTGTATGATCAGCTCTACAATCAGGAAGCATTATCTAAGCCTGAACAAGAGCGCGAGAATATCGCGAGAGCTCTAGCTCGAGAGCTACGAGAGGTAATCGACGAGACCTATATAGAGGTCATGGTATGCGAGTAGCCCCCCCCCCTTGACCACCAGCATCTAACAACGATAGGATGCTGAACGAAACAGTGCCTTGACTGATCCGATGGGAGCTGTTTATCTACGTTGCGAACTAATTTGCAGTTCCTCTTCCCTTGCACTAGTTCTTCGTGCTATTCCGACCACGTCAGGCCCAGTAGGTAGTGTTTCAGACGAATGTGTTGCGGTGGCTCGCGAAGTTATGGATATTCATCAACAATGTATGGTCACTATTCGCGGCTCCAGGGGCAATGCATCTATGTTCCAGAAATATATCAACTGGTATGTGACTATCGTCCAAATTAGAAAAAACCTCGGCAATATTATCGCATCCAACACCTTCACCACGAGTATCTGAAGCTAACCATTGAGTATTCAAGGGCTGTACTACATACACCTTTCATTCCCTTCAGCATATTATTTACCCAAGCTGTTCAGCTACGAGATCGAGACGATCTAGCCCGAATAGAACGGTTCTCGGCGTCATTGAAACCCGACTCATACATCCTTGCGTCACCAACACATCCTCATCGAATCTATGAGCTTCTCAGTCGAACTGCACGATTATTCATCGAATCTTCTGCTGAATCTCTGCCCACAGACTCTGCGTCAACGCTTCCCTTAACAGTCTCCATCAACGACTTCGAATTTCCCCATCTGGGTATGGAGACAGAGTCGATGGCAAATGACATTCTGAATGCGGAAGATCTCCAGGCGTATTCATTGAGTGATTGGTACTACAATAATCAACAAATCATGGACTTGATGCACCAGGACGGGATGCCATGGGAGTTTTAGGGACAGAGCCAAGAAAACAACCAGCCGAAATCCTACAAGGTCACCCTACTATGTGACCAGCAGAAACGGCCTAAAGATGCTACAAATGAAACCATACCCTTCCTCAGCTGACAGGAGGCCGAATGCCACGCACAACGGATCAATCGCATGGTACCTCAGGGGCCTGGGGCTACCAAGACTCTTTCACGGAAAGGACCTTGGCGTGAGGCAGGGGGACCCATTTAAGTCTTGGCCCACGTGCGGAACCTTTCCACGAGTGGCCAGCCCGCGCATTAAGCGGGAACAACCTTACGTCTTCATACCAAGACTTTCCGCTGGTTTCGCCTTGGCGGTCCCGCGGCCCACCCTGAGACGCATTGGAACCACGGGGATCATTAATATTAACGGAGTATCTCGGCTCTATATAAGCCCTTCCGCTTATGTCGTGACATCACTAGCGGCTTGGGAGGTTAACGATAAGAAATGGATGGAGGACGCCATAAGCAAGAATTTATATTAATCTTTGGTATGATACTGAGTACCTAGATATGTTCGCGCATGAGCTCCCCTGATATCACCCATCTTTATGCGATGTGTGCCTCAATAAATCTGCTGCTAAGGAATGCGCTGAGCCGCAGGATAAGTACATGAGGCAGGGTAGCCCAGGAATGCCGATTCTTCGTCTTTTGCGCGAAGACCAAGAGGAAAGCCAAGTCGATCGTGGGCATAAAGTCTGGGTTCAAAGACCTAAGAAAAGAAAACGTAGATCACGATCATGAAAGGCTCGGCGGTCAAACGACCCAACAGAAATTGCAAGTTGAACATGGTCACAATGCTGGGCAAAGTTCACACCGCCGTCGCATGCTCTACTGACGCATGTTCACATTCTTTCACCCGACCTTCTATCCTTATCCTTACCATATCTTCCTTCTAGTTATTAGCACCAGCAGGCTGAAAACTTGATTACACCCAGCTATTAATCGTCACCATGGACAGAGTCAAACGAATTGTGAATTTTGTGGCACCACCACCAGCAAAGGGTGTTGATGGCCGTGATCAATGGCCGTCCCGTACCGCGTTCATCCTCGCCTCCTTGAGTGGCGTCATCGGCATGGGCAACTTCCTGCGATACCCATCCACGGTTTTCAATAACAACGGTCTACAATGGTTTCTTCCTTATCTCCTGGCTCTCGGCTTGCTAGCTGTTCCTTCGTTGGCTCTCGAACTCGCTGCAGGTAACGCTTATCGGGGTGGGACTGTGACAGCCTTCAATAAGATCAGTCGGCGGATGAGAGGTATTGGTTTCGCCCTGAACTATGTCGGCCTCGTCGTCAGCATCTACTTTATCCCTATAATTGCCTGGGGAATGGTCTTCTTCCAAAAGTCATTCACAAGCCCACTTCCCTGGGCCGGTGACACTGAGAACTACTTCTTGTACGAGGTCGTCCAAGCCATAGATCCGGATACGTCTGGCACTTGGATCGACTACCCTGGAACTGCTCTCGACGGTCGCCTTGTTGGATGGAACGCATTCCTCTTCTTCCTCGTGTGGCTCTGTATGTTCCGCGGCACTGGTTGGACCGGTCGCGTCGTCTACTTCACAATGGGCATGCCTCTTATCGTCATCATCATCCTCATCGGACGAGGAGCCTCGCTGCCAAATGCCCGCGATGGTATCCGTATGTATTTTGCGACTTGGAGAGGCGATACTCTTTCAAGAACGCAAATCTGGCAGGACGCAGTTGGGCAGGTCTTCTACTCCACTGGTGTGGGCTTCGGTTTCTACACCGCTTATGCCTCCTACAACCATCAGTTCGCCAACGCTGCTCAGGACGCCGTCCTTCTCGCCTGTACAAATGCCTTCCTAGAAGCGAGTCTCGCGTTTGCCGCGTTCGGCATCGTCGGCTTCATGGGATTGCAACCCGATCCAGAGAACCCCATGGGGAGCTATAGCTTAGGTTTTATGACCTACCCTGAGGCCTTTGTTCAGATGCCTGGTTCCAATTTCTGGTCTGCCCTTTTCTTCCTGACCCTTGCTGTGGTTGGTGTCAGTTCTACTTTCGTCATGCTTGACGCATTTATGACATTGGTCATGGACTCTGCATTCGCCAGGCGCTGGCGCTGGTCACGGCCTTGGGTTGCAACTGCGCTCATTACGGTAGTCTTCCTGCTGTCCCTGCCAAATTGCACACATTTCGGATATTACTATATAGATGGCATTGATCGATGGATCAACAATGTTGGTTTAGTGTTTGTCGTCTGGGCTGAATGCGTCAGTGCTACTACCGTTTACCGATTCGAGGATGTCGTCTCCCAGGTTGGGCTACCATCTTTCGCCGCTTACAATGCCAGCTTCCTGAGCGCTCAGCTTCTCAGCCTTATTATTGGTCACACTGTCAGCATCCCGATCGGTGCGGCTGTCGGTCTCGGTATCTTTGCAGTGGGGACCGTCATAGCTTTTGTGATAGCAAAAACTCCCGGTGTACGGCCAACTGTGAGGCTTTTCAAAAAAGGCAGGCTCGCATCCATTGTTTATTACCTCGCCTTTTACTCGGTAAGCTTCCACTGTGAATTCCACGCCTAGATGTTGATCATGTGCTAACAATGAGGCAGGGTAATCAACTTCGGCATGATCTCAACACTGTCATTGGCGGTGGCTCGAACTGGTCTCTGCCTGCCCTCTGGGCTCCTCTTCTGCGATACGTCTCTGGCCCTATCTTAGCTATCATCCTCAGCCTTGCATACCCTAGCTTCGAACAGCTGAACAATGACCCTCTCCACGTCATGGGTTTCATTATTGGCCATTTCCTGCTAGTCTGGTGTGTCGTCGGATTTATAATGCCTGGTTGGCTAGACTTGTTCATCATCAAAGAGCGCCGCGACGACTGGAAGCAGCCAACAGCGCCATGTCTCTTGAGAGATACCACTGAGGGAGAGATTGCTAACAATATAGAGGCCGCTTCGCCATCTGAATCCCTACATGAAAAGAAGCACACTCCGGTAGCCAGAGACCCGCGCCACCACGGCGACGACTTGACGGACGGGATTACCCAGCGCGACAGCAACAGCTCACTGAAGTGAGCAACCCAGTAAGCAGCTCTAGGTTTTGTGGAGTCAGAAGTGCGAGCAGTGTCACGTGACTTTTCTGAGGCATGCTGTGAAGGGCCGCAAAACTCCCCGGTATAGAGTGACCCTACTTGGCACATTGAACGCGAATACATAGAGCCCTCACGCAATATCTAGCTTGCTTCGCCTTTATCGAACTTGGCATAACGAAACACTTTGGAGTTCTTCGTATTTCGATCCAGAAGCCGGGCTACATGGTTAATATTGTCGTACAGGGGCTGACCCACTACGTTCGTGAGGGACGTCCCACCCAGCGAAGGACCAATACTACGCTGGAACGTGGGCTTAGCGATGATTTTAAAGTGGCGCTGGACGATTCATCGTTCCTGTCGTTTGAAAGCACTATTTGTTGCCTCCCAGCAGATGTCTACTTCCACAGAGTGCAGTTGCGTGTTTGATATACCGAATACTTCGGAATGAGATCCGGTAAAGATAAAACACAGGTCCCTGCGTGACAGCGTCTTTCTCTTCTTCTGGAGAGACGCCTCCACAGTATAGTATGTACAGCCGGCCAATACGAGCAAGAGGCCCGAAAGAAAATTGTGATGGAACGGACGATGAGACTTGACAGCGATCTGAGTACTCGCACTTGACCTCAAGGCTGGGCCGAGGTTGAGCCAAGTAAGAGAAAGACTAAGTAGACTGACTGTATGGCCACGTGCGGGTTCGGTGCTGAATACCAGGCCTCAATACCCAGCGTCGCATTTTTACCTCTCGAAGATACATCTCCTGCGTTTAGATGTGTGCACCGACCGGCGAACCTGAAGCATGACTTGGCAATTTCGGGTTGTAGCCATACAATCCTGAGCACCGCTTAGCGGCGGAGTCGTGCGCATACTAGTCCACACATCCTTCCATGCAGTAGCTTGGCATTAGCACACTTCTGTGCAAGAACAGAGGTGGAGTCTCACAGTTGGCGCATTGATCCCTCGCAGGCCCCGCCTAGACTAGCCAAAGTCAAATTTACAGCGGTATAACCTCTGCTGGCTACCTGGTGAGGTCCGCAAACTTTGACTTCCCGCGATCAAGCGCGGATGTCGCCGTAGGATTGTTGGGAAGAAGAAGCTAATCTGGACATACTGCTGCTCGGACTACCAAGTAACTTGTGGCGCAAGTGGGTATCTCAATGAGTAGGCCTGGCACAGCGTTGTGTACATATGTATTTGCCTACTTACTGGTGATTCATTCACAGCCAGATATGACCTTCATATGTGTTGTACAGGTGTTGATTTCCGGCACGCACATTCTGTATTCAGATGTAAAGTCTCTCTGAGGTCTGACTTAAGATGCCTAGTAATTAAGTCGCCTTCTGTATTCGGTTACGAATCTGACCGCCATGCTCCAACATGATATGACAGGTTTTGCCACCATTCAGGTCAGCCGAGCTGTCGCTTACGCTTTGGGACATGGAGAATAGCATAGTATTGTGGAGGTAGGACTGCCAGGCCATGAGGCCGGATGTCATCCTGATCTCCAGCAGAAGGGTCGAGACGCAGTGCCAGAATCAGAGCCGGAGCAGCATTGACCAATATCTTGGG